CTTCATGAACAGCCTCTGTCTAACCACTATAATGACACTCTGTCTGTGAATATCGGCCCTCAGGCAAGTCAGTATTGAAGACAGCATTACCATTTTCCCAGAGATGTGATGTTTCCTACAAAGGTTCTGTAGAGACATCCATCTTACTATTTGTCAGCCCTAGAAAATCCAGAGATAATTGTTTAATGCTTAAGCAGTTTATAATTTATTATACTCGATTTTAAAATTTTAATTTAAATTTTAATTAAAAGTTGTGGGTTAAGATAATTTCTAGCCAAATGTGATAATTAGTAATAATTAGCGTTTTCAACATACATCACTAATTAAGTAAATGTTGATAAATCAATATGAACATGTTGATTTTGATTTAAATTTGAACAGAATAAATTCTGCAACTCCATCATTATAAAAATTAATTATATAAACAACTAAAATATCATGTCAGTAATTTCAATCAATCGCTGAATAAAATATATCACTTATTAAATAATTCTAGGTACACCTAAGATCTAATTTGTATAATATCCAAATATTAAAATATCTATTCAACTAAAATTTAACTTTTTAATGTGTTAATTTCCATTTTAATATATTTAAATCGTGATATCATTACTGTAAATATAATTATCATTCATCCAAATATAAATTTTTTCTTGTAAATTATTGCATTTTAAGACCGTTTTTATATGTTCCCATAAAAATGTATAAGAATTCTCCGACTTCTTTTCCAAAACTATAATTCAAATCAATCCAGATTCCATTTTTCTCTCCATCCTTATTATAACTACCCCCAGCGCTATCAATAATTAAAAAAATGAAAATTACAGAATATAAAAGTCTAATTTAAGATCTTTTTTATACAAAGTATTCCATTAGCCCTGTTTTTTTCCAAATAAATACTCTCCTTTCATAATCACTTGATTGTTGCTAATTTCCTCTAATAATGATACATTGTGAAATTTTCAATTAAATCTATCCATTTTCCATCTTTTAGTCCATTTTAATCATATGTTCCTCCTCCACTATAATAGTATAATTTAATACATCTATTAAAATCTGTCTTTTTCATGATCTCTAACTGAAATTTTCCAATTTTCTACTTTTTTCCCATCCAAATAATCTCCTGTTAGAATTACTTAGCATGAACTAATTACAATATAAATAGGATACTTTTAGAAGCTTTTAAAGATTTCAACCCATTTTCCGTTTTTAATTCCTTAATCATCATATTTGCCCCCTCCACTGGTTTATTTATATATTGTGTACATTTTATTGAAATCTTTATTTATCGTATACCTAAATTTAATTATCCATGATCCTTTCCTCTTTCCACAATCATATTATCCACTCTCAATGACTTGGCATTGTCTAATTGAATATTATTATTTAATTTATTTTACTTCCAAAAGTTATCATTCATGTCTATCCATTTGCCAATTTTTCTTCCTTAAAGATCATAGTTTCCACCACCACTAAACAATTAAACAGCTACTTACATAATTTTAAATTTATGTTTTAAATTCAATCTAAATTATGTAATCCATTTTCCTTATTTAATTCCTTTAACATACTCTCCTTCCAAAATTACCTAGCACACACTTCAATAACTTAATTTATTTACTTTCTAAAGTCCTCGTGTAATTCTATCCACTTTCCAGTTTTTTATTCATTTTCATCATAGACTCCACCTCCACTAAATTTATTTTGGATAGCTAAATACATTTTTGGATGAGATGGCGCAAATCTACCATCTTTAAATTCTATATCCCATTATCCTTATTTCTTGCCATTATCATATAACCCTGTGTATAAGATTTCATATTCACTAATAATAAAATAAACATAACGGTATAACTGATTATAATTTTCATTAATATCTATCCAAAATCCATTTTTTAATCCATTTTCATTATAATCTCCTCCACCTCTATTATCAATTATTTTCATACTTACATTAACTGTCTTTCATAAAAGAAACAGGATTGAAAGAATATATTCCATCTTCCAAATTTCACTCCATTATCGTATTCTCCAACAAATGTTACCATTTGATCCCTTTTAATAGATTTCTTTGAACATACATACTATAATTATCATGTAGCTCAACCCAAATCCCATTTTTTTATCCATATTCATTATAAATACCACTTGCACTAAAATTTATGGATTAATTTACATTTATTTATCATATAGATAACTAGTCCACTCTCCTTATTTTACACCCTTATTATAGTATCCTGAATAAGTGACCTAGGAAATACTGCTTTCAAAGCAAAAAATTTACTCATTGTAATTTGGAAATAGATTAACCCATTTTCCTTATTTCAAACCATTTTCGTTATAAAGTCCTCCAACTTTTAGATTATCGCCTCTCCAAAAGGCATTCCACATTCCTACTTTTTTTTAATTCCCACCATATTCTCCTTCCCATCTAAGATATTTAATATGCTCTAAATTCTTATAGATTTCTGGCTATTCATTACTCAATAACGCTCTATCTCTAAGGATAATATTAACATTACTTTCTTAGCATACATCCATCCTAAATATAATGAATCCATCTATCTTTAGTGTATTGTACAAGAAAATTGGTCTTTTTCAAAGTTCTTTGTCTTTATTCAATTCCTTCCACTTAGAAAATTCCCTCTTGCCATTTCCAACTTTACTCATTATCTATGATTATAATATGAATATATTACATTTACAATATTTTTATATATTATCTTCACTTGCTTCGAGTGATTTCATAAATTTAATTTAATTTTAATCTATTTTGATTTTGCGAACTAAAAAATAATTATGAAATACTCTTAATTAATAACAAATTATATTTGCCTTTAAACTTGAATTCATACTTGATTCAAAATCTAATTACGAATATAATTGAAAACACACCTACTAAAGACTAAATAAAATATGCTAAAATATAAAAGAAAGTAAATATTTAACTTCTACTTTTATTCTAATGATAAGTATCACTATAAAGTTATTCATTATTTTAATGATATAAATGTTTCAAATATGCATAAAATAAAAAAATTATTTTATGAAATCACTTAAAAAGAATGATATCACTCTTATTTTCAATGAGTGAAGACAATCCTTCTTCTTATAATTTCAACACTGTTAATATCTATTCTCAATAAAATTAGAGATAAAAAGGATGAAAATATATACTCTTAAGAATTATTAAATGAAGTTATTGGTGATTAAACATAAGATCTGGTGAAAACGTTAACTTGCTTGGGAAAGTCCTTTGAAATTAAAAATTAGATGAAATGCAAAATGTCAAGATTTTTTTATTATCATTTTAACAATTATATACTAGAATAACAATAAAACCTATTCATATTACATTTATCGTGATTCATTATATGTTACATTTATCAATTTCTTCTTTGTCTTTAGAGATCTATTTCTCTTATTTCTTAATTGTGTTTGAAGTTGAATTTTCATTTTTTAGAATGGCATCAATGAATACTTGCCTAAGTTTTTTATGCTAATCCTCTAACATAATCATATCATTATTATCCTCTAAATATTTCAAGATTATCAACGAATCTACTGTCCCTTTCTTCCAATAAGGATCTCTGCTATACTCTTCTTAAGTATTTTCGAGTAAAGATAATTTTTCCACAAATTATGTGAATTTCGATATCGGGATTTCCTTCATCCCAGGTTCCTACAATTTGCTTAATTCTATTGCTGCAAACTATACCTCTTTCTCTAATTCAGAAGGAGTTATGGCAAATAATTTCATAATATTAGTTAAACGAATTATCCTTCTTTTAAACTTAGCTTCCTTTTGATATTCAATTCCAAAATCTAATGCAGAATTAATTATATTGAATGCTTCTCCAATAATTGGTAATTGCTCTAAAGCTTTTGATCCAACCTTAAAAATCTTTTATAATATGCTTGCAACCTTTTCTGAAGTACTTTCAACAAAGGCTTCTTTATTGACTTAAAATAGATTTGTAGATAGTTCCTACATTGCATGCATATAGAAGTACAATCTCCAAAATAATGATTTATAATATATAAATTGATGCTTATTTCTTGGTTTCTTCAACTCATCCATCATAAATTCTATTTAGAAGTTATCTAAATTTTAAATCTTGTTAATCAGTTGATTTTATTATTGCAACTATTATTGTAATTATTTAAGTTGCTACTACATCTCATAGAATTAATTGATCATATTCTATTGCCTTTCTGGTTTCTATGATTCATTGTTTGGTAAAACTATTACAGAAACTGACCTTTCGATTCTCTCAATCCTCTCGAAAAATTCATTTGCTTAATTCTAATCTTATGTAGAAATCTTGGGCAACAGGGATATCTGCTTTTTGGCTATTATGATATCACGCTCTATTTCTTATAGAATCTATAGTTTAATTTTAATGAAGCTGATGTTTTTATCTGACAAACCCCATTTAGCTTTATCTTCAGGTTACATTCCTTCAATATTTTTCAACGCCTCAGTGAAATATTAATGCACTTTTTCATTTTATAAATCCTGAAAATGTAAATCACCTATTATCGTGAGATAAAGAGGATTGCTTGGACATATTTCTAAGGCAGTAAAACAGTCTTTCATGGCTTTTTCTTTTTCTTGCATTCTCCAATACAATAGGCCTATTATTTCATTAAATTCTCACCTCTATTTATGAATGCCCTAGAATCCTTTGGATTTATTTCTATTGTTTAAGTGTAGTCATCCAGTGCTTGCTGTCTCTAATCCAACTGATCAAATAAAAACCCTCTTTTCAAAATATTCAATACCCCGGTTAAAATAAGCATTTGCATCTTGTTTGTTAATCTTTATTATTGAATTGCAATCTTTTACTGCTTTGCCAATCTGATCCATATCACAAAGCAAAAGAGCTATTAATCAACGATTTCATACCTCTATTTAAATAAGCATTAGAGTATTCTGGATTGATTTAAATAGCCTTATCATAATCTTTTAAAGCTCTTTCTTTCTGATTCATACTGCTCAATAAAGCACCTTATTATATCTCAAGTTACCTCTATTCAAATAAATGCTGGCATTAGTTGGATTTAATTCGATTGCCCTATCATAATCTTAAAGAGCTTATTCGTACTCTCCAATTTCTTTTAGTAAGACTCCTAATCATAATTCTAATATTCACCTCGATTAAAATATGCATTAGGATTATTTTGATTGATTTCAATAGCCTAATTATAATCTTTAAGTGCTTTTTCTAGTTAACGGATTTCCTTAAATAGAAGAGCTTACTTTCATATTCTCAAGTTACCTCTGTGCAGAAAAGCATTGGAACAATTTTTATCAAGACCAATTGCCTTTGAGTACAAATCAAGAGCTTCATCTAGCCTTCCTTTGATCTTCATCAATGAACCTTTGTTACTAAGAAGTTACAATCACCTTTTTTGCTATAAGCCAACGCATAATCAGGATTCAATTTTATTGCCTAATCGCAATCCTCTAAAGCTTTGTCTAGCATTTAATTTTTCTAATAGACAGTAGCTACATCAGTTTTCGAAATACCTCTGTGATAGAAGCTGCTAACCAAACTTGGATTATGGAAGATGGCTTAGTTTAGATCATCTAATGCCTTAAGCTTCTCCTCTTTCTTAAAATGAATCAATCCTAAGTGTAATAATATCGCCCACTACCTCTCAGTTAATAGGCTTCTGCATATTTTGGATCCAATTTTAAAGCCTTATTTATCTCCTCCTATGCATGATCCATTTAATTATTCTATATCAACTTCTGCATATAAATATTACAACTCCATTACTTCACTTTATTAAAGGTGATAATATGCAAGTTCATTATTTGGAGGTTCTGTTTTTGATTTATTTAAAATTTTTGGCTTTTGCATTTATGAATTTTAGTTTTGTTTAAATAAACTATAAAAGTAAAATATTTTGAAAATAAGTATTCTTCCAATTAAATAAAATTGAAGCGATTCTTCTGTAAATATTCTATTTTTAACTGCAAAAATAGATCGCTTAATCATTTGATTAAAATTGCCAATATAAACTGAGAGATGATGTTAATTTTTATCAACATTAATTTTTTTATTAATAATCAATAGATCTTAATGATTAATTAATTAATTGAGCGAGAAATGGGAATAATAATGATTTGAGATGTAGCTATCATATAAATGTATCATCTTAAAATTAACCTTTAAGTAATATTAATTAAATAATTCATTTATAAGTTAAATATCAAATTATTAGGTTGAAAGTTATGAATTAAAAAACAAGATCAAACTTTATTGAATTTCAACTTTATATTTTTTTGATTGGAGCTACTTTTTATTAAATTGCAAATAAATAATAACAAATTGTAACTCATTAATATTATTTCTATCAATAAGCTGTTTAAATTAAAGATTATTATACAAAGTAATTAAGACTTAAGGTTATGATTGATTATATAAAAAAGATCATCATTATTAATGGATCTAAATACAATCTAAAAAAAATGCCTAATTTTCTTATTTACAAGAAGTAATATTCTCTTTGGTTTTTGTTATTTTTATATATATTTAGCATAGCAATGTTTATACAGCATAAAATGTATAAATAATAATAATAAAGAAGTAAGAAAGACTATTATAAAACCTAAATAAATGTATAATGTTTAAATAAGTATAGATTAAATTATGATTGCAATAAAAATAAATGTAATACATATCTATACATTAAATCATGATAATAAAACCTAAAAATATTTATGATTGTAATAATTTATGATAACTAAATATATTAATATTCAATATCAAGATATTTTTCTACAATAATTATCATTTCTTTTCACTTTACTTCCAATTTTCTATAGGAATATTAAACTAAATTATTAATGAAATGGCAGAAGGTTGCAATTGCTAAATCATAATTCTAATTTTTAAACCGCTATATATCTTCAATATTGACATTTAAATTATGGAAATTAAAAATTATTTTATATTTGATTACAACAAATAGCCTTAAACCAGCTCTCCTCAATAATTTATTTAAATTTATGATCTAATTTAAAATAGTAGATGTTGATTTGATTCTTTATTTTATGTGCATAATTAAAATAATTATAATATCTTCTTAGAAACCTATATTAAATATCACTATAAAATTTAATTATAGTTTTATTCTCATTGATTGAGAGTATATACACAATTTCAATAAATTTTGTAATTTTTTGAAATTATTTTGGTTTATAATTAAGCAATTTATCTCTTTACATATTTATTTGAAAATATGAAATGTGGAGGATTATGAATTGAAACCCATAATTGGAGAATTAATGTGAATTTGAATATTAATACTGAAATATTCTATTTTTTATTATGTCATAATAATAACAACTGAGACTCATTTCATTGAGGGAGCAGATGTGCATTTATGAAAAATTAAGAATTATGAGTACATTCTGAATATGCTATTATACATATTGTAGAAATCGATATTAATTAATAACCTTTTTATATCAGACTTGAGAATATCTTTATGATTAGGAAAAAATAAATCAAAATTTGCTTTCGTTGCTATTTATACTCCATCCACTTAATTTTCTAAGTTGTTCCATTTCTTAATTTTGGTTATTTAGATTTTTTTTAGGTTAAGGCTGCTTGCTAGATTCGCTAACATATCTTTAGAATGGTTTCCTGCTTCTTGCTGTGATTAATTATTAATGGGCTGAATCTTCAGTTTTAATGTGTTTTTATGCAACAAAATTTTTGAATGCTGATGTTTAAGTAACCTATTTGTTTCTTACATGCCTAATAGGTTCAGGATAAACGTATTCAGCTATACTCATTTATCTTACAGGTGTTATTTATCTTGCATAGATTGAGTTATATTTCTTTTTCTCTAAATAGTTTTTATAATTATCAGGTGATTTTCTGATTAAAAAAGCCTTTTCTTTCTTCTATTACCTTATCTCAGTTATCAAAGAATCTGTTATAATGACAGATGACTCAGTTTTAGAATTTAATATAGATGACATTTGCTTGAAAGATCGTTATTACTCTAGTTTGTCTTTATTATATTTTTGGGTAATCGATTTCAAAGATAATTTTTAACCTAGGAGATATTCTCTTGCTTTTCTTTAAAATTCATAGACATACATTATGAAAAATCAAAATATAATTTATAATTTATTGAAAATTATATTTGAGAATATATGTTGTTCACTAATTTAAAATAATTAAATTAATATAAATTGGAAATAAGAAGATCAGAATTTTCATTTGTTAAATTCCACATTATATGTAATAATTAAGCCCAAAAATATTCCATAAATTGTTAAATTTTTAATGTTTAAATGTAATTAATTTAGTTTTCATAAATTATCATAATGTTGAACATAAATTGTTACGAAGATGGACTTAATATATTGATTGCATCAATAAAGAATCAAATGCACTAAACTATTAGGAAAAATAAATTCTAAATTTCTGAAATTAGAAAGAACTATGGTGCTGAAATAAGATCTAACCTTCTTTCGGCTCGATCTAATATGAGAAATTGCATTGGAAATTAATCTACATATAATTGTTGCTCAAGATTGTTAGAGAGCAGAAGGAGATACTCTCTTTTACCTTTAAAAAGCAATAATTTTAGATCTCCTCAAAAAGAAAAGGCAAAGCTTAAAACCAGAGTTTCCAACAAAGAGAAATTAATGAAATAAAAGTTTGAAATTCGAGCTTGGACTATACCAGACACGAACCAAACAGATTAAAGTTGAAAATATTTAAATTATTTTGTGTATATATTATTCTATAAAATTACCTAAGAAGCCTTTGTAACAATTATCTATAAATAGATAGCATTAAATTGTAAGAATTAAGTTGTCAATCACTAGAATATAGCATTAAAAGATTGTTAATAATGATTAGATGTGTAAAAGCATCATTACAGCTTTAAAATATTAATTGCATTCATAATAGTAGTTCCTAATTTCGCAGCCATCATTTCAAAACTTTGATCCAATCCAACTATGGTTGAACTGCCAAGCATAATTTTATCCTTCTCCTACTTTAGAAGATTTCTTTGTTTAATTGGAACTTCAAATACAGCAATCACTTGATTATCATAAATAATTGGATGGATTAGAACTGGCAAGATCGAATCCAAATCTATGGTTTCATCGAACTCTATTGATTTTCTCATGTTCATTACTATTAATTCCTAAATTTGATAAGTATTATTACTTTCTTACGATCACAAACTTGTTTTGCAATGCCTTTTTTACTTAAAATAATTGGTTGATCTAAAACTCTACCCTAGGTAACTGCATTTTTATGAGTCATACCATCCCAGCTAGTTCCAATGGTTTTATAAGTAATAAATGACTCATTCTTAACAAAATAAAAGGCTATCATTGAAACAGTTAAAATTGTCTCCATCCAATAACGTATATGTTTATACAATTCAAACTGAGTTTTACTTACAAGAAAATCATGAAAGGCATTTTAAACCATAGAATCGAACTTTAGTGTAACTGACAACAACCTGGTTTTTATTTAAGTTTTAATCAATTATTCGCAGAACTTAGCCAAAATTACACCATAATACTCTTCATCAAAAGAAAAGTAATCACTTACAGAATTGCTTATTTCTAAGATACCTGATAATATTTGATTCTGGTTGAAGATTGGATAAAGGAGACTTTGATTTGTATACATGGCAACATGATTGGTATTGTCACATAAAAGGTTATAATCTCGTTTGTGTAAAGGCTTTTAGAATCGCAACACTTCACTGAAAGATCCCTTATTAATTAAGACTCGTTAATTATTGCTTGAGTAAAGGATTCCCATTTAAGCATCCAAAATCCACAACCTTGTATTTTAACACATAAAGACATGTTTAAAATTATATTCAATGAACTGCATCTACTCTTAAAGAGATTCAATCAATTAGAGGGAAATCAGTTATTTAAGCATCATATTAAGCTTCTCAGAAAAGTCTTTAAATGACAAATATTATGAAGTTACTAATTGAATGGATTCTTTGATTTATTTCTAAGTTGATTACATCACCTTTTAAGTAAACACAGTAGTTCCTTATTCTTAGATATCATTCATGATATCTGCAAATTCTAATTTAAGAGCATTGATTCTGAAATCTAAATTATCACAAGCTTAATATCGAATTAAAATCTGAGTTGGATCATTTTATTTGTCATCTTATTGAATCCATTCAGCTCTATCCAAAGCCAAATTTTCAAGTTCTCTAATTGAGATTTTTTTTTTCATTAATTCGAGTTTTTAATTTAGTTTACTGATTCGTTGTTGAGATGATTTATATTGTTCAGTTAGTCGAGAGATTTCTTAATTCTTTAATTATAGTTCTCTTTTTTATCTTTCACATTCTTTTACTAAGTCAGTTAGTGTTTTTCTAATATTAACAGATTCATTAGGGAAATCACTTTCTAATATGATTTCTAACCTTTATTCTAAATTAGTTACTTTATGATTTAAATCACCACTTAACTTAGTTTGTAATTAATATTAATGATAATTTAATTGATTTTGATGCATCAATTCATCAATTTTGGTCTTAAGATTCTTATTTTAACCCTCCAAGTCATCATATTTAGTTTTCAATACTTAAAATTTCTATTCCAAATCACTATATAATTATTGAGCCTTCTATAATTAACGATCTTTATAACCCAATTCCAACTCACTTTAAGATGCCTTTTCAAGGCCTTTTGATAATATTTTGATGGTATCCATAATTTTCATAATATCCGTATCCTTGCTGTTGTTTTCAACCATTTTTAATATCTACATATGTAACTATTGATAAAAGTGTTACAATACATTAGTTAGTTAGGTGATATCTACGCTGGTGTTGGAATTTGGAGACATTATCTAAGTCTTTTTGCAGGTTGTCTATGATAACAAACTTGATAATTTTCTGTGCATAGGATGATAATTTTATTTATAAATTATATATATATATATATTTAAATTATAACAGTATGGGGAACACTTGTGAACATTGTAATTATAATTTGTAATATCACCCAAGGTTGGAAAGGACTGTCTGATTGTGCATAGTATTGTTGTGAAGGTTGTGAATAATGTTATGTTTGTATGAGACCGTGTTGCACATCAATGAGAGATGAATTTAGAAGTTGCTGTGCTATATGTTCATGCTAAGGATTTGGATAGTGTTTGTCATGTAATACCAATCCCTGTTTGATACTCGATAAATCCACTCCTGACATTCAATAAACATTATAAAATTACGAACACAAGACTCATTACTTGGATGAATGGTATGGGGATGTCATTCTTTTGGAGAATAAGCAAACTAAATTGCTTGCGATATTGAAAGTTTAAGAGTTTTTATATCAAACGGATTTTGAAGAGCAGAATTAACAATTCCTCTAACGTAAATTGTTATAAAATGATAACATTGTATAATTGAATGAATACATGTCAAGACAAGAGGAAGGATTCTGTACATCAATTTATAAATCATTTCTGATCTTCGATTATATTCTGACAGATTTTGCCTCTGAATTCCAATATAGATTGGAAAATAAAATCCCTTATCAGCAAGACGAATTCTATCCCATAATTTACTAATGTATTAATGGATTGAATTATCTACATTAAAATGGTATTATGCATCAAGCTTTGAGGATGAGAAACATCTTTATCACACAAGACAAATACAAAATAGCTGACCCTCATTTGTTCGATCACAAGAACGATTATCAAAAGATATACAGTGACAAACAGAAATATTCAAAAATAGCCTATCTATCTCCTGAACTAGTGAGTGAATTGGATAAAGGCAATAAAGAACCTAATGTTGATTGGTTTAAATCAGACATCTATTCCTTAGGGATGGTATTCCTACAATTATGCAGTGGAAAACAATCATCTCTCTGTTACGATTATGATTAAGGAGTGATATTTGAAGATAAGATATCTTCTCATTTGTAAACCATCAAAATTTCATGTCATGATTTCTTCTTTTACATCATCAAAGATATGTTGACTGTTAAAGTATCATAACGACCAACTGCTCAGTAATTGTATGAAAGATTAGACAAAAATCCAAAATGTAAATAATCTATCACTCCTGTCCAAATAATCCTAGAGCAACATCAAGATTAACAAATGGAATAGCAGTATTAGCAATAGGATGTATCTTAATTGATTGGTGGAGGAGGATAAGACCTTATAGGAGAACCAAATACGTTTGACTAGTATGATGTTTTGGGTCTCATCGGAAACGAACCAACTAAGTAAAAAGATTTAGGTATACTCTATTGAATAACTATTGTAGTTGAAACTGTAAAGGAGAGATATCCCAATGGATCCAGGTATTAAGGCATGAAGAGGAATGGTTTGAGACACGGAAAAGGGAAGTTTATTCACACTGATGGGAGCTATTATGATGGAATGTGGAAGGATAATAAAATGAGTGGAAAGGGAGTGTTATACAATTCTTAAGGCAAAGTAACCTATGATGGCAATTGGGCTGATGATCAATATCATGGATAAGGAATAGAATATAACTAGGACTAAATACCAATGATTTCTGGATTAGACCATAATAATCTAACCAATATTACATGTTGGCTCAAGTATGAAGGAGCCTTTAAGAGGGATAACAGGGATGGCTTTGGAACACTCTCTTTAAGCAATGGGGACAAGTATATTGGGGCATTCAAAGATGGATAAATTCATGGGTTTGGTACTTACTCGTATAAAAATGGGCAATCCATTTAAGGCAAGTGGAATATGGGGAAACTTCAAAAGTGAAATCCATTATTATTATTTATCATATTTATTATAAAAATGTTTCTAGGAAAAGCAGGGGTTATGGCTTTGTATGCTAAAAGGAAGTTTGATCAGAAGGGCAAGTTGCCACATCAATACTTGTTGGATCATCAACAAAAATTCCAATCTCAATTGAAAAAGAAGAATATTTATAGCATATGTTAATATCCAAAAGGAGCCTGGTTTTTAGGTTTGGTATTTGTATCCTCAGGAATATCATTGCTCTACATATTACTCAAGTACGATAAAGGAGATTTAACTTTGTGGTGGAGATTCTTGATCATCATTGGAATGACAATGTATTCTATTTCTTAAATGTTCATTCTAGTTTAGGAATTGTATTTCTAACAAGTGTTGATCGAATGAAATATGAAATACACAAAACCCATCAAATCTTATTAATAGAGAGAATGAATCCATTTCTATTTTGTCGTAAAATTACAATCATTAAGGATTTGGAATAATTGGAAGATATAAGAATAACCAAAAAGGGTCACAAATCAGTTGAGTATTACACAATTCAATTTATTTTCAAAGACTCTAAAGTAGATACTCTTGAGTATAATGAATTAAGAGAGTCTAAATTGAAATTTACAGAAATTACTACATTTCTAGATTAACAAAAGGATTTAGGTAAAATTCGAATAGAGCACGAACTCGATCCTTATTATCAGTTTGCCAACAATTCCAACTTAAATAATAATAATAACAATAATGATAAAAATAATAATAGTGATAGTTAAAAAATCAACTAATAGGAGTTAAATAAAGTTAATTAATAATCATATTATAATCAAGAGAATCAGAAGTCTACAATTGAAGAGAAGTATAAGGAAAACGACGTATTATTATGACATAGAAAACATTAAATTATCAGCAAATTATATTGGTATATATTCAAAAGAAATACATTCTCAATCATCAATCAATATTATTGCAACATTTTAAGACTTACCATCATTATTTATAATAGGCATGTCATCTTCATCTTCATTTTTGTTGATTTTATTGATATTCAAATATCCTCTATCAATTATGTCTTAGTACGTTTTAATTGTTTAATCTTATAATATTAAATTGATCTATTCATCTTTATCCATTTAACCCTAGGCTATTTTAAAATTATACATTATGATCTAATACTATCTAATCAACAGATATTTCTAACTGTTTGATTCGTTCTATTATGAATAGCTGATATTTATCAATGATCAAATGGAAACACACTTTTTTGCAAATTGGACAAATCCATTTTTTATGTTCTACTTTGATCATCATTTCCAAGAAACTACGTAAACAGAAACATTATTCATGCTAACAAAATTCACCCCTAATACATTTTAAACTTATTATATACTTTGCTGGTATTTGAATTAATTCCAAGGTGAATTAACAATAGAGACTAATAATCGTTTTAGCGACCAATATCTCTTTTTTTCCTTAATCTGATTTGATTTTTGGTTAGATATCGAGTGATTTAAATTTCTCAATTGTTTTTACAACATTCAGAGGTTCGACTAAAAACAAACCGAAAGAATAGATTGCGCCAATTGTATCTTTTCGATAAGTTTAATCCGGCAAATGTTCAATAATTGAGAATACAAACTTCTTAGAAAAGTTATTTTGTTTTAAGATATCTTTTACATTAAGAAAAATCGATGAATCCCTTCTTTTTTTTAAGCTTGACTTTTCTTGTAATGATCTGACCTCTTTGATGGGAATACCATTTATTAGTAATGTGCAAGACATTGGAAAGGTTAGATCATATAATCCTTGCTTATTAAGAGACACACATCTGATTTCAAGATTGCAATCAAATGAATTTTCAATAGTGAAACTATAACATGTTTTAGCATTTTCTTTACCTGAACATCTGTATTCAGCAAAGGCTAATTTTGTAATAATTTTTTAGAAGGGATTAATGGATACTAGCAAACATTATGTACATATTCTTACTCCATCTTAAATTTCAATAGTTTTTGTATCTGAGCATTGACAATAATTACATACAGGTTTTTCAAATTTAGATTGCTCTTTTTCTGATTTTTTGATTGCTTTTTCATTGCTCTCCATTATTATTAATTACTCTGAATTCTTTTTAACTTTTTAAGTTTCATTTTGGTTAGTACATAATAGTTTTTCAATAATTAATTCCAATTCTTAGCTTTCTTTTTATCTATGTTTATCACTTCTTTCTAATCTCTCTAATCTTTCCTTTTCTAATTTATCTTATCTTTCTCTCTCCAACCTTTGTTTTTCTAGATATTCAATTCTTTCTTATCTTTCTTTTTCTAATCTCTCTGCTCTTTCTTTTTCGAATTTCTCCACTCTTTCTTTTTCTAACCTATCTTTATCTTGCCTTTCTTTCTCTAATCTTTCTAATATTACATTCTTCTCTTTTTATTAGAACTTTTCTTAATCTGCTTTATTATGCTTCTATTTATTATTATTATCATTTCTATCCTTTTTCTTCTAATCCTTCTTCTCTATGATTGGTATAATCTATTGAGTCTATTTTTCAATTTTCTGTAATATATCAGATTCTGAATGTTTTTTTTTTTCAATTTTTTACAGTTTTTCTCTTTTATTGATACTTTCTGGTCCCTTAATAGATTTCTTCTCATGCTTATTAAACAATTTAATATTCTCCTTCCTTTTAATGCTATCTTCTCTCAATGATAAATCATCAGAGGTTCTTAATTCGAACGATTCAGATAAAGAATCTGGTTTAAAAGTTGATGGTTTGCTATCTTTTCTTTTTATGATATCCAATGAGGGGGACAACTTTTTCTTTTTTTAATGGTTGTGGAGTTCTGTTTTAGATTATAGAGATCTATTTAATTGGGTTTCCTTAATTTCAACAGGTTCAAGCGTTGTAAATGTTTTGTTTTGGAGGTCATGTTTTTGAGGACTTTTAATGATTTTCTTTTTGAGAATGAGATCTGGAATGAGTTTAGGATCTTTAGGTTTGATTTCCTATTTATTTGAGGCTGTTTTCGATGATGTATGTTTAACGTGATCATTTGTTTTATTAAATTGATTATTATTTATGTCTAAATTAACCCCAATAATATTTGGCACAGGTGTTAAGGATTTAGGGAGGAATACCTCCAAACCAATTTTTGGTTTGTTTGTGTCCACGATATCATCATCAATGATTTAAACTATGTCACTTTTTGGTTTAAAACAAACAGGACTTTTGATTGGCTCAGGTTTTTAGGGTAATGCTATTTGTTGATTTGATTGTAGTTCTTGTGGTTTTGACTTATTTCTGGTGATCTGAGCCTAGGATATGATAGGAGAGAGCTCATTTTTTTCATTTAAATATGAAATAAAATGGGAAGCAAAATGCTTAAAAAAGATTGCATCCTTTTAACCTCCATACTCATTTACCCCAATTTATTTACAGATGTGTTAAATCTGAAAGTCTCGATACTAAACATATTTGAAAAGCGTACTTAAACTAATGGGTTGATTGGACTGTTTAATAAATCAACCACCAGTGTTTCTAATAGCTATCTATGTTCCATAATATAATAAATAATGTATTATTTAATTGATCTTTAAGATCTAAAAATCCTGTAAAAAAATAAACATCACTAACTCAATCAAATAAAATGCCTTTAACCCATTTTCCTGTTACTTCACCAGATAACCCAAAAAATGTGCCAAATCCACTCGGAATATCATCAATGAACTCTCCTGCCCACTTTTCTCCACTTGAGAAGTACAAGATGCCATAGCCGTGTTTTTTATCTTACTTAAAATCTCCTTCATATTTTGACCAATAATTTCCGATATTTCTGAGATCTCTAAAATTATAATTTTAAGAGATATTAGGATTTGGATTGACCAGATGTCCAAAATTATGATATTTCCCATTTTAAAACTATCCTTTATATAGTATTCTTCCATCTGGTAAAAACAATTCACCTTTCCCATGCATTAAATCTTAGAACCATTCTCCTTCATATCCAGATCCATCAGGATTAAGCAATTTTCCATGGCCATGCCTTTTATTGTCAATCTAATCCCCTGTATAAACACCTCCAGTATTTAAATTCTAGTTTTAGACTCTACTAACTAAACTGATTGGCTATAATTTCTAAGCTGATTGCAAAGGGGCTTAGCTTTTATTATTATCTTATGTAATTGGCGTGATTGGCTTATGCTTCATTAACTATAGGATCTGTTATAATGAGTATCTTTCGTCTGGTTCTGTCTGCAACATATAGATCAAAACATTATAGAATTCTTAACTATTTATTTTTTATAAGTAAAAGTTGAGTTTATTTTTATTAAATTTTGATTCTTCATACACATCATCTAATGATGAATTTACTAATTAACTTAATACAAATAATCCAACTAAAAAACAATCGCTTTTGTTCCAATCAAATATCTACTCATTTTCATCTTCCCATTCAGGAGGATGTCTCAATTTATGATTAGCTCTATATTGTTCATAAACTGATTATTTTAATAAATTTGATGGCAACAACACATAATTAGTATCATAATAAACAAGTAACTCATTAAATATTGATTTCTCTTCTGAATAATTTAAGATTTAAGATGAAATTTAAGAAAGAAAAGTATAAACCTGGAACTTGTGTTTCTTTTGAATGTGATGCATTTTAGGTAATAATACTGCTATTCTCCATCGGTCTATACAAATATCCTGAATTCTAGCTCCATATATTTACATCTCTGTATATTTGAATATATTCTAATGCCAAACACTTAAAGATTTTGAATATTCATTTTGATTTGTGAACCAATAAGTCTTCAAAATTATCTTGTCATAAAACTGAAGTGTTGATGTTTTCTTTTTCTTCAATATGAAGGATTCTTCTAATAATGCATGTCGATATCTTTTATAAATTCTATAATTGCCAATCAATTCCTTAAACTAAGCTAAGAAGGTTTCGTTTTCATCTTCCAATTCAATATGACGATTAAAATTTAATTCTGTAAGAATATCTCCTGCTGTGCAACATTGCATACACTAACAACATTGCCAATTATCACAACAATTAGTTTGAATTGTATTAATGCAATCACATCCACATTCTTGACATTCACAATCCTTACAACAATCTTCACAACAACATCCATTACAGCAATCATTCAAATCACAGCAATCACAATCATCATTATTATTTTAACGTTATTAATTCTATATATTCATTAATTTATATAATTCAATCCAGACTTGAATTTTAGTAATAATCTTTTCTACTCATATTCTTTCGCTTTGATCCCCATTCTTTACAATTCTTCGTTATTATATTGATAACTCTTTAATATATCTCTCATTATTTATATAGGAACTAAAGCTACACAATTTTCAGGCACTTAAAATAACTCTTCTGGATAATCGACATATTAAATATTTAAATCATCTTTTAATAATTCTACTAAGTTTTTTGTTCTTTATTTATTCCCTTAATTCTAAAAATTAGATGGCTAAAATTCAGATTAAGCTCTCCTTGTTTTTAATGGATTGCTGCCAATATTAACTATGCTTTAATCAACTGGATACTTTGGTGAATACATATTTTTATTATTATTCATACTTATTATTTGAATTAAATACCCTTTACTCAAATACTAGTTCAAATTATCATTTTAATTATCAACAAAATTTAAGTAATCTTACAATATACATTTAATTAATCAACAGAATTAATAATAGATACATACCTTGCATTTATATAAATAAAACATAATAAATTTATCAATCTACAATATTTGAAAATGGATGCTATTTAAATATCTCCCACTTTTAAGTACCAATTTCATTGTAATCATCAATTGATATTGAAAATTAGGAAAGCATATTTGAATGTTTATTGGCGAAGTTCTTCATTCCCAACCATGTTCCAAAGACTGGATCTGTGGCAATTTTAATAGCAATCGGACAATCATATTCTGATATTAAGTCTTTCTGTAATCTTTACATAATTCCTTGTGTTTTCGCTCCACCTCCTGTTAGGATGATGTTTTACAATAGGAGTTTATCCAAACCTTTAGATGATAATTTGATCATATCCACTAACCCTTATTGCTCAACTCCAATCAGACTAGGTTAGAAATAAATTTCTTAACACCTTACCCGATCAACCGATAATGGGACTTGACTGAGATTCATACCTAATTGATGTATATTAGCTATAGATTTAAGGATTTTAATCTCGAAATCAGGATCTAGGTCTTTTAATTCTTGTTCTAATTCTTACAGTTTGTATTTAGACTTTTCATCAGCAGAATCTATTTCTTTGGTAACACTTCTATAGATTTCCCAATCCTTGTCGTCCTTTCCAAAATCATCCTCAGCCTTATCATCAGCACCTAGGTAGGCTAGAGTTTAGATCCTCTTCTAATTGAATCTTGAATTCCTACTATTCATTTCTTATTGTAGTTTTTTCCTTTCTTGTATTTGTAAAACTATACGATCTCTCTTCTCGTATAGCATTTGTAAATATTTCTCAGGTTCTTCCAATTTGAATTTGTTAGCATCTTTTTGTAATTACTTAAATTCCTAGTTCTTTTATTTTTTCATCAACGCTTATTCATACATGACTTTTTGATATCTTTTCTAATTCAATTAAGAAGGTGTAAGTTTATCATCAGGGACATTCAATAAATTATACTTCAATTCATCTAAGGCTTCTTTGGGTGCTAAACCGAGTTTAACTTACAGAGTTGTAATTTTCTTTTTGAGTTCCTCGTTATTTAGGTCAGCTTCTAATTCCTATTGCAATGCCACTAATTGTTATTCCAATTGCGACTTCTTGTTAATTCTACTTTGCTAGATGGATTCCTGCAATCTAACTTTCATCCTTTATCTATTTTCATCTTTTCTCTTTAAGTCTTCTGCACTCACAATTTTCTATACAATGGGAATATCAATGTATATGGGATCCAAGAATTGTAGTTAATCATCATGAAATCTATTTTATTCTGATATTTAATCTCTGTATCCGTAGTATTATTATGGGCCCTGGAAATATCGCAATTAGAGTTGATAATCAATAGCAACACTGGTGTACTATTTATGCCAATAATCAATTTAAGGATAAGTGAATTTCAGATGGGGGTGTCTCAATTGGATGGTTTAATAAAAGTACTTTAAACTGTTGAGACCACCCAAGTTCAATCGTTTGATGTTGGAATATATCACTTGGCCATTGACTATTGGGACTACATGGACAGTTTGATCACCCAGATGAACAATTAATTAGGTTTGTTTGAGATAGGCTTCCAAGTCATCTTGAAATACTGAGAACAATGCATCCACTCCCAACATCACATTTGGCACTTGATAGCATTCAAACATTTGTTCCAGGACTATCATTCTTGCTAGATCAGTGGTGGCAAAACATTCTGTTAATATTATCGGATGATTGACTCTGCCATGCTTTCCAGCTTAAAGTCTTTCGAATACGAAGTCATTTAGTTATTCTAATGCACCTGAATGTTAGATGAGATTCTTCTCAAAAGGTGATCTGTAATTCTTAAATACGTCTGTGTCCCATTGAGCTATCTAATTGGATTGCGTATTAGAGTCCTTGAATTTATTGATGTAGCTTCTGATGACTACATCTGGAGTTTGAGATGTGGCATATCCCTAAGATGAAAAAGAATGCTGTTACTGCTTTGATTGTTGAGGCTCCGTAATCGATCAGGATGGGCACATCATTTTTGGCACTCGTATAATTATCTCTCATATAATTCATGATTAACACTATTATTATTAATTAATAGATGGATTATTATATAAATGTAGTAATCAGAAAATGCAACAATTCTTTGAACAGCAAGATGGACTGGCAACTATTGATTCCTTTTCTCCCTCCATTTTTATCCTTTAGTTTTTCACTTGTTTCTCATCCATTTACAGTTTCCTTTTCTTTTTCTTTTCATTCTAGCCCTCCTTAAATTATTGCTCTTCAACACTTTAATCATCCATATCCATAAACTACACCTGATCCATGCAATTCTTTTTCGTTGACGTACTTAAGTAAGATTTGTACTTCTCCTCATAATCCTACAGGGGAGCCTAATCCTAAATGGAGGACTCAGATGACTGCAACACTTTGTCTTCGAAAACAGCCATCTGCTAATTTAAAAGGGGGTTTCCGTTCTCCTCCAAAACAGTTATCTTCATGAAACTAGACTTCTTATTTACAGAACTACTATTCAATGAGCCTATTGAAAGATGTGAAGTTTTATTATTATTCCCATTCACTAATCCAGAAATGCCTTCTCTTTTTTACAATGGCCTATGATAATTTCATGGGAATACCAAAATTGTATCACGTTAGGCTGGTCTCCGCCATACTTGATTTCCAATTGATCCTTGGGAATGTACTACAGTAATTAGGAATATTCGGTTATCACTTACAATTTGACACTAAGGTCGGGAAATTTATCTAATCATATATTTAAGATAATCACCAGTAAATTATTTCAAGATTACTTAAATGTCGTCTGGGCCATTTATTATTAGCATTTTATTGAGATTTCCATAAAATTGGAGCTGCAAATATAAGAGATCTTCCAATTCCAACACTGGCAAATCCAATTCCAGGTCTATTATTATGGTCCAATTTTCAACATAATAATCTATCAAAAGAAATCTCCTAACTGTTTCCAAAAAATAAGTAATTATTTTGATATCACAATATTGTCGAAAGATAATGACTGGCCTGTATTGGTTATCGAATCCGCTTACATACAGGTAGCCTTTCACCAGGTCCTTCTAAAAGTCACTCTTCTTGTACTCCTTCATATACTTTAAGTGCAATTAACAATTCTAATTATCTAATATTTTTATTACAATACTATTATTGCTCTTTCCACATCGTATTGAGCTGCCATCAGCATTTTCAACAGTCTGCTTCTCTTCAAATTGATCTTCAAGCCCTTCTCCTCTATCTTCTACTTCAAAATCTCTATTTGTTTATTCTCATATTCATCGTATTCTACATTCTCAAAAATATTCCTCTGGATCCAAGGCCCATTCCCGCTTTTTATATAGAACTCTTCATAATATCGATTATGTACCATTGTGCACTATTGATGTAATTGATTAAATATGTTCGCTAATCATATAATTAATACAAAACAATAATTATAAATTATATTTATAACTTAAACTTATTACAACAACTAATGAATTAAATCAAATCTTCAAAATTATTATCGATTGAGAACATTTACCTGATTTTCAACTACGCAAAACATTTCACTCAACTCATTATTTTGAACACTCTGTCTTTGTAAGATCTTCTTGAAAAAAGGATAAATTAAATCAAAAAAATCTGTGATTACTGTTATCACCAAAACCGTACTCATCAAACTAATGATGCTCCACCCAATCATAATCAAAACCTGAGGGTCATTTTAGTAAAAGTTGTTAATTAGATATAGACTGCAAATTATGAATTACACAATGTGAGAGGACAGTTGCTTCAAATTCTCCGATGGCTATTTAATTATTTTGTAACTATACAAAAAGTAACAATATTAAAATTCGTTTAAAATGCATAGCAAAATCTGAATAGCCCCAGATTAAAAAAAGAACACCAAAAACATCACAAACAACAGCTTTTGAACACACATGTATATGTATACATTGTCCTCTTTATTTAGTAATTTCAATCTTTTGATTAAGCCATTACTCTATTTCAATTTTGATAGCAATAATAACGTACTTACCAGCAGAGTTGAAATGGCTATCATAACCCCACAGTAACCCTCACTGTCACTTTGTGAATACTTCATAGCAAGGAATATATTTATTCCAAATTCGTAAATCATAGCAATAAATAAACTTTGAATTTGAGGCCAATACTTTATTTTTCTTATTTTTATACATTTCTTTTATATGAAATTTACAATGTAAAGCTATGATTATTTTAAATGAATTGCATTTAATTATGACAGTTTTCTTATTACTAATACAGTACCAAATTTCAATATCATCAGTGTTACTGTTAATATTATATACACCAAGCTTAATTGGGAAATGTTATTTAGAAAATTTGCATTTCTCTCATCAAGTTCAAATATTGGTTCAGAATGGTAATATGTCAATACGCCTTTGAAATTAGAATCTGGATTCATGTTCAATTAATCATAAATGTTATTTAGCTATATTATTTTGAAGGTTTAGTAAAATTGAGCAAGATTAATACCAATCCTAGAGTTTAGATATTTCAAGTAATACAGTTACTGAATAATATCAATTAAGTTAGTTATTATTTGTAGTTATCCAGTTATCGAGGATAATGCTATAAATACAGCCATTATCTTCAATAATTACGAACTCATTGAAATTAATGATTAACTACTTTGTTATTGACTTTAATCAAGAACATTTGGAGATAATAATTTTGTTGATAGAATCTGTTATTTTATGGATAAGCCATACTCATTTTCCAATATTTAATTATTATTAAACCTTACCTTTAAGACTGGATCTTGAATATACTCCAAAAACTCAATCTGTATTGAAATAATAATATAATTTAAATCTTAGTTGATAGAGTTAGTCTAATAAGAAATATTAGCACTTTCATTTCTACCCTCAATAAAAAATACTAAGTTCTCAAGATAATCTTGTTTGGTGTAATCCTCTGCCAATCTCATATCTTAGTCATAAATTAATTCTGCATATTATAAACCAAAAAACTCATTTGAAAAAACAAGTTGAGCACTTGGCGAAATTAAGATCGTACATTCAGAATCTCTGCAATAACTATCTTAAGATGGAGTACAATTTATATCACATCCATCTCCATTGATTTTATTGCCATCATCACATAACTCTTTTCCATTTTAAATGCCATCACCACAATAAGTAATACAATTATTATTTTTTAGGGTGAAACCTTGTTCACATTACAAACACTCATTATCTATTGATATTTCACAATTCTTAATAAAATTATCTAAATTCTCAATATCTTCACATTTATTATTAATTAATAAATAATTCTCTTTGCAGGATAAACACTTATTTTGTTTTTCGCATTGAGCACATTTAGAATCACATTGTAACTTACAATTATTGGTACATTCATCTTCATCACTTTGATTACCATCATCACATTCTTCTTATGATTCAACCAGAATGCCATCTCCACACATAGATTCACATGATAGAGTTTCAAAGCTAAAATAAAAACCAACACTACAAGGAGAAGGTCTTATAATACATTTTCCTTTTATACACTCAGAACAGTATGGTTAACATTAATATTTGCACTAATAGCAACCATCATACTAAATTACATTACCATCATCACACTCCTCATTTTTTGAAACTATACCATCTCCACAATTTTCAATACAAGTATTTGTTTCTTCATCTAGATAAAACCCTTGAATCTAATTGCAGACTGCCTTTGGTTGACAATATTTTTCATCTACTAAAATCTAATCTTATTAACATCTGAAACATTTTCCAAATTGGCAATATTCACAAGAGTAATCACATGAATATTTACATTCATAACAACCATCAAAAAGCAAAGAGTTATTGTCTTCACATTACTCATAGCCATTCAATTAATTATCACCACAAATTGGTTGACATGAGTTATTGTAATCATCCAATTCAAAATTGTTATAGCATTTCAAACAAGTTTCATGGTACTAGATGAGACAAAACTCCAATAAAGGTTAAATATAATCTTAACCTGTTGGGCCATCATAATGAGTTAAATATTCTAACTAAATTTCACATTATTAAGCAAATTAATTATAGGTATATGGGTATTGGCATTTCTAGCAATTCATTTTGTCATAATGTGAACAAAATTCAAAAAATATAATTTAGGTTTCCTCAATAATTTATAAATTCTGCTCATTTTACATCAATAAATCTTAATATTTCCAACAGGCTCCTTTTATTTTGATATAATCCCTTTAACATTATAAACATTATCCTTTATGACAGGTCAAACAATAAGGAGAACACTAATATACACATTGATGACATGCATCAAAAGGATTTAAATTGCCATCATCACAATCCTCTCCAAACACAACAATGGCATCTCCGCAAATATTAACACATTAATAATTGGTTAGCAAATAGCCTGCTTTACATTAAGTACATCCATTAATTGTGCATGTCTGACATGATTATTAACATGATAATTAACAATTATAACAGCCATCCAACATTAAACTATTCATATCCTCACATTTTTCATTTCCAACAATAATATTATCATAACATAATTCAATACATTTATTTTTTGATGCATCCAAATAGTAGGTACTGATGCAACTTTAACATTTATTACTTACACAACTCGTACAAATATCTATCGTCTAGCATTAAAATAAACAAGCTGCATTGCACCCATCATAATTTACTAAATTAAAATCATCACATTATTCTATATATCTGTTGTATGGATCTACAGCTAGATATCCATCCCCACAAATATTTACGCAATAGTATGTATATGGTCTAAATCCAATTGTTTTACATTCTAGGCATGTGGTTCCATCATCACTACAAGTCTTGCAATCATCCCTGCATACTCTTTTACAAGCAAGACAACTATCATTACCATCAAAATTATATCCATCATCGCAAGGCTCATTTCCAACTACATATCGATCTCCACACTTTTCTATACATAAATTTGAAGCGGGGTCAAACATCCAACCAAAAGTTTGACATTCAGAACATGCACCTTTGTTACATCTTGTACATTAAGGTTAACATTCAATTTTACATTAATAACAACCATCAAATTATACGCTATTAGAATCATCACATTCTTCTAATCCACTCACAACACCATCACCACACATATCCAGACAAGGGAATACAGTAGTGTTATCACAAACAGTACATTAAGCAGGACATTAGTATCTACAATTGTGACATCCATCAAATTAGATTAAATTTCCATCATCACATTATTCTCCAGCTACAATTATTAAGTCTCCACATATAGGTTTGCATTAATTATTTACAGTATTGTATCCCAAGGGACAAACAAATGTAGGACATATCTAATTAAACCAAATTGAAGAGCCGTTTCCGCAAATCTTATAACAAGATCCTAATAAGGCATCTTCCGCAACTGGACATTAAACACAAATATCTTAAATATTATCAAAATATCCATCATTGCACTTGCAATAAAATCCATCCAAAACTCTAAATTAAGTTGAATGACAAGATAAACAAGTGGAGTCTGATTAGCCAAAACATGTTTCACATCGATGTGAACACAATTCGCATTTCAATTAAAATTCATCAAAGTAATATCCAATATTGCATTCACAAGAACTTCCATTTAAGATTAATTAGTCTAAAACTATGCATGACTAGCAATTCTAATTGGAAGGTCCATAGCATTTTGTACATAACTTATCACATGGTTAACACATTTAGATAGTATTCTAGTCATAATAACCATCATAACATTTACACTGCCCATTTTCTAAGTATCTCAAAGATGTAGATTCACAATGAATACAATAAGTAGTTGATTAGCACTATTTACAACTATAATGACAATCTAAGCAATTAGTGCCATCATGGAATTAGTTAAGTTAGCAACCTATTACACATGTTGTAAGAATCAGTTTATAGTTAGGCTTACATGTGAAGCATTCATATTCATTAAAGCAAGTAAGACATTCAATGGGACAATCTTCACAAGTTGAAGTACTTTCATCTACAAATTAATTATCTAAACATTAAGATTATTCAACTTTTACAATATTCGGATCAAATGTCATCCACTCATCACAAGTGAGTTCATTTGTACACCTATTACAATATGGCTTACAGTAATGAACAACAATGTAATAATTTGATATTCCACAATATGAATCAATAACATTAACACCATAGCATTAAATTGCAACGGTTAAAGTAGGATTATATGTTAGCACTTTTTCAATAACACTTAAAGTTGAAGTTTTAGTTAACTTTATTTGAGTACCATTGTTAATTTCATATGAAAAGTAATTAGTAGGAGATGTTGGAAAGTTCGGACCAAAAATAACTTAAAAATATATTGTTAATGAATGATGCGGACTTAAAGTATAAATCTGGGAAAACCTGGATTGCGCCCAAACAAATTTACCTCCAAATACTCTTTTTGTATCAGTGTAAGACCAAAATACAAAAGGACCTTTTTACAAATCAGTTGGTACAGATGATTCCAAAATGAAGGTTGTATTTAGAGTATCTGTGGCAGCAAAGTCATAAAATTCTCTCACAAAATATTATGAATCTTATGTTAAATGATTATTTACATTTTGTTGCTTCATTGTATTTGACACAATGAGTACCATTATAAGTACTTTCAATTGGACAACCCCAGTATTAACATGTTCCATCAGAAATTTTTACATATCCAGAAGGACATTATATACATCTATAAAACATGTCACATTTGAAACACGCATATGGACAATAGCCTGTAGTGATTTACACCAGTCTTAAAAACCAAGCTGCTCCTGGTGAACTAATTTATTCTGGAAAGTTACGTAAAATTCCCTTAAATAGAATATGTTAACTTTTATTCAATGAAAGTAGTGAATATCTCAACAGATATAAACTAATTATTAGTACATTCTCCAGTTACTGGATATACTGATTATGATCTCAACTCTACTTTATCGAAAATATATTAGGTTCCATCATAATAAACAGAACCAACATAGGTCTAATTGACATAAAATTGAACTCCTGTGTTTATTGGAGTTGCATTACAAAATACAATTTAAACTATTGTACCCAAAGGATATATCCCATATGCGGTGCTAATAGATGTATAGACTCCCTCTCGAAATCTAAAGAGTCCAAAATTATAAGGAGCTAATTTTTTATCAACAACATCTATATGTTAAGGGTCATAAATGATATTCCAATTATACCAAGTTTCTAAATTAACTACACTTAATACTGAGTAGATTAAAGTTGTTGGTGCAAAATCTAAACAAATTCTATTTTATGATTTTATTTTAGATCCTGTTATATAACATTTATTTACGCATCCATATGCTTACATAACACTTTATCTTATGGGACATCTGCAAACTCCATTAAGAACGGCCAAATTTGGTGAACATGCAGTGCATTAGTTTTTGTCTGGCCCTGTGCATTAGGTGCAACCAGGATAGCAATTTTAAAATGATAAATGCACATTTCTAATCATTGCACTTACCGAAGGATTGTATATTGTAAATTTAGGAAATTGATAAGCATTTGAACTATAAGGTAATGTAAAGTTATATGTTCTAAGCTCATATTAAATTGAATCACAAAAACCTTCAGTTTGAGGCAATGGATCTGACGTAGAATGTCTAATTTAAAAAATTTAATTATTAAACTCAAAATCTATGACATCATCTACCCATTGACTTGTATAATATACATCAAACATTATCAATTTGTATGCGTTAGATAGTGTTGGTGCTAAAGATACATAATTTTCTAACGAATTCATTTAAAGACTATCCAGTCTTAAGGCAGTTAATGGATTTGTTAAGCAATTTAAATATAAGGCTGGTCCTGTATATGTTTAATTCTTGAATCCATATAAACAACCAATTGAAGCGCATGTAAATGTTTTAAATTCATGTATTCCATTGTAAAAAATCATCCAACCCCCTACCACTGCATTGATTAAACTACTTATTAAGAAGATTAGCACTAAATATTACATAAACTAAAATTAAATATTGATTAAAAAGCATGGAAATTTCAAGCCCTTCATTGATCAGCCCAATCGATTTCTGATCATTCTTTGGGACTTTAATTTTTTTAATTCTAATTTTTACCATTCAATAAATATGTTTCACCATAAATTTCACTGCATTTTGTTTAAATTATTTGTTGAAATCTTTATAAGATTAAAGAAGATAATTTATATATATAAGAGATCCTCTTTAACACTGAAATTATTATTTTAGTGGTTAAATTTAGTCTTTAAAAACAGCAATTATCTACCTTATAATTAATTTTTTTATAAAAAAATATTATAGCATTCATAAGTAGTAATATTTAAGAATTTATATTAAGTATACAATCAGTTTTCTATCCGATAGAGTACAATTGCATTCTTTATCACCTAATTTTATTGTCCAAAATAAAAGACTTTTCAAATTATCAATTAATATAATCGCAATTAGAACTTTCTAGAATCTTGATCAAACTCTTCCTTTATAAAAAATATATGTTAACACTAGGATTGAAAAAGAATCTATAATACACTTTTCACTAGTTTGATTTCTTTTTAATTTATGAAATTTCTCTCAAATTTGGTTTCATCTCATATTATTAATTTTTCTAAATTGAGACCAAGGATTTTAAATTAAAATACTCTAAGTCCACCATCTTCTTGATGTTTAATTATAGAAAATTTGAATATAATTAATATGCCTTATATTAAATTAATTATTAATTAAGCTTTTAAGCTAAAAATTTATAGTGAAAGCAAAATTTAATTATTATCATAGAATCTTCCTCAAAACTTCAAAGCATGTCTTACATCCTTCTAGTTACCATATTCAATCATTTATGCAATTTATTCTATTTGACCATATTTTTCATAAAGAATAATAATTAAGCTTAATTGTTTTAGTAAAATAGTATTATTTAAAATAAAAATTAAAATTTAAAAAAAATTCATCTTGAAGTTTTTCCAAAACTAAGTAGTTTAATGGAAAATATGTCCCCTCTTGCGATGTTGAAATCATCTAAAATTATAATCAATAAAATTAATCCAAAATGGCTTAGGTTATTCACTTTAAAAAAATCAATTATAAAAAAGGATATAGCATAAGCAACACATCATTCTAAATACATAGGTTAAACAAAATCTAATTTATGTTTAAAATATAATAGGGATTGTTTTGTTAATAATTTATTATTTGAGTTTCTAATCAGTTTTATTACATTCATAATTAATTTGATTGGTTAAATAAATCAGCAATAAATATCCAATATCTAATTATTATGCCTTTTTCTCTATTGATTTAAAAGAATAATCATAATGTTAACCTTTATTTATTACAAGTGAGAAATTTATTTTTAAACAAACCAAAAATTTGATGGTTCAACCTAAGATGAATAAAATATTAATTAATAATATGAAAGTTCTTATTCAATGTTAGTTTGCTCTATTTGTAGTAATTTTCAATACAATAATTAACACTTTAATAAACTTAAACGAATCAGAGTATACTTTATTATCGTTCGACGTCGTAAATATATTGATTTTCGATTTATATTTATAAAAAAGCAATTTTATATGCTAGATTGTTCATAACACTATTATTCTTTGACTTTTAACCCATGAATTTATGTTAATTAGAATTAGAAACCTATTTTGTAAAATTTTTAATATTTTTTACAAATATAAGTCCTTTATATAAATATTTTGTATTTCCTTCTTAAATAATTGTAAAATAACGTATAAATTGGTTTGTATTATCTGAAGTTATTTAGGTATTTTTGGCTAGAATAGGATATGCAATACTTCTAGAATAATATTATTCATTTTTAGAATTTAAGAATATTTATTATGTTATTATATTTAAAATGAATAAACATATATTCACTATATACAAATAATTTCTTACTAGCCTTATCAACATAGATAGATAAGACTTTCTGAAGATTTTCTAGACCAACCACATTCATTTCCGGTCATTAAAAAATGTTAATTCTTATAAGAGTTTGCAAATAAAGAATTTCTTAATGTTTTCCTTCTGTTCATTTCAATATTTGAAGGCTTTTTGTCAAGAGTAAATCCTTAAAACCTTAAACTTTAAAGAGGGGACTTTACGGAAAAGATCATTTTTGATATCGTCAAAGCCTTGTCTTCATTGTCAGAAGTTGATGTATTGACATGAGAATCATAATTTGAATGTTTTCTTGAATCAATTGATGAAAATTTGGATGAATTAGAAAATTTAATTGGTTCTCTGCTCTCAGACTTGTAATATAACTTAGATCTCTGACTTCTCATTGTTTTGATTCTTCGAATTTATGCTGAGTCAGTTTACACTCTCTACCCACTTAAATTGTTTATGGACAGTTAATTAGCAATGACATGAGGGGTTGAGTTTAATCTCATTTTGTATCTCTGACAGTAAATTGATATCAGTGCTGCGTTTTTGTTTTTATTTCCGTACATTTCTCTTTATTTTTAATTTAAATTAATTATCCCTATTATTGAATTAGTTTAAGACTTCCTATTTACTAGTTTTCAGTAATATTAATTTACGTCATTAATATTATAATAATATTTTTATAAAAAGATTCATTTATATTATAATCCAAACAAATGTACAATTTAAGTTTATTATTGTGTATTAATTCATATTCTATAAATAATCCGTTTTAGCATTCTTTTCTATTTATTGATATATTTGCAGCAATAAATACTCTACTTAATCAATAATTATTATCATCATTTTATATAAAACAAAAATACTCTATTTAGGAATCATAGAAATCTTGAGCTTAATAAAATCAAGCACTGTCAGCATGTATTTTTGAAATTTATATAAACTAAGACTTATACATAGTACTTAAAACCATTGATATAAAATATTTATTTGAAAGCCGACGCTCCTGTGTATCTATTAATTTGTCGCATTTCCAAAAAAATAACAATTTTGATAGATTCACATTTAATTTATTATAAATAATATAACTAATGAGATATCTGTTAAATCTAAATTCTTTTCTCAAAATATTATGATATTTCAAGAAATCATTTATTTCAGTAATGTAAACTGTTATAATCTACTTAAACTGATTTTAGTATTCTTATTGAAATGTTTAAGAGCAAAAGTGCTTGCAAATACTTTCCATAACCTTATTCAAAACCAAATATAATAATCATATAAGTAATCATTCATTTCTATAAAATATAATATTATTTAATATCAATATTATAAAGTCCCTTTATCAACTAAACTCTTGTATATTGTTTGAATTTCTACTTTTAATTACTTATCTTGAAAGAACTGAAGATTTAGAACTTCATTACCATTAAGTAGAGAAAGTATGCAGTAGAAAAAATATAAGGTTTAGCTTTAGCAATTATCTGGGTTTTGTATTTACCTCTTAAAAATTCGTATTAAGTCTCTTAGTTATTCAAATGAAAAAGTTGAGTTTTTAACATAAAATGAAAAACACATTTTGATTTCTTCCTTAATTAGGTCACCATGATCATTTCTAAGTTTAAGCTTTTTACAATTACAATATAAATTGCATATATTCTTTTATCTTTTATTGTGGAGGAATAGAACTACGAATAGGTTGTTATATTTAAATTGGATCAGGAATTTATTATGGAGGAGGTGGTAAATTTTAATTTGGAGCTTAATTTGGCTAAAAATGATTCTAAACCCCTGCAAATTAATTCGGTTTCTATTAAAAAGGATGTGGATTAGGTTAAATATGAGGTTAATTTATTTAATTAGGATTATTTTATATGTTAATTTTGTGGCTAAATGGTGTGTTCTATACTTTAATATTTTTTCTGAGATTACAATTTCCAATATCAATTTTAAATTAGATTGGACTTGGACAATGACCTGACTCTTTTTTATAATCTTTGACAAATTTATACAAATATTCAAAAGACAATCTTTAATCAGGATAGTATACTAACATTTTCGCAATGATTTCCTTGAATTTTGAGGCTCCTGGTAATATCAAAGGATTAGCTTTTATTTTTTATGCAAAATCCACAATAGAATCTAATCTTTTCTCAAAAGGAAGTTTACCATATGTCATCTCATAAAGAATTAAACCAAGCTAATTTTTATAATGTATTAATACTGAATAAACATCTACTTGACTTTTCGAATGTTAGAATTTTTTCAAATTTACAAAATTATTATAAACTTCGCAGTCATTAAGTTATGAATTTATTTCAGGTGCTACATAAGCAGGTGTGCCAATTTTAGTAAATTCAAAATCGTTAGCTTTATAAATTTTTGCTGTTCCAAAGTCAGATAGCTTATAAATTATTTTTTTTTCTCTTTTAATTAATATGTTTTCTGGTTTAATATCTCTATGTATTATGTCTCGATCAAAAAGAAAAGAATATCCAGTTAAGAATTAATCTAAAAAATCAAGAAATTCATTCTCACTAAAAGTTTTTGGATCTTTTAATTCTAAGTACTATTTTAAATTAGCATCACATTTTTCCATAATAATTATCAATACTTTCTATTCTGGTAGATATTTTACGTAATAAACTTTGACTATGTTTTGATTAGATTGATGTTAAGAAATGATTTCTGAAATCTATTTTTCCCTTTCTGCACAAGTTTATATTGATTTATCTGAGATCATCATTTTCTAAAATATTGTATTTTCTTACTTTTGCACATAAAAGGAGCTGAGGTTCGGTTAATGACCGACAACCATAGACTGTTCCATAGACTCCTTTTCCAAGAATTTCATTCAATATTATCTTGTAATTATCGATGTACAATTCATTCATTATCATGGATTAATATTAATGAAAGACTTTATTTCTATTTAGGAAATATTAGATATTAATTTATGATACAGAATACATAATGTAAGATAGATGAGGACTATTAATAATTAATTTAAGACAATCTCTGAATGATCCAAAATAATGCCAAAATAATTAATATACAATTCGATCTTAATAAAGGCGTAGCATAAATCTAAGACCACCAGAGAGAATAACTCATAATGGAATGAAGCCACCCAATGCTTCTGGTTCCTTTAAAATAGAAAATGATTGCAAATACGCTAAATCTTCAGGAAAATTTAATTGATGTTTCTCTGTTTATTGCTATCAAATATCCTAAATTTCATTCGAAAATTTAGCCATAAATATGGAATTATGATGAATAGTTAGTTACATAAATTTAATCATATTCAGTAACAATTAATTGGTTGTTTTTATTAATTGTTGAATTTTTTCATCTTCTTTGTCTATTCCCTTTAAATAAATCTGCTATGCATTTGCAATATCTTTAACAGCAACCAACAGGTTAACGAAATGATCTTCTTAATCCACTAAATTTCAGAATATGATCCAATCCTTACTATGCCCAATTACGGATATCAAATTCATAAATATCAATTTCGAAATTATATTAGAGACAATCTAAAATATTTGGTAAAAATCTTAAACTAGATGAGTAAATTAGATCATAGTGTTGTTATTCAAGATGCTAATATATGGGGAAATAAAGATACCTTTATATCCCTATATACAGTCTCACTGAAATATTCAGCATCCGTCTAATACAGTTCTTCAAAGTTGGGAGCTTCAAAATCAACTTATTTAATAAGGAATAGTAGGTCTTATAATTACTCGACTATCTATTGGAACAATTCCTTAAATTTATTGAGCAATTCCATCTTCTCATCTATCGGAGACAACCCCTTAATTAACTAAAAACGAACCTGCCAATATTTCAATTAAATGCATATTATAGTACGCTTCTAATTGATTCAAGTAATAAGATTTTCCCTTCTATATCGAACTAGTAATTGATTGGGAAACGCTGTTATTAAAGGAAGATCTGCTCTTCCCTAAACTTCTAGTAAGCCTATTATTCGTAGATGCTGGCTCTGTTCCTTCCTATCCAGATTTTTGCCGACTGTCTAATCCTGAATAATGATGAATTCGATTCATTTAATTATTATTTAATGATTTTTTGTGTGTTCTCTGAAAAAATATACAAAATTTTAAATGAGAATGAATGGTTATCAAAACACTAATACAATCTGAGAGAGTTAATTCTGATGAAGTAACATTTAGAAATTGATAATCCATTCCAAATTTAAATTTTGGTGAGTATAATAATATTAAATGTTATATCAATAGGAATCCAGAAATGGCTTCAATTTGAGGCAGATGCAGAAAAACTCTCTATATTGCATTGGATTTTTAATATTTAACTTATTTCAAAAGATAAAAGAGATATCTTTTGAAATCCTTTTTGTTCTACAATATAAATTTTGTCTAATATGCTTCAATAATTTAAGAGTTCGAGTTACAATTATATGGACAGAATTGGAATATTGGCAATCTAAATAACGATAAATATATAATTTGATTATTCTATATACATAAAGTTTAGTCATCAGTTTTCTTGAAATAAACTGGAAGTGGTCTATCTTGTCCAACAATTCAAAGAGCTTTTAGATAGGGTTTCGATTTGATGTTTTTCGATGCTAGGTAATCGAGTTTTAATTTTTGTTTGTACTTTTTGTTGATAGACTTTGCCATCTTTGAAATCACAAAAGGATTTGGTGGGCAATCGCTATGGTTATGAAGATATTCTTTGAGTAATTTTCATAGTCTTTGAGGAAGGTTATATGATTCTTAGATTGGAATTATAATCCAAATCAGGTATTCTGCGGTATTTAGAACTCCTGGATTATATTGCCTTTTTAACTCTCATTTTTTAAACTTTTATTTAATAATACATTAATGAAGTGTTATTATTATCATAGTTGATTAAGGGAGACAGCTTTATTTCTTTTTTTAAGTTGTTAAATTTATTTTGTTGAGAGAGTATGTGAATGGGTTCAAAATGTGGGAGATTTTGAGTCCTGTCATTAATTTCGATATCACAAAACTAGTAGGAATGGAAAGATGCGTCTAAACTAAATCGCATATTGGTCATTACGTAATTTTAGTTAAAATATATTTATACAGATTATGACTTTAAATACTTAATTTATTTCAATTCTGTACCTTGAAGATTTATCAGTATGATCATATCTATTGGATAGGTTGTGAGCTTGGATGAACTAAATATAGATTGATTTCAACTTAAAATTGGGATTAAATAAGTGATTATTAACTTACACTGTGCTCTGATAAATTAAGATTCTTAGTAGCTATATATATTTAATTTATAATAATTAATATGAAACATGATTTTCTGAAGGAAAAGGAGCTAAAAATAATTGAGAAAATTGGTGAAGGGGCATTTGGACAAGTGTACAAGGCCTCGTACAAAGGAGAAGAAGTAGCAATAAAAGTAAATAAATGTGAAATGAATAGTGTATGCAAGGGGCATAATTATAGGAAACATCAATTATGGAAAGTCTGAAACACAAAAACATTATTAAATTTTACAAGGTTTAGATTGTTGAGATTAAAAATAGTATTTTAAACAGGGAAACAGTCAGTATTTGATAATGGAATATGCTGGAGGTGGTTCTCTGAGTGATTATATGAAAAAAAGTTTAGAGGAGCAAACAATAAGTGGCATCATGAAATCAATATTCACAGCTATAGAATATCTCCATTCCAAATAGATTATCCATCGAGATATTAAACCAGGTATTTGTTTGAATAGTAACATGATTAGATAATATCTTAATTAAAAATAGTGAGGATCTTTCGAGTGTTAAGATTGCTGACTTCGGCTTGAGTTATCAGTACATGCCTGAAATTCGATATTATCAAACAGTTTCGTAATAATGTGGCACATTTATATTTATGGCACCTGAATAAATTTTAAATAAAGCATACAACAAAGCTGTTGATATGTGGTCGTGTGGTGTCGTCTTGTTTATGCTATTAAATCAAGGCAAACATCCATTTTATCCTCGAATTTCAACCAAAAAGGAGTTCATCAATAGTTTTCCAGACCTTAAATATGAGCAACCCTTACATGCATCCCCATTGGCAAGAGATCTCCTCCAAAGGTTGTTGCAATACGATTAGGATTCTCGATATACAGCTGCTTAAGCATTGGTTCATCCTTGGATCACTCGTAATTTTAATCATCCTATTCCAATGAGTGTTAAAGAATTTGGTACTTGCCAAGAATTAAAAAAGAAAGTATCGTTTTTATTACAATTAGGTTTTTTAATACTTCAAGGCTGTTTTATTTTTAAATCAAGTTCAACAAGATTCAATCAAACAGTCGCCAATTTAATCCAAAACTGATTTAGGAGAATTCAAAATATCAATTGTAGAGTTTGATGAAGACAATTATGAACAGGAATGCGAAGATACCAACAGTCCTAAAATCCAACAATTCTTCAATAAATTATCAATACAAAGACCTACCAAAATTTTAAAATCATTTCGTACACTCAATAACATCCCATACAAGGGAAAACATTATTAATTGAATGCCATCCTCAATTAAACAAATGAATCACCAATTAGAGAATTAAAAAAAATCAAACTACAATAATAATTCAGTGTTGATAATGAATAATTCATTGTTCCAAAAGATCCAGAGTCTCCAAAAAAACATCTAAGAGGATCCTAATCAAATAAAATCCTTTTGCCTGCACTTACTGAATCAACATAAGTATCCCTTAGTCCCATCAAACAAAAATAAAAACCTATTGTCAAACAAAATTCATTCCGAAAATCAGAGACATCTTTTTTTATGGGTTTGAATAGACTGAATAATGATTCAACTTTAGAGGCAGGTACTTTCAGGAACAGAGTGGAAACCTACGACAGAACTCAAATTCCTCCTATCAATACACAGAGGTTTTATGGAAGAAATACAATTACAAATCTAGTGACATCTCCCAAGAATAACATTGCTACATCAACCAATCTCCTTATCCCAAAGAAAATAATATGATAAAAGTTAAAATATGAATAAATCAAACCAAACTTAATCTTAAGGTTCTTCTTTTGTATATCTAGTTTCTATCATTCAATATTTCATTCATATTTTGACAATCCAAGGATCTATTAATTAAACCTATCTCCTTAAATTAATTCAAATTATTTTACATTCGGCTTCTGATGTTTCCCCCTTTCTGTGATTGCTTTTTAAGGACTTTTATATATGAGATGAACGCATTTTTGGCTGTTTAATGAATTAGAATTCTTAATATTAATTGTATTTGATCGAAATATTAGATTGCTCTGCTTTTTATGATATTCTTAAGTATTCTAAACCCTTAATCTCCATAAATGATTTTGTTATTTCTATAACTGTTAGATTTAAATTGACTCCTATTTGATGCCAATCTCCATTTTTCTTCTTAGATTCATCGATTGTTTTTCATAAGTAGGACGATTAGTCAATTATATTTTAAATTTAGGAATTGTATTATCATAGAATCCCACCTTTAATTGCTAAGAAATCATTATTTTTATTGTTATCTTAAAATTATTTTTCAGTAGTTGTTTTTCATAAGTTAATTAAGATCAAATTACATTTCCATAAGAATGTAGTGTAAAGTAATTAACTTACTAAGCCTGATGGATTTGCATTAAATTATTTATCGAATAATAAAACATGTTATTAAAACCTAAATTCTACTACTTATTAAATAATAAGTAATGAATTTCAATTCTAAAAAAAGTTATTATAAAAGACATTTATAAGTGAATTTAATCAACTTACTAATTCAAATATAAAACTATATCTAATCTCAATAACATAGTTCCAAGTCTTTATTCAAGCAATCCTGCAATACTTATTTATTTAATAATAATCAATAGATTAAATAATTATCAACACTTTAATGGTTATGTATGTTAATTAAATCAAGATAATCAAGTAGTTAAATATGTCTAACCTTTATTTCTAACTTACATTAACTCAAATGATTATTATTATTAATTTATTTAATTAGAAAATTTTAAGTGATTAATTAGAATATAGTACTATTTAAGTAGTAAATTCTGAGATTAAATTAACTAATTTGGTATCTTTATTAAATTGATCTATATAATAATACCAAATACTTTCGAGTTAGTCCTTATATATCACATAAAGCTAATATTGTTATTAAATTTCAATAAATGAAATAAACTTACAATCTAATAATATTATAATGGCTTCCAAATATTCCAGAAATAATAATAGGGTCTTTATTATAATATTATTCTAAGCCAGAAATTGAAGTTGCAATTTCAATTTAGACTTTTCTCAGAATCAAAACACATAAACCAAATTATATTCATTAATTTTAATACCTTAAAATTTATGATACATTTAATACATAAATTTTATATATTTAATAATAAACAAAAGGATTGTGATGAAATCAAGAATAAAAATAAGATGATTAAATATTTTAATATTTGTTATAATTAAATAAATCAATAAAGGTTAAGTCTTTTCATCTCTTCTTCGATAACAATTTATGCTTCATTATTCTTTGCTTTGATTTGATTGATTTCAATCAAAATTAGTTGTTTCAAATTGTTTAGGGTAATAGAATCATCATTTTCAAAATCGCATTCTAGGTTACCAGCAAATGTGATTTCTTCTGCTTGGTTTCTAATCGACTCGAAAAAAGGGTGTTCTAAACACTAATGTGAGATAATGCATACTTTTTAAGCAGTAATTCTGTTTTTTGGGTTGATTTCAAGCATCTAATCAAGTAGATCTCTGGCTTTAGGATCAGGATATGGAACACTATTTGATGCAGGTTGCTTTGGTTTTGGGGGCAAGGTTTACAGAAAGGAATGAGCATTTTCATTGGTAACAAATTGATTAAGTTCATCATCAGAGGGTTTGCCTAAGATATTAAAGAACATCTTAAGCATTTGTATGTAATTTGGAGCATTGAAGAGAGTTTTGCGACTCATAAGTTCAGCGAAGGTGCATCCCAAAGACCAGATGTCTACTGGTTTTGAGTATTATTAACTAGATAACATGATTTCAGGGGCTCTGTAATATCGAGTGACTACGTATTCAGTCATGTTCTCTTCGAATTAATCATGAAGTTCATCGTACTTTCTAGCAAAGCCAAAATCACAATAGCAAACTTCGCATTTTTCATTTGCCAATATATTTCCTGGCTTGATATCTCTATGAATGGAACCAGAGGAATGCAAATAGTAGAGTCCCTTGCATAGTTGATACATAATAAATTAGACTTGAGTGACTGTCAATTCTTGACTGCTTTTAATAATTTTATCGAGGTCAACTGGAAAGTAGGGACTTACTATATAAATATCTCCAAATCGATCAGTCTTTTTGTCGTAAATAATGTCATATATTTTGAGAATATTTTAATGATTCATTGATCTTTGGATTTTGATTTCCCTTAGGATTCTTTTTGCATCAATGACATCTTCGATTTAATTGAGTTTCTTGATAGCCACCTATGCATATAGGAGTATGATTAAACTTTCATATTCTAGTTTTATTGATCAAAACCCAGAACCACTGAACCATAGGCACCTGTACCAACCAGTTTTATCAACCTATATCTTTCACCACAATTGAATGGGATTCCTCCAAAAAGATTGTTCTTCATTCTTGCTCTGTTATTATTTATTTATTTATTTATTTATTATTCAAAATGCAAAGACTGTTTTCATAAATGGGAAGATTTGCAATTCCTTATCCCAGATTGATGTCATCATCAACCTTATATTCGCCATCAGTCTATTTGCAAGCTCTGCGTATTCAGAGATACTAGGTACCTCAGAGTTAGATTTTTGCATCAAACGCATAAGATCCTATAATCAATCATTACTGTGAGTAATCGATTGCAGTTTTGGATTGTCTGAGTAAGAAGAAGAAAAGAGCAAGGAAGAAGCAATTAAGGAGAAAGGGCAATAAAATTATCAATGCTAGAAATAGATGAGCTATCATAATAATATTACAAATATAAATATTTAAATGGGTTAATGTAAATGTGCTACATAATGTTGTTAAAAGGATGAATTGACATCATAAAAAATATCGACAAGATCCATTCAGGTTTCCATCAAGCATCACAAACCTCAAAAAGATTAGAACTCAGATAAAATAGATGCCCTTATTAACAATGATTTTGACTCAGCCATTATGAAGAATTCAATGCGCAGCAAAGTCTCCAACCAAGAGATCTCCTAAAATTTGATTACAACCCAACATCCCATACCCTAATAAGTTGTCGACACCATCCAAACTAAAGAGCGTAAATTACTTCCAGTACTTTTTCAACTTAACTAGATTATGTTAATGCCAAACGGAACCAAATATGAAGGACAATGGCTCAGTGGCATGAGAGATGGCTATGGAAAATAGATATGGCCAGATGGATCAATCTATGAAGGTTAATGGAAACAAGATAAATCAAATGGATAAGTAAGCGACTTTTAAAATCAAGGGAAAACTAATACATGCTGACGGAGACATCTATGATGGTGAATGGGTAGATGATGCAGCTTGTGGTAAAGGAACTTACGTGCATTTTAATGGAGCCAGGTATGAGGGTGAATGGCTTAACGACAATCAACATGGTTATGGTATTGAAGTCTGGCCCGATGGAGCAAAGTACGAAGGCTAGTATTAATTTGGTAAAAAGAATGGCAAAGGACAATTAACCTTTGTTGATACTGCTAGTTATGAAGGTAAAATTCAATGTAAAGGAAAGGTAATTTTATTGACAACGAAATTTCTGGATTTGGGGTTTATAAATGGCCAGATGGAAGAGAATATGTTGGGAATTGGTTAGATAACAAAATGCATGGAGAAGGCACTCTTAAATGGCCAGATGGAAAATGCTACAAAGGAGTATTTTCTTTTTTTATTAAAGAATTATTAATAAGATAAAAAACAAGGTAGAGGTTTGTTCTATTTTGGAGATGGTAGGAAATATGCAGGTACTTGGATTAATGGAAAATAATCTGGTGTTGGAATATATTACCAGAGTGAAAAATAATATAGAATTGGAATGTGGCAAAATGGGCAGAGAATAAAATGGCTTAATGATGAAGAAGTAGAAGGTAATAAAGTCTAAATCACTCAACTCTTAGAGCTGTGAATCTTATAACTATATTAATATTTAATATTTAATATATTATTATAACAGTCATGTCAAAGGGATATCAAGCTTCAGTCACTTCTCTTGGATAGATAACTTAATAATAATAGGCCAATAATCCAATGTGTGAAACAAAATTGGTGTCAAGCGTTTTATAAGTACCTAAAATTCTCGAGCATTGTAATGAATTTAACACTCACAACATACCAAGAGTATTGTTTATTTAAATTGCAATTAGATTAATTGCTACAATCATTAAGGATATAATTATACTAACTTCTGTTAACTTGAAGGATGTTGTTTCCCATTATGTCCTGAATGTATTCCTTAACATGTGCAGGAGCATTTTGAATCGCAGTCCAAACCTAAATTGGATAGTCTGGAAAATGTCTTAAATAAAATATAATTGACAGTGCATAATGAAGGTACCTTTAGATCATATATATTATAAGCTAATAAATTGGCATCTTGCTTTTAGAATATTACTAATTCTGTATTAATGGCTGACCAAATGAACATGTAATGCATAAAACTATTAAATGAGAAGAAGGAGAGGATCATTAAGATAATTGAATAACATTTCAATTCATTGCTCATAGATGTCCAAGGAAAGCATATAAAAAATATTGAAAATTATAAACGAGATGCTCAATTCTTCAAATAGGTAATTCAAGATAGATGGAATTCACATGTTGAATTATTAGATAATTTAAAGAATCAGGATTGCATGAGACCACTCATACGATTTTTGAAATCCAAAACTTTACAGGAAAATGAACAATATTTTCTACAAGCATAAGAATTCACAGAGAGATATGCTCTTCATTAAACCAAAGTTAGTTTTGATTCTGAGAAATCGTACTAATTTATACATAAATCTAGTTCTTAATTAGGAGGATTTATTTCTGAGTTTCTAAAAGTAGTTAATTATGATCTACCGGAATACTTGAATATTCACAAGTTGGCTCCCCCAGAAATAACTACTTCGAAATCTAATGCTGGATCGGCTATAAATAGTAAAGCATCAATAAGATAATCTGAACAGAAGATTTCATAAAGTCAAACAAAAGGGGGACTTGAGATTTCATAGCAAGCCTAATACATGAATCAGTCTCCTGGTTCCAATAATTACTTGCAATAAAGTTAACAATAGTTTGGATCACAGAGACAGATGAGAAATAATTATGGGGAGTATCCAAGCTTAAGTAATTTTGGATCAAGAAAACAATGACTAATCTAAATATATATGTATAAATATAGTATGAATTATATAAATCAATATAAGGAGAACTTAAAAGAATTTGATTGTGTTTTTAATCTCTCTTATATATTTTAATTAATTGGCTTATTGAATTACACTTATAATGATGTACTTTTAGAATGGATGTTTGATTTTGTCTTTTTTTCCAAATCCTGATACTTTGATTTCCATATTGTGATTTCTTATTCTAAAGTCTTGTTCTCCTGTTTCAACTTTGAATGACTTAAGTGTAATTAATTGTATGCAGCTAATAACAACTCAATTTACATCATCTCTTTTGATTTTGGGATGTTGGTTGTTGAAGATTGTTTCAATTGCTTAGATAATTTCTCAATCAATATTTGCTTGTTGATCTTTTGGTTTTGTTAGTTTTACAGCTTGAGATGAATTAGTTAAAATTTACAGTCTTACAATTTCGATCTAGGAGTAGACATTTAATCACTAATCAATCCAGAATTAAAGTTTGTTTTATCTCTGATTATTGGGATCGAGAACTTTTTGTTGCTCTTTGATGTTAGAGGAGGTTTAACTTGAATTCTCTAAGATATCTGGGTTTCGAATTGTATTGAATCGTTTAACTTCGGCTTCACACTACTCTTCAAACTGTGTGTGAAACTGAAGGAGAGATCGCTGATATTCTGATCTATCGGTTCTGTTTTATATTGTTTACTAATACTTTGGGGCAGAAATCCCTTAATTTCACTGCGAGTAATCATTATAAATATAATTATATAAATAGACGAACTCAATTTATAGTTTTTATTACAATTTTCTAAGGGTTTAATTTGATCGCCTCCTAAATCACTCCATTAAAAGGGTTATCCTACGATAGTGCCATGGTTTTAAATTCCGAGAATGATCTCTTCCTTTAGTAAACCTCCTATTATAACTACTAGTAATCCTCTTATTTATTAATCATATGTATTACATAATAATTAATTATATTTTAACTCATATTCCCCAATGATCTTATTCTGCTTAATGATTTGGCCTTGTGCCAATTCCAAGTCTTCTTACTTCTATTAAAGAATATTATTCAGAAACTATATTGAAGATGAATACTGATTCTTTTTCTAAGCATCCCAGTCCTTATCCTTAATTAATTCGTCGTACAATTTTTTTAACGATTAATATTTTATATTGCTGGGGTCATTAAATTGGAAAGACTGTTGCTTGGTACTAAAATGTAAATTAGTCTCCTCCAGTATTGATCTCGAATGACTTTGAGGAATAAATTGTATGCTTTGAATCTATAACTAATTGAATTTCTCCTGCAATTCTAATTTCTCCTATTCCAATCTACACCTTAAAACAAATAATCAATACGAATTTATAAGACTTCTAAGTCTACCATTTTCATCTTACAACTCTTTGTACATTTTCAGAATCATTTATTCATTCTCCTTAATCTTCGCAATATAAGCTTGTTAATGGTTCGCCTGCTACACCCTTTACTCAATTTAGTGATCCTGCAATTTAGTATTGCTTTTGTTCCTATCTTTTGGAGATCGACTTTTATTGCATCGACAACAATGAAGCATCAATAGACTTTATGTATTTTAATAATTATAATTAAACCAACATTTAAATGAATTGGAGTAAAATTGATCTAAAAGTCATCTCCCCAATATAACCAAAATTGCAATTTATAATTGATTTTATGATATAAACCTCATGACCAAAAGAAAAATAAAATAAGCCAATTATTTTACAAAATAATTCATCATTTATAAAATATAATAATTTAAAACATTCGTAATGTTATTTAAACATGCAGAACCAAATTTAAGCATGGACATAACAATTAATTTGTTCACAATTAGTATACATATGATCAAAGATCAATCTTTCTTAGATAGCAATATCTCTATATAACATCAACAATTTTATCTACCTTTTTTGGGTCTTTATAAAATTGCTAATTTATCCATTCTAAAATGCATAGTATATTGATATCTGCTCTTGTTCTTTCATAATTTAATGAGTTTAGATCTTTCAATTCTAAATTATTAGGTTAATTTCCTGTTATTATATGAACTATAATATTGAGATTCTAGAACAATCCCAGTAAAACATAGTTTAAAAGCTCTAGGTTGCTAGTATTTCGAATGGGATTACTTGTTGCTAAAGACATTGACTAATATTCGATGATTAATAAGAAGGTTGCTTAATAGTTTACCTTAAATAATATCATAATTTTGATACTAAGGAAACCAAGATAACGATAATTCCTCTTTCTTAACTAAAAAATGATTATTAATGTCAACTACTTAAGTCTTAATTAATTCTGGTTAATTTTTGTTGTCCTTCATAATTAATTACAATACAAAATTTAAAATAATTTTGATTTGCAAGCCATTTTTTTTTGAAAATTCAAAGGACGCATTTATAAATATCTAGCATTTATATATTTTATTTACTTATCATTTTTCAAATATACTATCGATTTAGAATCGACTATTGAAATTAATTCTTTACTACTTTTTTATTTAGTGATATTCCTGAAGGGTTTGAATAGAATCCAAAATAATCATTTCTATAAGGAGTTCACGATATAGGACTTATGAAATTAAAGCATTCAAGCTCTTTAATTCCTTTAATTGACAATATATACTAAGCTTTATTAATTATATATTTTGGCTTTTAACACATCAAGGCAATTCGTTGATCAATATGATATTTAAAAGTATTTTATTTAGGATTCTGGTCGAAGTCATTTAATTTTTCTAGGAACTTTCTATTTTTTGTATATATATATAGTGAAATGCAAAATTAAGAGGAGTTAAAAAAAATCATTAGTGTCTTTTGATTACATCGAAATACTCATAGTGGTTTATTATTTTTTCCCCTTGCCTAATTTAGACATATAATTTAGGGTCATTCTTTATAGAACTATAACTAGCCCTTTTTTACTATGAGTCATCGTTCAAATTAATTTCCTTTTTCTTATAACAATGTAGTATAGTTTTAGCAGTAGCATAGTTAATATTCAGGTCTTTGGCTATCTGAAATTTTAAGAAAATCTTACTTTCTTAATTTTGCATTTCTATTTCAGTACAGTTTGAACCAATTAAGTCTTCTTTGCTTTCGAAATATGACAGTAAACTCGTTTTGCAGTAATTTCTACCATATTATCGCACACTTTCATAGACCTCGTTTTCACCCCAGCAACATTCTCTTGACTATTCATTAGATTTAATTTTTATTAAAAATGTAATTAAAATGCCATGAGATTTAAATTAATCATAGAATCTATGGACTAAATGAATAATAAAATTTGGATTTAATATGCAAATAGTCACATAAATGTTTATTGATGAAGTTTTGGGAGTTAGCATGGATTGAAATTTGATTGGGATCAATTTTGTTATCGGTTTATGTGATTACTTTAGATCAAAATTAACCAAGATAAATGACCAAAATGGACAAATAATTATTGATGACTGAATCTGTTAGGATGAATTTTTATTTTATTTTAGAGTCATATATTTAGTAAATGATGATACATTATTAATTTTGATCTATGGCTTGCTTAGTCAGTATTTTAACAAATTAATAATTTAAACAATAAATTGAGATCAGAAATTATTAAATAATATCAACATAATTAAGCTTTTAATTCAATATGTTAATATCTTATATCCTAGTACAAATACCAAACAATATTAATTACGCTAATATTTGATGCAATTATATAATTTCAGATTTAACGACTAATGAATTTTTCTTAACTGACCTTAGAATATAATAGATTACAAAAATATTTAATAAAGTACTAAATTATAAAAATAACAATTCATTGTCTACTGCTGCACATACTTAGATACATTTTTAGTATCTTATCTAAATCTTAAGACTAATGAGATTCTTTTTTGAATCTAGAAACACAATCCTTATTTTACACTTTGATAACTCTATCAGTCTTTAAATTTAATCTGTTTTCCTCTTCGAAAGTATGCTATTGATCCTCTATTGTAAACGATGGCATTGATTTAAATTAATCTAAAAGCTTGAGAGTTCCATTTTCATCAAAGTTTCTTGATTTTGAACAGTATTTACTCAATTAGATCTTTTTTGGTTAAGGACTTTTTATCTATGTAATTTTTGTATTAGAATTCTTGATTAAATTGGTTAAACTAGCCTAATTTCTTTTATGCATGTTTGTCGCATCCCTTAAAGGACTGGTCTATTCATAAATGATTTTCTTTTTGATATCATCAAATATATTTGATTGTTTCTTTGAATCAACTCTTGTTTTTGATATATTAGGAGATTTGATACTCAAAGATGAAGAGTTGTTCAAATTATTCCCATTTGTTTGATTTAATCTACCAATTGGTTATTATTTGTGACTTATCAAAGGAGATTGATATTTTTAGATTGAATTTTAATCAACTGAAAAACTAGACCTTGGAGATAACGATATCTTAAGTTCTATTATATTATTAGATAACAATATTACATCCTTATTATGGATAGCATCTCTGAACAAATGGAGATTGATAAATATCTTTGAAGGATAATCTCTAAGATGGTTCTTTTTATAAGATATTCTTTATTAGTTCTTGGGCATCTGCATTGATTGAACTGGAATAGCGTATTAAGCCGGTCTTTATATTTGCTGCTATTTCCTTGTATTCCTTCCCCTTAAATGGAGCATACCCATGCAACAATTCATAAAGCAATACTCCAACTGACCAGATGTCTATCTTATAGTCATAGGGCAAGTCTGAGACAATTTCAGGAGCCATGTACTCGTAGGTTCCACAGAAGGTCTTTCTTTTAAGATGAATGTTCTCTGCGCACCATCCGAAATCACATAATTTGATGTCGTTATTGCTATCCAACAACAAATTCTCAGGCTATGTATGTTTATATCATTTATTACTTTGATATCTCTATGGAATACATTTATTTCATGAAGATATTGCAATGCTTTGCAGGTTTAAATAAAGTACTTGCAGGCTTCTTTTTCATCTAATCTTTTTCTCCTTTATACGTAATTGTAGAGGTTTCCATTTTCAGCATATTCCAACACCATATATACGTTTCCATGTTCAATGAAACTATCATACAAATTTACGATATTTGGATGATGGCACTTTAAATGGACTTTAATTTCCCTTTCCACTCCTTCCTACTCATATGGAGTTTAGATATTGCTTTGTTAAATTGATTTTATGGCATAGAGTGATTATGATTTGACATGTTGTACCAGATTAACAGTTCCAAAAGATCCAGTTCCTAAACTAGTCTTACCGTTAGATCTCTATTTGAGTTCAAATTGAGTCATTGACGTAAAAAGTCCTTTATTATAGCATTCTATTTTTCTTTACATGATTGTTCGATTAACTGACAAATTTTTATAAATATAATCAATAAAATTTATATTCAATTTACTTAAAATAATCATCTCTGCCACACCAAATTGCTTGCTTCTAATCTTGTAATGCTTAATAATAATTGAATCCCATTTCCTTTCCTGTTTTCAAAATTTTTATATTGTATCTTTTTATGACATCATTTGATTAGAAGTTTATTAATTTATTTTAAAAAATCACAAATCAAAAGCAACTAAATTTTCTGATAAGAATAGTGATATTTGAAGTTCTGGTATCAAAATGTTAAGATTTTTCACTTGATTTATTAAAATAAGTTTTATGTCGCCACAAAATACTTATATTCCAATTTTTATAGCCATATTAGATTATAAGGGATGTATATGTCGTATTTTCACATAATTCAGGATATTATTGTTCTAATAAGAAAATTTTTATTAAATTTTATATTTTTGCGAGTGGTGACAGATTATTACTCTAATATTACATAATCAAAAGAAAATAATACTATTTTTTATCAATTTCGTCACATAAAATATTGAGATATTTGATTAAGGTACATCAATGAGGGGGGATTCATGTTTTATTGTCATATTTAAAAAGTAAAGATTATGACAATAAATAAAAAGTATATTTGCATTTCATCAGAAATATATTTGATCATAATATAAGAAGTAGAAAGGATTATGATTTATGAATTTTAGAAATATTTCATATACAATATCAATAGTGATCCTTATTCTTGTAGGTATATTGGTAAATGATGAAAATTCTAAAATGCAAATTCTGAGTTCTTGCAATTTCAATAAATAGAAAGTTTAAATCTCTTTATTTTTTAATTGAATTTAAGTCATATCATGACCATAATTCGGAACAACAACGACCTTTATCAAAGAGGAGAATAATACAATTATTTTGAGTTAATTAAAAGTGGTATAATATTTTAAAATGCAAGATGATTTAATGTAGTATTAGTATTAAAAAAATAAATGTCACTTAATTTAATTATATTGAATATTATTGTACAAAGCTTAAAGATTTTGAACAGTATTACAATATAAAAAAAGTGCGTCACATGACATATAAAGTGATATCATATTATAAAACAAAGATAGTTCATTGATAATTGTAACAATGAAAATCCTTCTGCTAGTTCTAGTGATATAGGTGTTTAGCCAAAGCTGCTTAAGTTCGACAGGAACATAGGTTGACTGGTGGCTGATATTCAAATTGCCTGCTGACACAAGTATTCCCTATAGTGGATTTGAATACTATTATTGTGATTCACAAAATGACTGTTCTGCAATGAACCTGATGAATGATGATTTGAGAGACTATACATCTGCCTTGTAAAGAACTGTGAGTTAGATCTCATTTACATCAACTACAACTATGAATGTAGTATGGAATGATTAACCCTCTGGAAAATCAACAATCTCCGATAGAGCTCATTCCAAAGGCATTTTGTCAGCATCTACTAGTGGATAGGGATTCATAATCAACCATTCAACACCACAATTCCCTGTTTTCGATGATACTTAAAGGTAATATTTTGGTAATATAAATTTAGTTATATAATACCTGGAATGCCAAGCAGTTCTAGTGTAAATGGGCAACATTTTTTTTGTGTGACAATGATGACTTCTTAAATTAATGTTGTAGCCGAGCAATATATTATTGCCTAAACCTTAACCCAGAAGGCTAATGAAATCAGCACTTTTGAGTCAACTTACCCAAATATTTTTGCTTTAAGAAACAATTCAAGGAAAATCCCAGCCTAAAATGGAGCTTCATAGGTTAAGAGCAAGAATGGAATGATCATTAATGTTATTTCCAAGAACCAAAATTTAGTGGATGACTTTTATGCTACAGTTGTTGCTCCTACATTAAAAGTTGGTTTGGTAATGGAAACATGGGGAAATGGAACTGGAGGTCTATAGGAGGCTGCATGCACAAATACTTACCAAACTTATAGCAATATTTATAGAAATCATAATGTATAATTCAAATTCTATATTTAGGGTTATAAATTTAAATATACAAAAGACCATTCTAAATTTGGTATCTCAGTCCAAAGTGCTATGCCCTATGTTTGTATGTCTGATTTGAATAGAATGACTACCTAAAATAAAAGAGGAGGAACTTCTCTTTGTTTTTTGCATTCCAAAATATGGAATGTAATAAATAAGTCATTTGTCGAAAGACAGACATGCTGATATTTAATTAATTTTTATTTTGCTTCATTAACTAAATATAAATCCAAAAAAATTAAAATTTTTATACACATAAATTATCGATGTTTAGAAGACTTATTTAATAATAAAATAAGGATAAACGAATTGGAATCCACAATACTTCATTATAAAAATATCTTTAAACTTGAGGTAGATTTAATCCATTTAACTGTATGCAATGTTCTTATATACTAAAGCCATTTTATTCTTAACTAAGTAATAAACAATAAATGAATCTTATGTATCAATAAGCACAAAGAGTTTTGGTTTATGTTTATAATATTGTTTATAATAATTTGACAAAAATTAAAATGCGAAATAGAAAGGGGAAAATAATGAATAATTTTACTTATTCTGATGAGATAGAAGGATAGACAAAAGAGTAAAGGGAAATACTTGAGCATATCAAAGGAACTAGTTTAAATAGTGGATGTTCATGGGGGACCAAATTGTAAGAATTGGGGATAAGTTGCAAGACATTTGGAAGCTCAGGTTGGAATAAAGATTGAGAAGGCCTACAGATTGAAAAGAGCGTAGAAACATTGATAAATATTTAGATGGGAATCTTTTGTTGATTACAATGAAAACATGTCTAAGGAATAATTGGCCACCCTATTCGAAACAGCGATAAAAACAAGGGGCAATATGGATTATGCAAAACACGAATTCAAGAGATTGACAGGAATCTAATTGTATTCAACTCGATATGCTGATTATGTTAAAACGTGGTTGAAACCAGGGTTGTTGGGATTTAAGGATTGCTATATATTTTCAGTGGTGAAGTCGTTAAGGAGATCTGATTTCTATTAGAAACATACAATGATATAGCCAATAACGGTGTTATCAATGTTGAGAATACTGGATCACGACATAGACGAATACAAAGATGATTACTTTGTGAGAGATTTCAGGGAAAGCGCAATGAAGTTACAGGAGTTATTGAAATGCTATGCTAGCTGTTTTTCAGATTCAAGAGAGGAGAGATATAGTAAGTTCTCCAAGATAACTACGAGACATCAATTTAAAAAGATCTACTTTTACTTGCAATTGATGGAGGAGTTTAGAAGGATCAATAGATTCTTCACTAATCATGCGAATCAATTAACATTTCATCCGATGCTATACAAGACTATTGAGCAAAACAAACAATGCCCAATTTATAAGCTGACTCTGTTAGAAAATGACTATTCCAAAAAACTCTAATTATTTAATGAATCTAATAATAATGAGAATGAATAGTTTTCGGTTCTTTTGAAGCCGAAGAAAAAACGCAATTCTTAGAAAGGGAATGATGAGGAAAAGAATAAAAAGAAGGAGCAATAGAATCCGTATGTTTATCAATTGGAGGAGGAAGATTTGGTAAAATAGATAAAAGTGCCAAAGAAGGTGAGTGAAACTAAGAAGAAATACAAGAACTATCGATATTTTAGAGGACATTTTATTAGAGAAGGGTAGTATTAATGTAAAGGATTGACGACGAAGGACTTTGAATATGATGTTCCACTTGAATAATGAGATGTATAGTTTATTAAATATATTTGCATTTGAGTAGTAGTCAAAATGCAGTAATTAATTTGAAAATTAGGTATATTCATCTATATATTCATCTCTATAATTATTGAAAATAAAATTATATTAATGCAATAGTCTTAATCATATATAAAAACAGAAAAAAAGTGTGACAGACTACATGATGAGGGATCCAACAGATTGATAGCCATTTGCTTAAACCCTCATTGTGATAAGAAGTTAATGTGTTGCTTCTGCTATAATGATTATCATAGTGAGCATGTGAAGGATGCGAAGACAATTTCATAAGTTCAATAATTGTGTAAGGATTCAATTGCTAAATTTGACAAATTGCAACTTACGATAATCCTATAGCAGAAGGCAGAATAGTTTAAGTAGGTTGTGCAGAATATCAGTGAACAATTGGAGAAATTGCTTTAGTATTACATTCACGACATACAATAATTGTACTCCATGTTGGAGGATTTAGCAGATAGTTTTGTGATTTTGCAATAAGGCAATATCAATTAATTTACAAATGAACAATGCCAATTACTAGCAACATTCCATGATGAGAGAATCTTGGATAGCATTGAAGATATAACCAATTTTATTGGATAGAGAATGGGCATATAGGATTTGTTAAAAATTAGCAATGATTTGGATGATAAAATTAAGTTGCTGGATTTCAATGATATTCTGGAAAAGAATATCTAGAATGATTAATTGAAACAGTTTGTACAAACTCATCAAATTAAATATGATTGGATATAACCAGAATTTTTATTGACTCGAAGTCCAGAGGTAACTAAAATAGAGTATCCAAATGAAGACTTCTATATTGGGGAAGTAAAAGGAGACAAGAAGTATGGAAGAGGTAAGAAATAATTTGACTTTGATAGGATTGTTATTTAATAAAGTGGCTTAGACATATTAATACGGTGTTTTTAGAGATGACAATTTTGTGTGGGGTCAACAATTGCTGGTGGATTAGAAAAAGCGTTACTGGATTAAATAGGGGAAATGGGTGAATGAGAAGATAGAAGGCAGAGGGATTCAGGTCCAATTCAAAGGAGAGTATTATCAGGGAGATCTAAAGAATGATATCAGAGAGGGGTTTGGAATCATGAGATACACTTCAGGAGACGAGTATTAAGGACAATGGAAAATGGGACAATTTCATGGAAAGGGGTTGTATAAGTATGCAACTGGGGATGAGTATGAAGGAGATTTTGTGCAGGATAGGAAGGAAGGTATCGGATCGTTTTAATACAAAAATGGGGAACTGTATGTCGGATAATTTAAATCTGGTTTGAGACATGGGAGTGCCATAGTCAAATTTCCTAATGGCGAGATGTATTGAGTGATAATTTAGTTAGCTTTACAGGAGAGTACATGAATGATAAAAGGGAAGGGCCAGGAGTATACAAGTACATAACTGATAACATTTTTGAGGGGACTTACAAGGATGGACAAAGACATGGGTAAGGGATCTACACTGATGTTGAGAATGGGCTGAGAGAGATCGGTGAGTATGTTCAAGGGAAACAACATGGAGAACATATGGTTTTCAAGTTGTTGAGGGATAAACCATATTGTATAAATGTTTATGATAATGGAAAATTAGTTAATAAAAAATCATTATGACTTTTAAATTTCATTTCAATATTAAAACACTGTTATTCTTATAATATTCAATCAGCAGTTTGGGGAATCTCTCTCTTAAGAAGTAGAAAGGGTAATAAGATGGTAATAAGTTTGGGTTTTAGTATTGCAATTCAAAGTATAATTCGTTTTCCGATTTAACATGTGATTTAATGTTGATGGGCACACTATCAATAGTGTTTCCGTGTTCTTTGTCAAAGGCAACCTTTTTCATTTAGACGATGGGTTGTTGTCTCAATCTTTCCAAAATGTGTCCACTCACCTCTTCTTGAGTGTCAATCAAATAGAATTGTCTTGGATCCTCCTCCATATTAGTCTGCACTATCTTGTCGACCTTCTGCTTCTTATCTCTTTTTAGCATATATTTTATTATTTGTCATTTAGTAAAATAAACTATAAATATAAATAAAAACATGATTATTTAATTCAAAATATAACCGTTTTGATTTTGCCCTTCCTAATTAATATTTGAATATCAAATACTTATATATCCTTCTATTATTGCTTGGTTTGATATTGCTTCTGCTGTGGAAATGATGCAATTTGTCCTTCATGGCATGTCCCTTCTGGATGGCAATGAATAAAAATGAATATAAGGAATTTGTCGGTTGTCTACGATACGTCTAGGTCACTCTATGCAGAAACCTCATAACTCTGGAGATGTTATATTCTGGATAATACTCTCTGAACTCACAGATCTTATCAAAGTCTCCCACAGAGGGCTAAGTTAGGATGGGCTATGGTTGGTAATGAAAGCAATCTTACGAATTCTATTTGATAGTGTTCTTCCTCATACAATTGTTAAATATAATTCTCGTAGATTAAGCTTGATCTCCTGTTCTTTATCCCAAGTAAATTTTGATCAAATTTAACCTTCTATTAGATTCTTCTATGAATTCTTGGACTCTTGTCTGAATAATACAATTATTGAGAAGGCTTATGACTCTCCTATTGGAACACTTAAACTTCATCATCCATCATGTCAATGTTCGGTATATCCTCATCATGGTCTTAGATTGGATTATGCATCTACGATTCAAATCTGGCACCGAAACCTGCTGTTTCCTTTTACTGAGACCTTCTATGCAATGGCATCTTCTTTATCAGTTCTTACTCGAACTTCCCTATTTCCTCTTGGGACATCAAGGACTGGTAGTTTTGACTTTATGCGACTGTCAATGTTTAAGAAGGTCTATGACTAAACTTACTCAACTGATTGCTATATTGGCTAAAAGATTTGCTGAGACTTCTGGTTTGGACATTCGAAGTACCTATTAATTAAATAACTAAATAATAATACTTTTTATGGTTCTTGTCTGAATGTCTTAAGATTAACTTTCTGATATGTTTTCACTTTCTTCAACGTGCTCCAAATCTTTCATCAATTCTTTAGCCAAATCTTGAATTACTGCTTGCTGTAACAAGGCGTTAATGTACTTGGATTTCCGTTATCTATTTTAATTCTAATTTCATTACATCTCCTCTCTTTCCTACTAGATTGGATACAATTGCTATTTGACCACTCTATCCTTATCAGGTTCAAAATGTAGGAATGGACATTGATTCACCAAATGACTGGTGGATTTGCAACTATAGCATCTCGCATCAATCATAGACAGGTCCTGTTGAAATTAAACTTTATCTTTTATCATATAGAACTTCTCTTTGTCATCCGGAAATTGTTCAAGCAAATTTACAAAATGATTTCGTTAGATTTTGTACAATTAACAGAATCCTTTACTTATTATTGTGGCTGTCCTTACACTCCCAGTTATAAACCCCAAGAATCCAAAGTACTCTCCTTTTTGCAAAGTCTTTATATGATTACGGGGATATTTCTCATTCATATTGTTTGTTTATTCGAATATCACATTGACTTCACCCTTATTGATAAAATATATTGAACTATCATCTTATTCATTCAAAGTTAAGATTCGTTGTTCAGGCACTGTCTTCAATTCCTCCATATAATACACTAACTGTTTCCTCAACTTCAAAGAGAAATTTTAGGATATCATTTTGCATTGCTCCAAAATGTTGGCTTATAATTAGTGTTTCAACTCACTTCTCAGCTAGTGTGACAACTTCACCATTATCTGAGTAATATCTTCATCATTCATCTACTGTTCTTACTATATTATTATTCTTTTATATTACTTTATAAATGTATTACAAATAACTACGAATTCTGTGTTGGAGATTCAAATTTATGCTATTTAAATTCATGAAATTAGTCATCATATTGATGTATTAATTATGCTTGATCCTTTGAGAATGATTATACAAAAACAAACCTATTTTTATAGATATAAATCCATCAATCAATATAGAAACTATCGATATCACTGATGAGAATATCAGTTGCTCATTATTATTCGACTCTATATTCGAAAATCCTGCACTTGTCAAATAGACTGATGCCCAATTAAAACATTGAACATACTGCTAAATTACATTCTCTAAGGAATTTGCATTGTTCACTTCCTTTATTAGAGTGTACTATATGCATGACACAAGATGAATCAAATAAATTACCCCAATCACATTTATGACCAATGGAATCAAATTGTTCTACTGAATGTTATAATATTCCAGCGTGTTGTTCACAACCTTCAACAATTTTGATCCTTGAAGAAGCCCAAAAGCACACAAGAGGACTAAATTCAATTCCCCAGCCTCGAAGGTTTACAATAAAAGAACTATCAAGGACACCAAACAGATGAGGTCCTTAATCATGTCTTATTTCAAATAGTTGTATATTATATGGTAGCGCTAACTAATACAATAAGAACTTATTACTTAATTACTTTGCCCTTAAATATATAGGCCTAATTGAATTAGAGGATTATTTCGAATGCCAACATCACTATGAGTAGGTATTCAATTATTTCGTAATTATTGTAGTTTAATATTTATAGAATCTAATCGAGTTCGAATGAATATTTTAATGGCAACCATATTAAGATTATCAATGTGTTTATAATGAAAATAATATCTGAACAAATTTTTAAATTGCTTTACGGTTATATAATAGGATAATTGTTGAAATAGTTGAACATAAATTTATAACAACTACTATCTATATCATCTATTTATGTATCCTATCCAAATTACAGGTCATCAAGAACTTACTTTTAATAATTGTTCATTTTGCTTGTTGGCTTAGTTTTATCGAGCAATTGTTTAATAAAAGTCTCCTGATACATTCTTTGCAAATGCATTCTGTATTATCTTGAGTGTTATTAATCTTCTTATTGCTCTTATTTATTTCTCCTACTTTATATTGTTACATATCGATTTAGATTCCCTCTAAATGAACAACTAATTTCACGCAAGCTACTGGGAGGAGTCATAATGAGCAGTGGATCTTAGCTTTGATTTTATTTATTATAAGTTTTCATTGTTGGAGATCTGTTTATCATCTTCAAAAATTTATATATTTAATTTATTATTACTCAGTCTTTTTAAAACAGAGTTTAAACTACAGTGGATAATAGATAAGATACTTTGTAGAATACACAAATATAGGAAATGTGAAAAAATATTCTTAGATCCTTGTAAATTAATATTTCATAATTTTGTGAATGTCGGTTATCAATTGTTCTCTCAGAGCAATCAAAAACTAATATCAAATGAGCTCAGAACAAATTAGAGAGAAGAATATTTATTTTCCAGCATTCTCTGTTCCCTATTCACAATTCAAATTATAAATATTTAAGCTAAATATATTTAAATTATAATTAGACATTATTATTATTCTAACCATCATACATTTAAGTGATAAGACATCAGCACATTCGGTTGAAATCAGAAATATCGCTGTTTTAGCGATTTTAGAATATATTTTTGGATTAAGATTTAATAGAATCAACATTATTAATTAAAACATTAAGGAAAGATTGATATACTAAAGTTTTTTAGTTTTCAGATTAAATTTTATTTTTTGGGCAATGATACTTTCGTAAATAACTCAATGGTTATTGACATGATAAGTCAAAAGTGGTTTTCATTTAGTTGTATAATCAGCAAATAATTAAGAATTGAATTTCAAAAATATAGGAATTTGCTAGTTGCAAATACTAAAGAAATATATGTAAACTACAGATAATATAAGGGAAGGATGAAAATAAAACAGTCATAACAGAAAATTATTATAAAGATATGAATGATACGGATTAAATATGTAAATACACCTTCTATGCATAGCATGGTTACCAAAAGAGGTAAAGATAAAGTTGATATATTAATGTAATTCAATTGACTAAGCTATGATTTGCATGTGAAACTTAGAAGGAATAGGAGTAAATTTGGATGCTAGTCCAATTTATGATGGAATTTTTATATCCAATTTAGTGAAGCAGAATCAATTTGGCAGAATTAAATGTAATGATAATTTATTAAGAAGATCAGAATCTAGATTACAAAATCTGTAAAATAGAATTTGTTATCTCTTCAATTGAGTTCGAAATTATCAAGAAGCTCAAGCTAAGTCAAGCATCTAGAGTTCAGCAATATTAAAAAAAATAATTATAGGGTAAATGAGGCCTGATAACAACATGATATAGATGAGATTTTGAGAAAAATGGGTTCCTAAAATCTTAATGTTTCCTGAAAAATTATGTTTTGATGGAATAGATTATTATCTACTTATTAATAGCAATTTCTTGAAATCCTAGTAAGTTCTATAAAGAGATTGGATTCAGGTAAGCCTCTATCCAGTAAGGTTGTATTGAAATGAGGAACTTCCTTGATTCAAAGATTCTCAAACATTGGTTTGAGAAATAAAAGGAGTGGTTACCAAAGTTGCAAACGTATGAGCTATAAACATGAAAGGTTAATATTTGGGCTTCTTCTTTGAGAATGACTTTATGTTTATAAGGCAGTTCTATTTATCTTATTCAAAAGTATGTGGATAATAAAAAAGGAATTTGAAGGTGAAGGGAAAAAAAATTAATAAAAATATAATGTGAGCTGTTTATGGAGGTCTTCAATATATATATTTATAATGTATTTGTACTATCATTTTTCAACCTTGCCCAACCACAAAGCAAGCAATGATTTTCCTTTAACAGCAATAATCTTGAATCTGACCCCTGGAATATCACCGACTGCATGTCCTTTTCTTCCGAATCCAGCTACTGTGACTTCGTCGTTTTCATTTAAAAAGTTCAAGCAACCATCCTTTGGAACGAAGGCTGATATTTTTTTACCATTTTTCTTGAGCAACACTCTAACGCACTTTCTGACAGCAGAGTTTGGCTGTTTGGATTCACTAAGATTATAGAATATGATAATTACACTCCGATTTTTTCAACAACCAATCCCTTAGCATGTGATGCACCCATAAATGGATTTTTATATCTTGATCCAATCATAGCCTTATTGTATTCCTTATCAGCCCATCTGTTAACTCTTCTGTGATCTTTGAGCTTTCTTCCAGCTCTCATACCTCTAGGTTTACCAACACCCATGATAAAAAAATAAAAAAGATTTTATTTAATTTGTTTTTTCAAAAATATTCATTTTAAATATTATGAACCTCTTGGATGTAATAATTAAGCACCTTTTATTACATTCTATTCATATGAAGTAGTTGTTCCTCCCCCATAAGTACCACTCTTTCGAACTTCAGTTTCCTTAGTGACAGTCACCTATCTCTTTTTAATGGCTTCTAATTATGTTTCAGCCATAGTCAACTTCTCTGCCAAATCTGAGTTCTACTCATTCACCTATTTGAACTTTTTCTTCCACAATTCCACTTCTCCTTAGAGACTTATAATTTGTGTTTCTGATTGAGAATAATTCTCGCACATCATTTCCAACTCCCTGATACGAGCATCCAATTGATCTAACTCGTTGTCTTTATCATGTAATAATTGCTTCAAATTCAAAATCTCATTATCTCTCAATTGGATTTATTCGTGACTGCCTGCTAGGTCCTCAGTTAATTCATTTATCTTCTTCTTCAACTATCTAATCTCTTCATCCAAGCCTGAACTCTTTGAATTCGACTCCTAAAGTAACTTATATCTAGATTTCCAAGATTCCAAATCCTCTAACAATTACTTATTTTGTATTCTCATCTATTATTCCTAATTCCTTATCTCCTTATTTGCTTACATTAACTCATTAATCTAACTCTCTAAATATCTAAATTACTCTTGTGTCATCCTAGATGTACGTAATCTAGCCACCACTATTTTGCAATCTCAGTCTTTAAATTTCAACTTGTAATTCATATACATGCATCTCTAGTCTTACTATCATTCATAACACTATTAGTTACAGCATTTCTCCTTCCACTTTTACTCAATGTCCTCTTATGGCACTACTTAAAGAGGTCTCTCAAAATGATGAACATCTGCTCTATTCCCTTATCTGCTTTGTTGTCTTTCATATTATATCAATTGGTTACGTCTGCAATTATTGATTTTGTGTTGTCTATTGAAACGAACTAAATTATATATAAAATAATCTTACGGAATTGCAGCTTTAGGAGAGCCGTACTATTGTATTTATTATGGGTACCCTTGTTATCCATATTATTAAAATTATCTCATAGATGGAGTTTAACTAAGGCAAGAATATTTGGATAAATTACTTCATTTGCAGTTAAATATTTATATAATCAATTAATTATTGAAAATAATATGAAATCAATAGTCCTTCAATTTTATACAGAATTAATACTATATTATTCATGATGATTACCTATGAATGCAATCGGATTTTGGATTGCCTTTAATTATTGAAGTTATAACAAATAATATTAAATTAGATAATATCTTATCCAGTTTTATGCTTTCTAATGCTATTTTAATAGCAGCTTTAATTATATATGTTTAAAATTTTATACTGAAAAATTCAGCAAATCTACTTTTTTAAGTTATATTATAAATTTGAGATTTATTAATATATAATTGTAAGAGCTAAATATTTCATGATAGAGATTGAGAAAATAATATGACCTTTAATTAATAAAAATAAAATATCCTTTTAAGAGGAAATGAGAATATATTAATTGAAGATCGATGCTAATAAAATAATATTAGAGATAATACCTACAGTATTTAAAAATTTAATTAGATTTTAAATGAAGAAGAATGAAGGAAACGAACGGGGAAAATGATAGAAGAATTAAAGTGGAAGAATAATTACAAAAAGATACTATTATTTAATATATATGTTTTTCTCTTCTCTCGACTGGTAGAATAATAATAATAATTATTATTAAGATAGAATTGTTTTATAAGTATGAAAATTTGTCTATAAATCGATTTAAGATTTGTATATGGATGTTAATCTAACAATATCTAAAATAGTTAGATTTTATAAGTAATGAGTTTATAGTTCTCCTTATGGTGAAAAGGTGATTAATCCTAATCCGACTGAAGGATCAACAAGATTTCTGTCATTTAATTTGATTTGTCAGATGAAGTATATAATGATACTTAGGATTAAGAAGATCTAATTAATTCAAGAGGCCATTTGAGAGTTTGAATTAAATACTAATTCGAATATTTTGGGATACTTTACACTATATTATTTTGATTGCCTATTTTACTCATAATAAAATAATAATTGTGTTATTTTTAAAATGTTGATGTATACTGTGAAAATGCAAAGAAATAACTCATTATTTTTCTTAAAAGTTTATTGAAATCGAAAGCGTAAATAATATATGAACTCTTCAACAATTCAATAAGCAATTTGGTGTCTAGAGATTGAAAGATCCATTGATAACTCACTCCTTTATCAGTTAATTATAGATTTATCTATATGATTAGTATTCTGCACTAGACAATTATTAAATTGCTAGTATCTTGAATTGGTTTTAGATTACTTCTTTGGTTAGATAGGAAGAATATAGAAAAAATAAACTTAATTCAATTTCTTATAAGAAACTCTCCTACATATTCGTAAAACAATGTGAATTTATTTAAACTTTTAATATTTGCTAATAATCTTTTCGATATAATTATATATGTTAAATTGATTATTAATATATAGTATTTGATAAATTATTATTACTTCCATAAAAACATGCTTAGGGTTATTAATTAGACAATATCTATAAAAGAATCCTTTGTAAATCATACTAAATTACTACTATAAAATCGTCTAAATCCCCCTTCCTTATGAACCAATTTCAACAAATCTTTCAAAAGTGTACCATGCATGCTTTTATTAAATCTGACGATGGTTATTAATGGATAAGTCAGGAAGATAGAGAAGAATTATATGATTTAAGAAAGTTATCTATTATGTCTAATTCTGTCATAAATTAATAAATATATGAAAATTATAAAACATAGATAAATTGCATTAAAATGATATTATTGAAAAATGAATTATGAATTAAACAGAAATTTAGAATAATTTGAAATTAAAATTTGAATCCTAAAAAGGAAGGATGTAATCCTATAAATGATATAGAATATTTAATAAACCTATACCTAAGGGTTGAGTAAAAATAATTATGAAAAATTAATTAAATTATGTATAAATATATAAACAATATACACAGGAAAAGATTTAGATTGATATCAGCTACTACTTGAGCTGACGGTAAACGTTACCATTCTTCCTTATTTGTAATTACTTAGGGTTTTCAATTTATTAGTCATAATATTGGTTTAGGATGTCATATTTTCAATTCCCATTCTTCTTCTTCCTTTGAGGAAAATATTTTACTCTTATTAGGGTTCCCTCTTGAAAATCATCTACTAAAGCTTATAGAGCAATTTTTTAATGATGGAATACTCTGTAATTAGAAATTTGATATGCTATTTGACATCTATGAATAATTGGAATATGATAAGAGAGGAAGTCAATGCAATTACGCACCAACCAATCACAAGTTGTGAGTCCTCATTTAAGGAGTTCGATTATTCATTAATGGCAAAGCCTAAGATAAGCATCTCAGCTAGCCAGATGAAGATTTCAGAGCCTACTTATTTGAATAATTCATCTTTGTCCTCAAGTGGTTGAATTTTGATGAGATATAGAGCCATTACAATGTTCAGGAGAGATACCAATCCCACTTGTAGACAGGGAGAGGAATAAAACATAACCAAACACATCATAAAGAGCATTTTCTTGACTAAGAGTATGATGTTGAAATAATAAGTGAATGGATTTTTGTCCAATTTAATGCCTTCATAAATAGCTCCAAAGTTATCAATACTAGTTTTTTATTTAAATACAAATGCTGGTTTGGACATATATTTAACAGCCATATGGATAAATGCAATTTCAATAACAAAAGCAGATAAACAAAAAAGAAAACTGGTGAAAAGGATTGGATCACTGAGATCGAAATCCTTTAATTATAAAAACAAGGCGAGATTATAATCAAATGCCACTGCCATGAAGGTTCTAATAACTCCAGATGTAAATGCCTTGTTGAAACGCATAAGTTAAATTTAGAGATTTCTTGTTGCTCTGTAAATGAATAAGGTGCAAATGCTTTGTTCTTGGGAGTGAAGTGGCACATAAACAAAGGAGTGTGAAAACTTTGTCAGTGTAGATAGCAATAGTGTGCATGCCATGTAAGTGAGGAGAGTGATGAAAAATACTGTAAGGACTGTAATGATGTTGACATAGAAGACTGTTGAATAGCCCTCTTCTCTGAATTTGAAGTCTGCATCTGGAGTGTTCACAAATTGGCTGATGAATGCTTCCAAATCTAAGTAATCTTTAATGAAGTCAAATTGAGCAAATCCAAAGATAGTTAAATAGTTGTTTAAATTGTAAGGATACTAAACATTAAAGAATTGGAGATAGGAAACTAATTGTAATGCATCCAACAGATTCCAGAAGATATTCAATCCACCAAAGAGAAATGCCAATATTGCAAATCCGAAGAGTAGGTAGAGTATATATTTACTCATTTTCATCAATCCATCTGTAGCCTATTCAGTAGAAAGTTAAGGTTTTTGGTATTCCTCTAATTTTATCATGTAATTCTTTTCCCCAAATGTGTTACCCTCCTAATTAAATACAGCTGTCTAATGAATGATCTAACAAACTAGTTCAGGATCAGGTACAGATGACTTAAAAATCAAGGTCAATTCCAGGAATAAGTAAGTGAATTTATCTGAATATTGAGTCAAATCAACATATGAAATAGAATAGTTATCACAATTATTTACTTTGAATGAAAATATAGAATTAATGCTGCCGGTGATAGAAACAAGAGAATCGGTTTTGATTCTGATAACTCTTTCTTCATCAAATGATTTATCTGATTTATTGACTTCAAATATAATACTCGGATAGACAATTAATTGACAAAGGGATCCACATTTAAACCCAGATTCAACCTTACACATTTAATCACATCCATCCCCAATAATTAAATTACCATCATCACATTCTTCTTATTCAACCTTAATAGCATCTCCACAAATGGGAACACATTAAGAATCTTCTATATGGTATCCTAAACTCTGATCACAAATTACACATCCAGATTGATCTTCATTGTAGATAATACAATCAGTGCAATTGTCTGCTCTGTCAATACAAGTCTTACAGCTTGAATTGCAAGGCAAACATATGAACTCTTGAGTTAAATAAAATCCATCTATGCATCCAGTGCATTATCCTGCTGAACAACCAGTGCAAGTGTAATCAAAGCAAAATGAATTACCATGCAAACATTTAAAACAAGAATCTCTATCGATGTTATTACCATCATCGCAATCCTCATTCCATTATACAATACTATCACCACATTGCGAATAGCAATAATGATTTGTAGGCGGATTCAAATAATCAGCACAACTAGAACATTCTTACTAATTGGTTTCATAATATCCTCTTCTGCACTTACATTCAAATAAGGTTACACTACCACCACTATGATATTTAGGTTCTCTTGTATTTGGACATCTTGTGCATGATTCAAAATTGTTACTCTACTTACACTCTAAACAACTCGAGTGACATTCTAAATAATCAAATATGATTATTACTTCCACATGTATTTTAGGAACTTTAATCAAAGTATCCAGATTAACAAGTGCAAGAAACATTATCTATACTTAGTATTCTGAATTAATCCTCATTACAAGTTATACAAGTAGTCTCATTTAAACATGTTTTACATTTTGGAGGACATTCTAATGTTAAATAATGAATTCATACTTTTACAAATTAAGTCTCCACTTTCATAATACCCATCCATACAAATACATGTATCAATGTTCAATCTTCTATTCTGACTAGAGTAACATGAGCTACATTAATCCTTTGTGAAATTACAATTTTAACATAATTCATCGCATTTACTACAAATTAAGTCGTTGTCTTCTTGAAAATATCCATTTGAACAACGACACTACTCCTTTTCTAAAACTCTATTCTATCCAGGATGACAAGCAGTGCACATTCTAGCTTATTAAGAGCATTTTAAGCAGGTTGGTAAGCACATATAACAGCTGAAATTCTCCATATAATATCCATCTAAGCAACTACATTGATTCACATTAAGCCATAAGTTTTTCGATTCATCACAAGACAAACAATTCTTGGGATGTAATTAATTCCAAACTCCATAACTTTCTTTTTTGTCCGAACAAGTTTAACAATTATGAAAGCAATTAGTCTATTCACAATAAGCGAGCTTTTCTTTAACTGAGCTACAAAAACAAGTATTGAATCTCCATTCATAGCCAGGTTAGCATGTTTAACAAACATTTTCCTCACTGCATTTTGAGCATCCATACAGACATTTGAAGCATCCATCTCCATTTTTATAATATCCTTCCTTGCATCCATTGATGTCTGTACTAATAGTATCCATTTCAGTAATACAATTTCCATTTTCATCACATTTTAAGCAATTATCCTAGCAAGTAGATACAATAATTCTAAAATCATAGATACCACAATATGCTTCAATATCTATTCCTTAGATACACTATAATTAAATTTTGAATTAATTAGTAGATTCAAATGATTTCACATAAGAAACACTCTAAATAGTTTCAACATAAGATTAACCAATTTGATTTCCCACTGAAATGCTGCTTCCAAACAAACTATATTATGGTTATTCATTGTTGATGCTAGTACGGAATTAAATTTAGTTATTAGTTGAATCAATAAACAACAACATTAAAGAGATCTTTACCTTATACATTGATTTGTCTTTAGTCAGTATTAAATTTATTTATTCATTTTTCCACTTATTAAATCCACCTAATATCTAGCGATTCATAAAATAGGATGTAGAAATCTACGGAAAATCTTAAAAGTTATCTTGAACATAATAGTTCATATCATGATACATGCTTACTAGATACATCTCGTTAACCTAAGTAAGTTATGGATCATCACAAGAGTTTACGTTAGTAGTGGTGTAATTTGGACATTGAGTCACACAATTACCATTAAATAACTTTAAGCTTCCAGAACAAGACAAACACACATTTGGTTATGATTGATTACAAGTCTAACAATTGTTTGAACATTAAATGTAAATTGATGTTAATTGATATTAAGAAATTTACAAATCTCTAATTCCCCAAGTTCTTTGAGGAGTATTTAATTAAAATTTGGTTTTGAACATTATTTCTGTTACTAATTCGGTTAATTCCACTTGCATGACTATTTCGTATGATGAACATTTAGAATAGTTGGGAATACTACAGTGTTATCCTAAACTTACAGTTGATGATGTTTTGATTGAGGATGTTAATTATATTTAGTTGAAATCTACCAGATAAGCTACAACATATTGGTTAAAAAGAATTTAAATGGTTTCAGGAAACAACTTTGACAATTTACCAGTAATGTAAAGTTTAAATTTGATGATGTATTTAAAATTGGGTTACAAATTGACGTCATCAAATATTATTGAGTCTGTGTTGGAAAACATACCTGCAACGGATTTAGTTCCGATGGTATTAATCATCAGCTAATTTACACTGTAATACTTATCGGCGACAAATTTAAATTTATAAGAACTAAATGTATCTTCTTCAAGATCAGAGTAAATCGCACTAACAACAGACGGTTAACATATTCGATTATCATCAGATGCATAATTGGCTGGACATTCATCAACACATGTCAAATCAGGGTTAAAGTAAGAATATTATAGGAAGGGATTGCATTTGCACTCACCTCTCACCAAACTAAATCCATTTTAACAAACTAAACATTCTTCTTAATCGCATTCCCCACATCTGTCTGGGCAAAAGTAGACTTGCAAAATGAAATTGTTTATTCCATATTCACTGGTCGTTCCTGTTGAAGCGTTATCATGCACTATTTCAATATTTAAATTTGGATCGTTAAATGATATTTCCTAATCTATACGCCACAATTATTCAGCGTAAGATTTTCCAAAAGGCCTTGAAACACAGAATCTTAGTGGGTAATCTTCATATACTGAGTGAATTGGCTTCCCATAATAAACCAAGAGACTGTTGGCATAGACTGTGATAGATTCTGCTACGTTCCAGATATTTAAGTAGTAGATATCGAAACTTATCCTAATTTTGCTGAATGCTCGCGTAGTTGGCATGACAATATTCCTGCTCAAAAGTGTATCCCCTTGCAGAAGCTTAGAGTTCAGAGTGGGCTGTAGGTCGCAAACTTAAAGTAAATTTGAACCTGGTGAATTGTTTGAGTTTTTCCAAAGGGCAAAAGTCGAACTATCCATTAGTTCTGATTTAAATAATTCCCAACCTTAATGGATACTCAATATCTTTACCACATTACACAATCTACATAAGCATTCTCAAGACAAGCAATTACATCCATTTCATTATGTTATTTATATAAATATTTCCATATTACATAAATCCAGAGATATACATAAAATGTTTGATAAATTCTGATATGAATATAATAATTTTATATCAGAATCGATTCATTTCAATAATTAGCACTCTAGAGTTAGAGCCAAATCTCTCCCCCCCAAAATTCTTTACTAAAATTATATTTAAATTTTTTATATTTATTCACTTACTTTGCCTTAAAATTTCAGATCTACAACAGGAAATTTTCAATCTCCATTAATTTATCAAGTAACTTCAAACTCCTCATTCAAATCCAACTATACCAGGGGAAAAGCCTTTCAAATAAAATATCATACTCCAAAAATTTAAATTTCTTAATCAGAATTTATCAAAGGAAATCTCAATCACTAATTTTATTAAGTATAAATTTTGGTCAATCTCCTCTAATCCCAAACAAGTAGTTTTAGAAATCATGATAATCATTATATAAAAGAAATTTATTTACTAGATTTTGCTAAAAAAATATAAATATTCTAAATTCTGTTTGAATACCTTTTAATTTTCAATTTTAACTTAATAGTGATAACAAATTAATGTATATACTAATTTAGAATCAAATATGATCCCTTTTAGTAAGTAAGATCTAAGTTTAAGCCATAATCCTCACCCTCACATGTTGTCCAATCATGAATTATCAGGAATATTCGATTACCCAAACAAGAAAAGCAAGGATCGTAAAATAGTAATTATTGTTAATATAAGAGATTTATATGATTCTAAACAGTGCCAACCTTTTATTCTACATACTCAAATATTTACAGAAAAAATCTTATTATAATTTCTTCAGATTTATTATAATTTTTTATAATTGGATTAACATAATCATTATTGTTCATGAGTTTATTTTGATCCATTAGATCAAGTTAATATCTATTGATTCATTAACCATTGACCAAAACATATATGTTTTAAAAAATTAGCTATTTCACCAATTTTGCAGAACCGTCCAATCCTCAATTTCAATTATTACAATTTGCCTTACTTGAGTTTGTAATCAAACTGCCCATGAATTCTTGTTTGGCTGCAAGTCTTCATTATGTTAGATTAGGTCTATGAATATTAACAAGATGGTATGCAAGTTTGTATAATTTAATATTAATCTTAAAGAAACAATTATTATTTTTATTAAATCTGTTTATAGCTTCTATATGATTAAAATAATTTTCACATTAAAAAAGGGAATCTGATTTAATATAATCACTATCAATAGAGTTTTTGGATTTATCAAATTATATTCTCAACGATTTGTTTGAAATCTTTTGTTGATAAATCTAATAAAATTGACAATAAATGTATAGTTGTTTAAACCGTGTTAGAATTAGAATTTGAGTCATTTACATAGTTAAAATAGGTTAATTTTATTAAATATACATAAATTAAAAATTATAAACAAAATTTCACAATTTATGTTTAAACACACCATTTATTCTGATTATGATTATGATTTGGATTGTATTATTATAGTTATTTTGAAGATTATTACTTTTTTTCAAAACTATCTAGCCATTTACTAAAAAATAGATTTCAAATAAAATGCATTTGCAATCCCAGAATTCTGCAGTTTTCTTTTATAATAGGTTAAGAATAATAAGATTAATCGATTCTTGAAAGCTGACTAAAGGATTTCTGTATTATATTTAATTAAGTATCTTGAGTTGATGATGAAGTATAAAATATGATACGTAGATAATTGATTCTTGTAGAATGGCTTCAAAATTTTATAATTAAGACTAGTTTGTATATGGGAAATTCAATCAATCAATCAATTTAAGATAATGAAAAGAGAGAGGTAAAGCAGAATCCTTAATTTTTGAAATTTATTAGTAGAATGCTACTTGTAATTTCTTTAAAATGGCTATCAAATTAATTAAATGAACACACCCAACCCAAGATCAGTAGTCATATCTTAAGTTATTGTTAATTAACATTAAATAACCATTAAATTTTTGAATTCTAAATATTAATTTCATATAACTCAAATAAACAATAATTAAATCAAGAAGGCCTTTTCAAAGGTAGGGCTTACAAATAAACTCTGCCTCTTTTGTGTCTTGGCATTTGAGACATCTATTTTAAGACTCGCATAGTTGACATCCTTATGAACAGAGTTTGCAACCGTATTCACTTAAGTAATAACCATCCTAACACTTAAAATTCTTGTAATCAAATTTATCAATATTGGCCTCAAAAATTTTGCAATCAGATTACGATGGACCTGTACAACTTTAACAAAGTGGAGAACACTAAAGAAATATATAAGAATATTAATACTTTCATAGTCATAAAATAGTAATTAGAAACTACACATCTACCATTACTCGAGATTTTACATCCTAAATTTAGATTTAGAATGTTTTTATTATGGTTGAGTGTTTGATCAACATATGTTTGATTATTCAAAACCTTGAAGGTTTTTCCATCGATTGAATAAATAAAACTATCCTAATCTTAAGTTGAATTTTCTAAGGATATATTAAACATGATTCTAATTGCATAATGTCTTCCCAAATTTAGTTATTTTGAAAATGTAGTGCGTCGCCATCTGTCCAATAATCCTCCTCCAATAAAAGTAGTTTGATTCTCATATCTAAAACTAATTTGCTCTTTCAAATCAAAGGTAATTTAACCAAAAATTTGAGAGAGATCTTAGAAGGGCGATTCTAACTTAACCAAAAATTTAAGATCTAAAGTATAATAAATTTTATTACCTGGTTGGCTCTCATGAAGATTGATGCATCTATTTTTCTCTTGTATTGTATAGAAGGGACACTTCTTAATGCATTAGCCTTAATATAAATGGAAATGATCTTGACATTGTTAACACACATTGTTGTAAGAACATTAAGAGCAATTCTCAATGTCACACTCATACAACTTCTTGCTTTCATTGTAAACCTTAAAGCTTTCTACTTCCCAATAGCCAATTTACTCCAGTTTCTTTGAATAACTATCAATAAGAATTTAATCTTATTTTAGAAATTCTACATCAAATAAGCCTTTCACCTACACACACTCTAGTTCATATTGAGGTTTGCACTCTTTGTGAAACTGTAAATTAGTATAAGAATTTAAAAAAGGGTACATAACTTGTGTTTAACCCTTCCTAAAACCGACCTTTATTAATTAATCAGCATTTTGCTTTTGCTTACTATAACAATTAAACACTATTTCCAATTATCCATTAAAACCATTTTCGAAATTGAATTTGAGCAATTTCTATTCTCCAAATTTCTAGATTGTTGAAAGTTCCTCTTGCAAAAAGGATTTCACTTATTCAATCTCTTTCAAACCTAAATATAAAGATAATATAATACCTACTTATACACATTAGTTGAACTCAGCCACAGTCCCATCTGGGCATTCTTCAACACAAGTGTTCTTATATCTTAATTAGTCACAATCCTGATATAACGAAAGATCACATGAACCTGATAGGCAATATTTACAATCCTTCGGGCATTCTTAAACAAACATATTAAAGTTTCGTATTTCTACTTTGGTTTAATCATCTATTCTCATCTAGATCACTACATCCGAAGCTTAATGTTAAAATCTCATATGAAATTCTTTGAACTCTCCTTGTACCTGAATTATATTTCTTCTAACTCCATTAACTAATATCAATATTTCACTTTCAGTCTTATTAGTTTTAGCATCAAACATTAAGTATAATTCTCTATAACTTTACAAACCTTTATAAGAGATAGAAAAGCTCCCCTCAGCAATAATTTAATAATCCTCTTCGATTATAATATTTTCATTTTCAATTGATTCTATTATTCTTGATGATAAAATGGGGTGCCAACTAAAAGAAACTTCAATCAAGAAGAATAGGAATATCAATTGCATTTTTGAAATATTATTTATTCAAGCAAAATATCTTGTTTTATAACTGAGACTTATATACATTTTTTATTTTAACAGTTGATTTAACTAAATCATTTATAATAATACGCATTTAATTTAGATACTTTATATAATTTATCTAACCAATACAAAAGATTCGTTAATGAAAATCAATCTTTTTTTTTATTATATAATTATTAATAATAACTTATGTTTTATATTTCAAATTTATTTACACTTATTTTTTTAAGTTCTTTCTTTATTTCTTAATAAAAGTGTCTCTCCCATCAATAAGTTAGCTCCCTTTAGCAAAATGAACTATCTCTGAACAATTTCTATTTTAATTCTGATTTAACTTGTAAAATTAATTATGTGGACTTATTACAATCGAATTTATTTCTATAAGTACAATATAGAAAATACTTTTTTAAGAATATATATATCATCCTTCTTCTGCTTAGTGCCTTAAAAGCCTTGTATTCAAAAGGACAGTTACCTTCTAACAACCTTAAGAATAACCTATGAGTTTAGAACTTAATCTGAGTTATTTTATATAATTTTGGCTGATAATGATTATAAAAAAAAACAAATATTCGTGAATGGCTAAGAACCCTTAAATAAAATTTGTTAATTTTAACCAAATGGTTCAATTAGAACTTCTCTGAAATTTTACATTTATTTTTTTAAAGGAAATCCATTCAGGTTTATATATATTTATATGTTACAAATCATTTATGCACATGGGAATAGGTATTATTCAAGAAAATACTTAAAGAGCAAGTTTTAAAGAATAAAATTGATTACTTTAATTTTATAATTATGTATATTCTAAGTATTTTTAAATATTGTAAAATGATAGCACTCATTTATTTTTTTTTGGAATAAGTTAATGCTGTGACTGAACATCTAAAGATCCGCCATCTTTCATTACATTATATTATTTTCCATTTAAATGATCAATAGCTTTTCCAATTAATTACTTTTTGAGAAATTATTCAATAATCAAGTAACATATTTAATTTTATTTTATTATTTTTCACTTAATGTTTGCTAAAATTTAGAATATAATCTGATTAAACAAATAAAATGCTTGGCCAAAGGAAAATTCAAAATTCCTTTTGCAAAATACTATTTTTGATTTGAATTCAAGAGGTCATAATTTATTCCTACTGCCTATTAATATGATCTCCCATCTATTTAGAAGTGTCCAATAACTATGATTTTGAATGTGAAGTATAATTCACTTGCTTTTTTTATGCAATCATATTGTAATATAAATAATTTAATGAGATTATTATATTTGATATTAATTACTATCAAATAAAAACAATAAATATATATCATATAACTCGATCAGCACTTCAATAAGTTTTGCTCAATCATTTTTAGGTGTTTAAGATGACAACTCTTCTGTTGGATGTTGGAGTGATAGATGTAACTAACGGCTTCATTCTTCAAGAATTTATTTCTAAAATATTAATTTAAAAAGTATACCCTAATATCCTGAACATGCTCAAAAAGGATTCTTTCTATGTATAGTTCTTTATGTGGTTTATATTTTTTAACTTGTTTTTGAGTTGATTAATTATTTTTAGGAATTCAATTCCTTTCTTTTTTCCTAAGGTGTTTATGATGTGAACTCTCTGTCCGCAAGCATAAGAGACGATTGCTTTTGCATAGTTTTTCTATATATTAGTAGATTTTTGTAAGAGGTTAATCTTCTTTTTTCCAGATTTTTATTTCGGTTTATTTGATTCTGTATTAGTTTAAATTTCTTCAATATTTTCAACTGCAATTTCATTATTATTTTGTTTTATTGATTAAAAGTTTATTTGGTTGTTTGGATCAAAGTTTTAGTTAGAAAATGAACTTTGGTCGCTGGTTTTTGAGATTATATGATTCATTTCAGGTTCTTAAGAGGTTTGACATTGAGGTATCATATAGTTTGGCATTATTGGCATATAGTACATGGGATAATATTGGGGATATCCGGTAGGTTAGGTGTAAATGAGAATGGGCATGAAATTTGGATTTTACATTGCTATAAATATAATATTGAATCATTTTATGTTTTGGCTTTAAAAAATGAGTTTTCGGTTTATTTCCTTAATAAAGCGTATTTTAATAAAGTTTATATTAGATTAAATCGAGTATTCCTCTTATATCACTTAAAAAAAATTACTAAAACATCTTCTGAAGTCTGAAATCAATTCTTTACCCTTTATTCTACATCCATCCATATAAATTTTATCAATCCACTACAAATTATGCAAATTCAATGTTCTCATTGCATTTTCTTCTGTTTCTTCATAATACCAAGAGAATAAGTCATTCCAATTGCGAATTATGCAAAATGGTTACTAAATTCGATACCATAAGAATAATTGGCAATTGAATAATAATTACCCTCAAAATGCAGATATAATTGTAAATTTTTAGTCATAGAATGGATTATTAGATAAATTAGCGCTTAAAAACTATTAAAAATGCAACAAAAAAACTTATTTTATCAAAAATTACTGTGGTATATTATATTAATTTTCTAATTATATTGTCATTAATAATAAAGTTTATAAGATTATTTAATAATGTATTAGACTGAACCGAATAATTAAATCAATTAGATTAATTGAATTAGAATTATGATCTCTTTTAATACGCAATAAGTATTTATTTTTTTGTGTTTAATTATAAATATGATAACTATAAATTATACGAAGCAAGAATGTTTAAAATTATTATTATTACTAAAAAAGAGTATATATATTTAATAATTAACATTATAATAATTTAAATAATATTTATTAATACTATTTAAGATAAATCTTCATTCCTAAAAACACTTTTTATCGTATTCTTGATAGGCTTCTGTTAATTAATGAGTGTGATTATTGATATCAAAATATAATCAATACAAGAACTGTAGTTTTTCTTTACAATTAATTAGAACTATTCAATATATATTAATAATTATTGAAATTTTAAATTCTTGACATTTTAAACCTAATTTATTTGAATAATATCACTATTTAAGTTGTCTTACATCAAAATTGAGAAAAGTTATGCTTAAATTGTACAATATTAGTAATATTGCGCTCAGTAAAGACAATTTGGTTTTGTTCAATAAAACGAAAGATATAAAAATGTGTTTGATATTTTTATTGAGTTTTCTATATTTATTAGAGTAAGTATTAAAAGAATCAAAGGTTAAATAAGTTTCTAAGATTTAAGGATGCGTTATTAAAATTTTAGATGTGTGGTTGATTGATACGAAAAGAAAAGTAAATATAACATTAATAAAGGTCCAATTAGATTAACACTTACATATTGACAGAACAGAGATCAAATAAGAGTGAAATAAGCTTAGAATGAAGCCAAGATTTTGAGAACTTTAAGCAATTAACAGAACCACTCTAAAGAATTGATTAAAATTTCGCAATTATAAAGGTGTTGTTTAATTAACAGCATAATATTTGCTAATTAATGCATCTTGAGTTGAATCTGATACAAGATGCTAATCTATATTATTGATTTATTATATATATAAATTAAAATACCGATGGGTGCGAATTGTTGCAGGCAATACAATGATAAATCATCAGAGCTAACCAATCTCAATTAATTTACTTCATCAAATATCTTGTAAAAGAAAAGCAGCTCATCTTCGAATATATTAAACAAAGAGAAATGCCAATAACAAGATGAAAATTTCAAAGAAGATGCCTCTGTTACTTATATCCATGAACCATTCAAATTTGAAGGTGACAATCAGGAAATTAAGGAAGTTAATGGAGATGTGGACGGAGTTGAATCAATACAGCAGTCTCATCAATTCTTATAAGATTGCATTCCAAATAATAATAATTCTTCCTCTGAATCAGATGAATCAATTCACTGTGATGATACTAATACAAAAAAAACAATACTAAAGCATGACTTAAGATATTGCCAAAATCAAGGTTCAGTCAAAAATAAGGATGTGGTGAAAAAAAAGGTTAGATTCGATCTAAAATTAAATTTAAAATGAATGTCCATCAATTGATGATTTCTTTTATTTATTTTATTTTTCCTAACTTGATAAAGAGTGTTAGATATCTTTTGTTATTTTTTACTATAAATAACTAATAAAGATAATTAAAATGATCATTTTAATCATATTGAATCTAAAGAATCAAAAATGCATATGCAAATTTTAATTAATGGCAATTCTTATAATTGTTGTATTTTATTTACGCATTAAGATATAGTGATGATACTGAATCAAGAAAAATGGAATTATAATTACATATCATATATATATATCTTTAAGATTTTAATATATAACTTTATTAACTAAAATTTATTGCAATTGAATAAGAATCAGTTCATGATTTCCTAATATTCAATAATCAAATAATAAAATTTAATAACAAAGTACTAACTAGAATGCATATACCTAACTTTTATCAAAGAGTATTCTATCTGAATAAAAACAAGATGTATGATAAAAGAATAAAGGGATGATTGGGAAATTAAACCAAAATCTAAAAAAGCATTCTAATAAAAAAATGCAAAAGCACGACAATAAGTTAAATTAGATGAGGGAAAAAAGAAATTATAATATTAAATTTCATTTTTTTTTTAAGTTAGCAATATTTTGAATAATATTTGTAAAAGTAAAGTAGTTTCAATTTATAAGTCTTTTAATCTGCGATTATTCTTACTGACCAATTAAGAAATAGAGTTCTGACTGACTGTGCTAAAATAACAAAACTATTATTAGAATTATACATATAAATTATTAAGATAAGAAATATTGATTGAATAAAAATGGATAACTAAGCAATTCTCACTTTGCAAGTTTACAGCAAGAATATATTTTTTAATCATCCTTATCAATTAAAATATACAGGAGATAAAATTGTGATGTATAAGGTATTATGATCATGCTTATTAGAAAAGCTAAAATAAGGTGTTTAAATATTTAGATTTCAGGTCCTAATCAGAATCATGACTCTGATTAAGTGGATTATAAAATTTGAGAACAAACAGCCCAAATTCATTGGGTTTACTATAAAAATAAAGAAAAAATTTAAGACTTTCATAAGTAAAGATCCTGACTAACTTATAAAGTATATTTCATTATAAAATGAATATTAGACTAAAGAATTTGCTCAGCTGCAGATGTAGTTTTGGTAATTTTGATGAATTATATACTGTAAAAAGTGATATAAGCAGAGGGTCGTCGGGAAGTGTAAAAAAAATTCAATGTAAATCTACTGGAAATGAATTGGCTGTTAAATATATTAATAATAAGGATTTAACTCCTTTAAATTACGTAAATAGAATATCTAACTTTAGTCAATCATAGAGTAGGAGATAGCTGTGATGAACAAAGTCAAAGGATTTGACTATTTTGTTCAGATTTAAGATGTCTATCAGGATGACTAACAGTATTTAATAATAATGAATTATCTGGATGGGTATTCATTGTCTCATTATCTGGAAAATAACAAAAAGATGAATAAAACCTTCTCCTTGTTTCAAATATTTTCAATAATGAAACGTCTATTTGAAGCTTTGATCAAACTTTCTGAATTGGAAGTAAATTGATATATGAATATAGATAATCCATAGAGATATTAAACCTTAAAATTTGGTTTTAGCAGAAGAAGATGATTTCACCTCTCTCACCATTATTGATTTTGGATTTGCAACCTTCACCAATATTAACAGATATCTTTTATATAAGTGTGGAACTCCTGGATATGCTGCACCTGAAGTATTAAATTCTCAATGCACATATTACTCGTTTAGCTGTGATGTCTTTAGCAGTGGGTGTCTACTTTATTAATTGTAAAAATAACAAATTGATGTTTAGGTTATTTCATGAATTACCATTTAAAGGGGATACAATTGAATAGCTAGTGCATAACAACAGAATATGCTAATTTAATTTGGATTTAGATAAGTGTGATGCTTTCTCAAATAATATTATTGTAAATGAGTATTTTATTTATAGAGTCTCTTGAAATCTCTATTGGAAAAGAAAATCTCTGACAGAATACAATTAAAGAATGCGTACGATTAATTTTCAATCTTGTATGATCTCTATAAGCAAAGATACGACACTGAAGATTGTCATGACTCCTCTCCTCTTGTTAATAGATTGCCTAATTTTGATACCTAAATTGGTAGAATATTTGAGTAAAATACTACAAGGGAATCAAGATAAAGTTTATCAAACTGTACATAGATTATTTCAAAGTGATTTTAAATAAAATTAGCATACTCATATTTAACATATAATTATTATACGTTAAATTATTTTATGATAAATACAACTAACCAATTGGATGAAGCATTAATTGAGAAAATTAGAAACTTAGAGTAGTAAATTGCACAAAAAGACAGAGAATAATACATTATTTTGAATAATCTATAAAGGAAAAATAGAGAGTTGAAAAACTAATTTCAGTAGACACAAAGACAGAATATGGGTACATATATTTGTATTAATATAAAGACACCAAAAAAGAGGTATTGTAACTCTAATCCAAAAACGATCACTTCAAAATCCAAGTAGAAAACTATTCAAATGAAATTCACGACTTAAAATAAAAACAATAGCAACTTTTAAACGAATAAGAATTTCTATCCTAAGAGATTAAGTACCTTAAATCTGAACTCAAGTAAGATTAACTGATTGAGTCAGAAATACTTAAAAAAAATGAATAATTTAAGCGATTACATAACACAATAAATGAATTAGAAAAATAAATAAGACTCTTGTAATTAAATTAGTAATAAAATTCATACTAATTATATTAAACTTAATAAATAAATAATAAAATATAACCTTGCTAAATACACTAACAAAATGAAGAGATTACCATACCTGTATATGTTCCTATAATTGAATAGCCTAAATACATCGAATAACCAATAAAGGTATTAATACTCTTATATATTCAAGCAATATTAAGTCGAAAGGATAGTAGAAACAACAAACTCTAATACCATAAAACCATAATCTATTTGCTTCTAGCCAGTTCATTATACTACTTAATAACATTGGGTTTCAATGCAGCCTGTTCATAATCATCAAAACCATCATCACCATCATTCTTGTTCATCTAACTACGGATATAAGTATTCATATTATTGATATCATTAAAAATTTCAAGAATGATGATTATTTAAAATTTAAATATTATAAAGTCATATATTTTTAGCAATTCTAAAACTATTATTCGAAAATTTAAAGACCTAAGGCTTAATAGATTTAGTCCTTGGCTTTTCTTTGTTTGCATTTCTGATAACTATATTAGCATTATTATGTGGTAAATAATCTATATAATTCTGCATTTTATCCATGCCTTCCAACATATAGAACTGTTATTTCACTTAGAATTGGTCTAACTATTTAAAAATTAAAGTTTCCCTATAAATTTGTGTTTTTCTTTTTTCCTCTTCTGTTAAAGATACCTTTTACTTAATTAAAACAACTGACTTTTTCTTATCTAAGTCCAGATTGGGTGTTTATGATTCTCTTCTATTTAAACCAGTTTGCTGAATATTCTTATTAATAGAATTTGAAGATTTCTATCTGAATTCATCTATAGGAATTGTTTCAATTTGACCACTAATAGTGTCTGATACTTAATATGTTAACACTTGATCATTGAGGTCATTTAACATTGATTCTGTTAAGAATTCTTAATAGTCTCGTATAGTTGCTTCAATCTATTATTGATCAAGTTATGCTTTGCTCTTTTTTCTATTGTTTCTGGTGTATTTTTGTCTTTCGTTATGTTCAGACTTGTTAAATTTCAAAATCTTTAGATATTTAGAAGGTTAATATGTTAAATAAGGGCATTCTATATCTCTATGTGTATATTTATTGCATATATAACATTTAGATAGAATGCTGGTATAATTTTTAGAATATAAAATAGAATCTTTGATTTTATGAAATTTTTCATAATCTTTTTGCGTTTGTTTTATGATATTTATAAATTTCTCCCTATCTATCCTATATAATTATGTAAATCCTACACTTATTGTAGATTCTTTAGGAGTCTGCCCTGTAAAAAATTAAAATTCTCCGAAAACATCCCCAGCTTTTAATCTCCTGATCACCTTTTGACTTTGCTCTTCGAAGATTTAGACTTCCCCTTCAGAAATGAAATATCTACATAACTATTTGAATATATACAAATTTTTATCTTTCATATCATCTCTGTGGTATATTATATCTTTAGGAGTGAATTTGACTAGACATAAATTGTTTTTAACTTTATTTTAAGTTTGTATTGAAAAATAATCTGTTATCACCTTTATTTTTTAAATAACTTTCTATTAAATGTCCGATTCTAATTCTTTTCTTAAACCAACTGGTAAATCATTTATTATTTTAGTAGTTTCCTCTTTGTTTTCTAAGACTTCATTTTCAATACTAAATTTAATATAGTTCTTCACTCTGCTTTGGATTTAAGAATCTACTTCGTTTTTAGACATGAATTGATTCATCAAAATTAACGTTCTCCTAGGGAAGTTTCAATAAATGAATACTTAAATCTTGTTTTTTCATCATAAATAGTTTTCACTATCACTCCTATAGAGTTCATTGAGTAAGCAAACATACAACTGGATGATATCATCACTATGGATACGAATGCAACCTCTACCTGATTTTTAGGTGTAATATCTCCATATCCAACAGTAACCATGGTCATAGTCGCCCAATAGTAAGAGAGGTTATATTTAGCCCAAATATTTTCATTGGTTGTTTCATAGTATGTTAACCAAGAACCTTGATTCAAAGTGATATGGCCTATATAATACCATAAACAAGCCATTGTGTGAGCAAAAAAACATATAATGATAAACAGACTAATCAAATCTAGAAAATCACTATTAAATCCTTTTAAATACAATTATTCGATTTGAATATTATATTTTCTTGCTATTTATCTAACAGTTATGACAAATTGTGTAATGGCAAAAATTTCATTAAGAACTATCACTTAATTTAAACCAAAATAAATCATAAACCAAATAACAAAACTGGATAAATCTTCTAACATTTAATGTTTCAAATAGAGAATCCAAATTTATTCAAGCTCACTTACAATTTCTCCTTAGAGAATTACAGGTCTACAAATTGTCAATAAAGTCTCAAATAGTATATATATATTAAAGAAAAGTTCACAGCCTTTAAAAAAATTATCCGATTATCCAAAGGATGCAATCATGGTGCAAAAAAATAGTCTAAGAAACAGAACAAATAAGGATATGAAATCCCATAAAATTGTTAGATTTTTCCCAGGCATAAGTAAATGACTTAATTTCAACATTTTGTTTGTTTGGCCATTTTCTTTACTGACTTAAAATATAATTTCAATACCTTCTCTCTTGTTTGTTTGAATTTAGTTTAGTTTTTTCCTTTTACTCCTATAGGTAATTTTCATTATCCAAAATATATTTCATGTAATATGGGAGGACATACGATGACAAGTATAGGTTATTTTTAAATTTATTTATGATGCTATTTGTAATATAAGTTTTTAAGAAGGAGGGTCCTTCTGATTTTTAATTTTTAGGTTCCAGCAATTGTCTCTTGCTTCCTTTAATGAAGTTGCTTTATGATTATTGGTTAGGATTCCCCTTAGATCTAAAGTTTTATTTGGCCTTCAACACTTGCAGAGTTATGGGCAACATTTCTACATTCCGAGAAATATTATTTGATTACTACTCAATATCTTTTTAACTAAAATCTGATGAGATTGAATTCCTAGAAGGTGAATTTTTTTTATAATTGTTCACATTAGTAGAATCAACCAAAACACAAGGGCCAAAATAACAGTCCTGCAATAAACCATTATCTGTTCTATTTGTATTCATTCACTTTTATAATTTAAATAAATAATTGATTAATAAATATTTAGAGATAATCTTTAATGAAAAAGGCAAGTTATTATAATTTCTAAGGTAAAATAATTACTTAATTGTCTAATTAAAATCAACTAATTAATTAAACAATAAAATTTTATTAACAAAACATTTAATGTATAGATCTTCTTATTACGAATCTGATTAAAAAGACATTATCATAGCCTAGCTAAAAGCAGATATTTATGAAGCTCAAAAATAATAAGAGGAATTAGAATAGCTTGAATAAGAAATGGGGAAATGGGAAATCAAGATAAAGATGGCTAATGAGGAAAAAGTTTAATTATATTCTTATTTCTTAGTTACTTTTAGAACATGAACATAAATAGAAACATGAATAATGTATTGGTTAAATTTAGATGATGACCTAAGAAATTAACCAATTATCAAAAATATTGAAAGAGAGACATTTGGATTAGGAGAGATAAATTTTATAACAGAAAGAATTAGAAGAAATTAATGATTAAAGATAACTTGAAATCTAATAGGCACGAAAACAGTTGAATAAATTATCGGATTCGGTCATTTAGGAAACATCAATTATTGAGAATTTGCAACATAAACTTGAACAATTCGAATAGGAAAGTTACAATGCAGAAGTAAAGAACAAAGACTTGAACAGGAAGATAAATGAGATTTAGCAAAAGAATAGGAAAATAGAATAAGATTGTTAGATATTGCAAGATCAGTTGATATAATTATAGTAAAGTGACTAGGAACAGGAAATAAATAAAGTAATAGTTTTGCATAAATAATATAGTATCAATAACAATTAGCATATACCAATGAACACATTAAAAAAATAGAGTAGGAATTTCAATAGCAGAAATAAAACAACAAATCCACAGAGTAACAGATAAATCGCATGAATCAAGAATTATAATAAAATGAGGTTGACTTATCAAAGTAAAGGAAATATTTGATTATGGAGTAACAAAAAAAGGATGATTTGAATAAGAAAAAGGCTTAATTGCAGAAAACCCAACTTCATCGTTAAGAATAATATTCTTAAGCAGATTAAGAGTTTAATAAGACTAAGATGGATAACCAAACGATCATCAATGACAATAATTGTTACAAGAATAAGTTGAAGCAATTGTAGACACATATAGACAATTTAATGAAAGTGAATTAAGAATTGGTGAGTGAATTGGAATATTATTGTGGGGATGATTAGAAAATTAAGCAAATTTTGAATAGAGCTGCCAGAGTAAAGGAATTGCAATTGCGAGTTGTTCAAGGGAATAGATTACTTAAGAAATGAAGCTGCTAACTAATTGTAAATTATCAATGATTATTCAATACTATAATTATTAATATAATTATAAGAAATGGATGATATATATTCACAAATGACTGATAAATTTAATTGCGATTCTTCGAATAGAACAGATGATTACTTTATGCAAGTTTGCCAACCATTATATTCAAATAGATGTTAATAGAGAGAAGAGATCGAATTCAAATTTAGATAATCAAAATAGGATTATGTGTTTCCTCGAATGCCTTTTGAAGAAACACCTGAAAAATATTAAACAATTGAATCTCCCCATCGTTTAAAAACAGAAGGAAATGAAAAATCAGAAGATCAATTAGATCTAAATTTTAATTTTAATAGTTCATCTGAACATTTATCAGACGATGCAGTTGTATTATAGCCAAAACCTTATTAATAAAAATTAAAGCCTCCTCAACCTAAAAAGGCCAAACATCCAGCTACATAATAAACATATAGAACCATCTTAAACGACTTAGAAAGGAAGTTGCATACAATAAATTGCAAAGATTTTGTTAAGAAAAAATGCGAATAAAAAGGGGCCTCCAGAGCAAAGAGCAATTCCAACAGCACAACACATTATAATAGTCATTATCAACGGAAGTATAAGTAAAAAAAATCAAAGACCCTTTGAAATAGATACCAAAACCTCCTCTGTGAAGAAGTCCATTCCAACTGAGTCCAAAAAGTCACTTAGCAAAACCACTCTCGCAGCCATTTTATTGAAATAGAAAAGCAAGAGCAATCCATCCAAGACCAATAATATCTTTAATGTTAATAATAGTCATATCAATCTTAATGTTAATATTAATAGTTAAACTATGGATTTATAGTAATAAGCTTTAACTGTGGCATAAATACTATAGAAAAAATAGTTGTTGAATCGCTCCTCTCTATCCAGCTATTAGAGAAATTCTAATCGATGTTCTACTGAACCCTTGGAAGAGATGAAAGCGAGGCTATCCAATAATCACTAAAAAAATAAAACTACGGTTACAAATCAATCCAGATGCCACACTGGAATGGATGTAAGAGCCTAAAGCACTATCCAATATTTAAACTAAATGAAAAAATAGCAAATTAAAAAGAATTAAAACCAGTAACATCAACAATTCTAATAAAAACAACCTCCAACTATGTAAATTAAGCCTTAGTAAAATATAAAACAGTAAAAAATTTATAATATTAAAAGGAGATCCAGTACAAATACTTCTAAACCAAGAATTTCATCTGGTAAATATAAAAAATATAATTTATCTATAGAAATGAATTGAGTAAATAATTAATTATTTATTTTATTTCAATCAAATCTTTTTTCATTTTTTGCTTTTTGCACTAAATTTTTGTGATTGCTATTATTATATTTATTGCTATTGTTATTATTACTACTTATCAGCTTAATCAGTTTAAACTACATTATCAGACCAACCCTTATAAACATAATAAAATTTAGTATAATAATCGGCATTTTCATCTTTTGTCTTAATTGTGTCTATAACTAATTTTTGATCTCTAAAACTATTAATGTATAGTATACCTTGTTTTCAACTTTACTCCAGCACTAGATAATACTTCAAAGAACCTTCCCATTGGCAATACTTATGTAAACTACTTATCTAATTTCTTAAATTCAAATAGCAAATCAAATTTTGGTTTTGTTATCAGATATTATTTGAGAGTATCCAACAACTCTGCGAATGTTTTAAAATATAAACCTGTAGGTGGCTTTAATGTAGCATCTTTATCAAATAATTCTCTTGTTCCTCCTTGTTACTTCAAAAATTGAATTTCTCTCTCCAATTGCACTTTCTCCATCTATATTTAGTTAAATTACTGAAGTTTAGCTTGGATGTTAGAAACAGTTTGATCTTATTCTTCTAATTTACCACCTCCAGCTTAGATGATAGCCTTGAGTTCTGAGTTTTTCTTTTGTAAATCCGTCATTTGTGCTCTATGTTAAATTTCCTTCTCTTGAAGTTGTTCTAACTTTTTCTGTTTATCTTTAATTTCCTCTTTTAGTAATTTCATATCATTAACCATTTTGGTTAATCTGGTTTCAAGTTCTGTTGAATTATTATTTAATTTAGATTCTTTAGTTTTGTAAATTTGCTCCTTGTCTATAGATTCTCCAGCTATCTTATATTATTCTTCCTTTAAAGCAACTACAGTTTTCTTTAATGTAACCAATTAGTTATTTTTTTCATTAACTAAATTTTATAATTTTTCAATCTTTTACACATATTACATGCTTTCATTCAATTTCTTTTCATTATCTAATTCTATTTCTAATTATTCTTTAATGGCAATAGTTTTGATTAATTCCTCTTTCATTTTCTTTAAAGCACTTTTCTCTGCTTCATATGATAATTCAAGATCTTTAATTTTTCTATCTTTTTCTTATAATTATTATTAATATTTTTCTATTAAAACTGGTTGCAATTCAGCCATTTAATTTTATTACAAATATGAAAAATTATTGTAATTATTGCTATTACCTGTTTTGTTTGCTTCCTGTTATACTTAATCTCTTCTATGCAATAGATCTGTTAATCTTTAGATTTCTGCAATATCCTTTTTCTTATGTAATAACGTCTCTTGCCTCAAAGCATCTAACTATTATTCCTTTCTATCCAATTCCCTATCTTTATCCTGAATTATTTCTTGCATTGCCTTAAGCATTTATTAACCAGCAACAGACACCTTTTCAGCCTCTTAAGCTAATAATGTCTTAGTATAATCTTCCAATTATTACTATTGAAATACAATGGTGCCACTTGTAACAATCTTTTATCTTTCTATATATCCTTCAATTTCAATATTTTTCTTCTTTACTGAAGCCTCTAGTTCTTAGATTTTTTTCTAATATTATGTGATTTCTACTTACTATTATTCAGTAGGTTAATTTTATTGTTCCATTTGCTCTTTCTATTTTTTCTAAATTGCATCAATCAACATCTTACTTGCATCTGTATTCTTCTAAGTATATTCTTTCATATCATCTTTTTCAATGAGTCCCAATTAGGCAAAAATGGTTTTTCTTTATTCATAGAACCTTTTCCTCCAATCTTCTTCCCTTTTCCTCAAATCCAAGTCAGCATGTGCTAATTCGTACTCTAACTTCTTAATTGTGTCAGTGTATTGTTTATTTAATCTTTAAAAATACTCTTGTTTCTCAGCACTCACTTGCATTTCCCTTTTGACTCTAAGCAATTCTATTTTTTCTTCTGATAACTTTTAACTTACAGCTATAATTTACTAACTTAATTCATCAGGATTATTCTGTCTTAAATTTCTCTCTAGATTATCTAACTTCTCCTTGTAATTATCAAAATAGTCTGCCTTAAGTTGTAATTCATAGAACCTATCTCTCAATTCTCTATTTTATCTTTCAACCTCCTATTTCATATCTGATAATTCTTTGACTCTTTTTGCTTATTCTTCAACTCTTTATAAAGTGACTGTTGGCAATATTTTTAATTTGAGCTCAGTAATTTATTGTTCATATGATCTAATTTGCTCTGAGAATATGGTATTTTATTAAATAATTTCTTGTGATTGTTTAAGAATTGTAGTATCATATGACTCAGATTGTAATTTGAGTTTTCTTAACTCATCCAAAACCTTTTCATACTTCTGATTAGTTTGTGCTTCATGCCATCTGGCAATCATGAGATGATGATACAATTTACCAATCATCATATTCTAATCAGATACTGCTTACAGTTCTTTTATCGTTTATTACATTGTGTCAGAATCATTTTTGATTTTTTCAATAGTTAATTTCATACTTTTAGTTTACATGACTGCTGTGTCATACAATTACCTGTAAGTTGTAATTGCACTGTTTTAATCAGAAATGGTTAACCTCTGTTATTCAATCTGTTTAGTCAATTTATCACTTTCTTCTCTGGATAATGCTCCCTTTAACTTTTCCAACAACATTAGTTTCTCCTCTCTATCTCTATAGAAAGTATCATTAGATCTCTCCATTTAATTTTGGAGTTCAAATAAAGTTTTAGTTGTCTCTTTAAGTGTCAATTCTGTGTTGGTTAATTAATTGAGTAGCACATCACACTTTAATTAGGCATTTTTTTCCCTCATTTCCAAAATGTTTATTTTCATTTTCAATCTATCCTCTAATGTCTATCCTTAATTTTCTTATTTGGCCTTTTGGAGAGTCACATCGGTCTCCTACATAGTTTTCAGTTATTCAGTTCTCTATTATATAAATTGTAACTTTTGATATTTTTCCTCTTCTGTTTTTGCAGTTCTCAAATAATTTAACATTTCATTATAACTAATTTGACCATTTCGATCTTAATCCATTTAATCAAACAATTATCTAACCAAATCAGGTGAGATTCCTCCCTCTAATTCTCTAAACAAAGCTTAAAATTCCATTAAAAGTAATTGTTTAATCTCCATCTCTATCAATCATATTGAACACATCTAATAATGTTAATCTCTAATCTTTAATTGATTGATCCAATTTACACATAATTTGATACTTAATATCTAAGCTGAGTTAGATTGATTTTCCTTGATTGATTAATTCACTTTTCACAATTTCATCAAATAATACATAGAACTCTTCATAATTGATTTAATTATCTCCACTGGTGTCAGCCATTCTAAAGATATAATCAATAGCCTTTTGATCATGTTTAATATTCATCTAAAGAAGTGCTTCTTTCATGTCTGCCTTGGAAATAACATTATCACAATTAGTATCAAATGCTTGGAATGCAGATCTCAAATCGTAACCTGATTCCTTAATTGCATTATATAATTGATAAAGTAATTAATCTTCAGGTTTTCTAAGATTGATTCCTGATCTCTTGAGCTTTCTAATGAATTCTTAATACTCTATTTAACCAGTTCCATCTAAATCTACAAACATGAATACAACTTCCATATCATCATTAGACACCGGAACTCCAATATTACTAATAGCTGTGGTGAATTCACTTCTTGAAATCTTGTTGTCTCCATTCTCATCGAATAATTTAAATATTTCAATAACTGAAATATTTTTAATCTTAATAAACTCAACAATATGTTCATAAATCTTGACATATTTGTCAAAAGCAGAATCAAAACTCTACAGTCTTTTCTTAATAACTTCTTCTTCCAATTAAATTTCCACTAATTCTTCTTCCAATTACCTAACTCTTTCTCCTTTTTCAAATGCTTCTCTCTCATGACTCTCAAGTGTTGCCATTCTCTTTTAATACTCTGCCTCTTTCAATTAGGCATTAGCCAATTTATCCTATGTGTATTCTAACTTTTATCTAAGATTGTTGAATTCATCAGCTGGTACTGAATTCTTTAACTCTTTAATCATAACCCTCATATGTTCTTCTGCTGATTTCTTCCATGAAATCAAATTATATATTTTCTCTAATAATTCCTTCTCCTTTGCCATACTCTCACTCTCTACTATTGTATAACTGGTCTTCATTTATTTATATTCTTCAGTCAATGCATCATACTTTCGAGATAATTTGATCAAATTGACATCTAAAATAGCAGTCTTCTTAGCCATCTCTCCTAACTTTTCTTCCATTTCTTTCTTTGGCTTCTCTCTGTCTCTCATAAATTCCTCATAATGAGCTAATTTAATCTTTGCTTTCCCGCATTCAAATCCAATTAAGCCTTGTATTTCTCTTGGATCTCTCCAAACATCACCTTAAATTTGTCTCTCTCTTCAATGTATTTCACAAATAACTGATCTTAGACCAACAAACATTTTCCCTTTATATCTTCCTTAATAGTAGTAACTTCTTATAACAAATTCATATACTCAGCTTCCTTCTATTATAATAATCTCAAGGTCTCTATGTTCTACAATTGCAATGATGCTAATTCGTATTTCAATTACATCTGATCCATGCCTGAATCCCCATATGCTGAAGACATGTCAACCGGAAATTTAACATTAAAGCGCTAACTGTAACCATCCTTAATATCATTATAATTTCCAAAGGCTCCAGGAATGGGATTAGGAGGCATACTTAATTTATCCAATCCAGCCGTATCAACAACTTATCTTTATTATATAATTGATTATTTGACTTATGTAGTGTCTTAGAGGTTTTACCCTTTCATAGTTCTTGACTATCTCTTAAAGTTGTTCTCTTAATTCCTGTTATTGTTTCTACATCATTTCTTACACCTAATCATTAGTAACTTTCATAATTCCTTATTATGTGCCCATGCCCATAGCTCCATAATCTTATTAATTTTAACGAATATGGGCATTTTCTTCCTCCAACATCTTTACTTTACTTCTCAATTCCTAATTTTCCTTTCTCAATTGATTATTTGATTAAGAATCGAATTCTTCCAAATTCACTTCACCTCCAGCTACTTATTCTCTCAATTTTCTTCTCAACCTTGCTCTCTCTTCTTCCAATTCTTCCACTTCTCTCTCCAATTCAATCACTTGGGCTCTGTACTTCTCCACTTACAATTGCCCTTCTTAAATCACATCATCCAATTCAAATTAATAATCATCTGGAACTCCTGCCATTTTCCGCAATACTCTGTTTTCAGCACTCAATCTCTCAATAGCCTAATTCAAAGCATTTGTTTTCTCCACTAAATTCTTCAATTTTTCTCTGTTATCCTAAACCTCGTCTCTGTAATGGAATTCATCCTTTACGATATTTTCATCCTTGTATTTCAATGACAATTAAGTCAATTACCACATCAGATTACCATTTTCAAGTTTCACCTTCTCCAATTAATCAATATATTATTGAACAGCAGCCTTCTCTCTATCTAATTCATCCCTTGCTTTATCTAATTAATTCTTTAAGGTCTCTTTTGTATATGCATCATCCCTATTAACCATCTTTTCTAAATCTCTCATTCTAATAAAGCAATTCATTATATTTTGCTTTCTATTCTTCATATCTCCCCTAATGGAACTCTTATTCGGCTTCCAAGAATGCTATCCTTTAATCCTTTTAACGACCATCCTCTCTTAATTATTCAATCTATTTTTTGAGCTGTATAATTTCTCTTCTTAATTTGAAATTTTCACTCTCAGACATTATATATAGATCAATAAAAATATAAATAAAATAATAGTACTTCTATATTCATTTTAACTTCTTGCTTTTTTTATTTTGCTTGATCAATTCCCTAAACTCCTCAGATGAAGATTTCCAATTTTTAGGTATGTATTTCACCTCGTCTTCTTCAGCGAAAGTTACAGTTTTTTTCTTTTAATTATCATTATCTTCCTCTGTTTTTTACTGCTGTTTTTAAACGATCTTATTCGTTTTATTAATTTTATTATCCTTTTGCATTGACATCTTGCCCTTTGGTCCAACTATTGCCAAACCATAATTTTTAAATGGTAAATGAGGACTGACCTTCTTTGGCTGATTTTTTGAAGGCGATGAAATTGGTTGCTTACTTAAAATTCTCTCCCTTTTGACATTTTCAATTGCTTGATCTTATCTCTATCTTCTTTCTATTTCTGCTTCTAATTCTTTCTATTTTTTAAATTGTTGATTCAATCTTTGTAGCTTTGACTCTTTTCTTCTATTCGCTTCTTCTTAGTACTTAATTGCTTATTCTGCTTACTCTATATCTTCTTCATCAACTAAAAATTGTTCGTTATTCTCAAAATGTGGAGAATGATAATAGTAAGCTACTTATGATTTCAGATCTTGTGGGTAAAAGATCTTTCTGTAGTTTTCGTTTGGAGGATCAAAAATCTCATAAAATGGTATATCATCAGGAACATCTTCATTCAGTTTATCCTTAACTAAATATCCCTTGTCTCTCAATTCTTGATGCCTCTCTTTCTTTCTGAGCAATTCCATTTAATTTGGTTCGTATTCTGGTTTATCAAAAAACTCATCGCCCAATTTTCCAGTTGCTTTAATTGGAATCAAAGAGTTTTACCCAATAGCTACTAATCTATTGCTCATATTATTATAATTATAAATTATCAAATGGACTAAATGTTTGTGTTATTGATTTCAAAATGGAATACTTTCCATAATAAATAGATTAGTTCAAAGAAAACTTCAATAATTAAAGTTGAAAAATAAAAATTAGTTTTGATTACATTCATATTATTTTATTACCATTATATTTTAATTATAATTATATAAGTATAACAATCAAAGAACAAATGAAAAAACTCTTAAAGAGTACCGATTTTGATGCTGTAGTATAGAAATTGAATATTCACTGCAAAACTAAGAGCGATGATTGTAAGTATTAAAAGTTTAGATTCCTTAGACTTGGATCCATTCTAAAAAATAAAAAATTCCTCTCCTATGATTTTCGGTGATTATTGCCATACAAACATACCAATTCAATTGTAACTATCTCCTATTGACATAAATCAAAAAAGTTACATTTCATTACTATCAGATAATATTGACTTTTCGGTTAAAGATAAAAAATAAGGCAATAACTCAAATTAATCTTTGGAACGTCCTTAATGTGAAATAACATAGCGCATTCATTCTTTCGTTTAAAAAGAGAAAATTATCAATGAAGAATAAAGCAATATAAATAAAAGATTGAAGGAAATTCGGCAGATTTATGTCAAGAAGTTGGAACAACTCGACGAATGTATGTGAAGAATCATTTTAAATAGAATATTTGCATAAAAGATTATAAATTTTAGAGTAATTTGAGTCGCATTTGAATTAACAAAGTCCGAAGAAGACGAAGGAATAGCCTCTGAAGAGATGGCTCTCAAAAAGAAGGATTCGATTTGTTCATCTCGATATTATACTCAAAATGTAAATGATTCTTAAGAGGATGATTGGAAGTTCATTCGTGATGCTCAAAATATTCTAAGGAAGTAGAAATCATAACATGTTGAAGAATTCGTAACTCCATCCAAAGTTAGATTTGTAAGATATTCATTTTAACAAACTTAGTAAAAGAAGTCAAAGAAATCTTTACTAAATGATGATTCATTTTAAGTATTATAATTTCGATATTGATCAGAGTAATCGTTTTTTATTATTATTATTTAATATAATGAATATATTAAAAGTATTATTGCTTGTGTTTTTGATACTCAGTGTGACAGCCCAACAACTGAGAGGAAACAATGATTAACCGGAAGCATCATCTGAGGTTAAGAAATGCTCTTGTGGATCTGGAAAAACTACAACAGGTGGATAAGGCTAGAACAAAGTTTCATTACTTCAATATTAGGAAGCTTTAAAGAAGTTACATGACGGAATCAAAGAAGCCTCTTCTGATTTTAAGGCTAAACATATATGATTTTCTATACATAACCAAGAAATTATATTCATAATTTTTCTTTAGATTCCTTCCATTCTTAAGTTTATGATCATAGTTAGAAAAATCGATGATTGGAGTGTTCATCTCCTTACTCTAATATAGTCCTTATATAGAAAATTCGCAATTTCTGTTTGGAATTATTCTGAGTTGTAATCTTAATTAGAATATTGATTATAATTATATAAGAATGATATAAATGATAGTTTAATTTGTATCAATTAATAACGTATTAATAGGATATTGATTGATTGTATTAGTTTTTTGGTAGAGAGAGAGTAAGGAGAAAGGACGACAAAATATATGATATGACATTATATGATGATTTATTATATATGAAAACTAAAGGATTACATCTGTTTCAGGTTGTCAATTTAATAAATGAAGGCAAACGCTTCCATTTGACTTCTGTGTCTTCTAGGTTTTCATCAACTACAAATTTGAAATTTGGGAAATAGGTGGAATCAATGCTATTGTAAATGAATATTGATACATTTCAATTGCATTGAACTTTTCTTCCAAACTAATATTAATGAATAAATGATTTGGATGCAATAAATCTATGAGCTCATTATAACTAATATTTTAAGGACGATTAGTCTTTGAAGAAGTAGATTGAACTTTTTTCTTTTTGCTGATTTGTCCTTCAACTCGATTGATTTGTTGACAGTGATCTCAATGAGTCACTCATAATTAGCAGTTAGATATATAAAAAATAAAATATTAATATAGTTTATAAACTTGGAGACATGATAAATTGATAGTTTTGTAATATCTTGAGGTGAACATGAGCCATTGAAAGTGACATTGGATTTGGTGTGAGTGTGAATTTGTGTTGGGCATTTATTAAAATGAATAATTGCAATACCGTTTTTATTTAATATAATAATAAAGTTCAGAGGAAATGAACAAGATCATAATTTTGGCAATGATAGGTCTAATGAGTGTATCAGCATTCGATATTGATTTCGCTTTGTTGCTTCAAGTATCATTCGAATTGATAAATTATATAGACAGGTTCAGAATCAAATGATGCAGTTTAAGCAGTTTATGATTTATTGAATGATTTGAAGACAAGCAATATCGAAGCCCAAGGAGTGGCAGACGAAAAGAATATCTCAGACGAAGAGATTGGTTAGGCAAGAATCGCTGCATTATCAAAAGTCAATGAATTAAATCAAAAAGCCTGGGCCAGTGCCAAAGCCAGAAGGGAACAAATCGGAATTGAATACAGAGTAACTAACATAATTATAATATAGGAAGCAACAGATTACATTGCATGGGCAACCTAAAGATTGGCTGACATTGATAGAAGATCAGTCGAATTATAAGAGTTGAGATGCTTCTCAAATGGTTTGTTTGTGAGAGCAATCAAACAACATAATGATGCTCTTGGAGTTATAAGAGTATTGAAGAATGATTTGAGTGGATACTTAACAGGATAACCATCCTCATTGGTCGAAATCAATGTCCAAAATGTTTCAGACAAATTAAAACAATACAGTCAATTATTCAATCAAGATGCCATGACCAAATTCGCCTAATTAGCTGTAGAACAAGCCTCAGGAAATGCAGAATTACATGCATTAGGACAAGAAGAGGGATCATCCTCATCTGATAGATAACCAGGCCATAATGTTGGATAACTTGTTTACAATGCTTTATCCGATCTAGAAGATTAATTGAAATCATCATTAGCCAATTTGGAAGCCAATGAAATTGCTGCTTATTATTAATTGGCTGATTGGCTTGCTGACACAGAATCTGAGGTTGCCCATCTTAATGATGAAATCCAAAGAAAGACTCAATTATAAGATAAATTGGTTGTGGTATGTCTATTGTCTCATATCTTTCAAGTAAGAACAAGCTGCTCTTGCTGTCTAAGCCAAAGCTAATAGTGTTTTGAAGGACTCTTAGAATGCCATCAATGCTGCCACTGCTTCCTTATATGAGTTAAGAGACTTGTATGAAACCGAACTCAATAGAAGAAATGGTATGCATTCAATCTATTTTCTTAGAGGAGAATGCTATTATTGATGAAGTCATTCACATCTTCAAATAATAAGTTTTAGAAATGGCCAATCAAACCTCATATGGAAAGAAATGAGTTTTAAATTTATATTAACAACAACCGGATTTAAAATTATATTCAAACAATGTAGTAATAATCAACACATTAATATCTTTTATTCTAATGTACATATGGAGTAATTTTCATCTCGGTGTCAACATGCTCTGGTTTCTTTGGTTGTGACTTATATCTTATGTTTTTAGGAGTGGCCTCTATTGTGTGAAATTTGAGTGGGGGACAATCCATCATTGTGTTTTATCTTTCTGAAGGCTACTCCTTGGTTCTGATACTTTAAAATTGTTTTATAAGCAATTCTGTTTAAAAGGGATTCTCCTAAGATTATCTACTAGTATTTTTATAATTATCAATCAATTGTGAATAACCCACTCCCTTCGATCTTCGGATAGACTTTATCTAATTTCTTTTCTAACTATTACTACGATAAGTTCCAGAGTATCGATTCATTGATTGTTGATGATCCATCATCTCTGTGTAATTATTTTGTTTTTCAGAAAGATTGAATTTTATTGTTGGCAACAATGGCTTTATGTTATGTATTTTCTCTCCTTTTGTGACTACTTAAAACTTTAATACCTTTTCCAACATAAAGAGTGAAAAAGTAATTTTTATTTTGTCTAATTAAAATATTCAAGATGAACTATTATTATGTAATTTTAAATTAATTCCATATATCAAATTATTCTCGCATTTCGAATCTTTCTCTAAATTTCTCCTTGGTTCTACTTAATTTCTTCAAATTCGATTAGGTAGATTAATCGAGAAATTTCATCTACATTTTAGCCTTTGCCTACCTTGTTCAATCATTTGAGTCAAATATAATTACAGTCCTTAATAAATGATTTAAATAAACAAATTTAATATAAAATTATAATAAAATGAAAGGATAATTTGATGATGAAGAGGAAAATGAGAATCTTATTGAGACTGAATAAAAAGGGTTGGATTATTTTTTAACGAAGGTCAAGATAGTTATTTTCAAAGTTTTGTTTGTTTTGGCCAAAGAAGAAAAGGCTGATGATTAAATGATTTACTTTTACATTCTGACTTCTTTGGATTATGTCTAGATGCATTCATTTCCATTCAATAATAAAATACTCTATGTTTGGAAAGCTGACTCATTTTTAACCAATATTTTAAATTTTGTAAATGTGTTTTCAATATCAACATATGTACCTAATTTATCATATTTCGCATTGTTAGTCTCAGTCTATGTTTGTTTAAGCGCAATTTTGTTGATAATTTTGAATATCATTTACGTCTCATACTCATTTTCATAGAACAAGTTTAAATTTATGTGGCCTGTCTATGTATTGAGATAGGTGGCATTTTATTTTGTGACCGTGTTTTTTTTACCCATCACAGAAACCTTAACCTCAATACTCCAATGCTACAATGACCCAGTCACTAATGAATATGTCATTTATGGATATGATGAAATAAATGTGTAATGTTGGCAAGGATGGCATATATTCCACGCCCTCATAACATTACTATTCATGCTGATATTTGTAGTGATATGTGCCATAGTGGCTTATGCATTTTTTGAGCCAGGCATGACTAGTGGTAATAGAACAGCCAGATAAGACAGTAATGGAGAAGTTGCATTTATCATTAATAAAGTTACATGCCAAGTATTGTATTGCTTCTTGGGTAAAAATGAATCATGGATATTGGTTTTGACAACATTCACACTATCTGCTTGGTTGTTTAAAGAGTATAATTTTGCTGACCCAATTTACGATTTCGAAGTTGGACGATTCTACTCTATCATCAGTTCGTACTATTTTTGGGCTAATGTTATGTTGGTTATATGTAAAGTGCAAGAAAATGCTGAGTTTTCAGGAGGCTTGATTGCTTGGGTCATTGGTCTGCCATTTATTGTGTCTATCATGTTGACGACTAAGAAATCTAAAGTAGACACACTGGTTAGAGCCTAGAACAAGTTTTCAAGTGGAGAGGACGTGTGGATTCATATCAGATACGTTCTTCAATTGATATCTTAGGCTGATACTGATAGAAATTCATACATGCTCTTGATTGGATATATTGAGAAGCATAAAGAAACATGTAAGTTGAATGATTGCTATTTTAAATAAAGAAGGAAGGCTTAGAACTCAGAATAATTGGATGATTTGAAAAGAGGATTGATTATTGAATTAGATAAGATGTTTAGGATGGGATTGAGAAAATTCTGGTCATCAGCATCTTTACGAATCTTTTATGCCTTATTTTTGATGGAGAGAAGAAATAATAAGAATGATGCCTATATTCAATTTAATTTGGTCTCTCAAAAGAGCAAACCCAAGTTTTTCTAGTAGTTTATTACCTATCGATATATGTATTTGAATTATTATAATATAGGAAGATTATCAAAGATAAAAGTGATGATGTTGTGGATGCAATTGCAAATCAAAATAATAAAAGTGAACTCTATTCCAAAATGAAAATGGCTGCCTTGTATTACAAAACCTTTTGGAATGAACTCAAAGAAGATTAGCCTAATCTCGTTAGACTCATGCATATAGGAGCCATGATTACTAAAGTGAGCAATTAAGTAATGGAGAAACATTAAGAGATGAATAAAAAGAACTCTTTGGGTTTTGCTGATTTGAAAGCCTTAGCCAACTTCTATTATCAAGTGTTCAATGATTCTTTTATGGGTCAGATACTCAAAAATCAACATAAGTTGGCTAAGCAGTAATTGTAAGTGAAGGTAGAGGATGAGGATTTGATTGAAAATAACATTGAAAAGCACCCAATACCCTTTCTCCAGGTGTGTGCTAGAAAATCAGAAATAGGTAAGATAATTAATCTAAATTCTCTATTTACAACATTTTTTGGATATCAGAAGGAAGAATTGAGGGGCAAATCAATTAATATCCTAATGCCTAAAGTGTATGCTGAGTAGCATGATAATTATCTAATTGAGTTCTTTGATAATATGTTAATAAACATGCAAAATGATGGGGATTATCCAAGAACATATATTGATTAAGAACAATTATAGTTTTATAAGCACAGAAATGGCTACATCATACCATTCATCTATAAGGTCAGCTTCAATATAGATTCATTACAATATCTAGTATGTTTTAAGAGTGATCCTACTTTTAAGGGATAAGCCGTCTTCATTATAGACTCGGAAACAACTATAATAGAGATGTCTTCGGGATCAATCCAATACTTCGACATAGAACTCAGGCATATTAAATAGGTAGTGATTTTGAATTCCCTTTTGCCCGATATATTGAATCAAAATGGGAAGTAAGTGTAATATCATAAGAATGGTCAGAACAACATTGAGTCTGTGTATTACTTCTAATGTTCAGTTAAGGAAATAGAGATTACCTAAATAATAAATGAAAATCTACTTTTAGAGTTACAAGCATCAAAAAAGTTAGTAAAATCAGGATATTGGTTGGTTAAGTTGGAGAAGATCGATTTTTCTGATGTCTCAGGTGGAAGAAAGGCTTCAACATTTATCAGTAGTGCTAGGGGTTTGTTACCTGGTCAAAGTAGATAGTCTATACAAATTACTTAAAGATAGTCTATTTCCATCACTCAGAAATTAATACCCACTCGAGCTAATCAAACAGTGTAATCATTGGATACATTAGCACTGCGAATTGATACTAATTTTGAGTACGATTAGAATTTGGTGCAGTTTTTGTAAGATTTATATACAGAATAACGATATGATGATTACAAAGACATGATAAGTTAATAAGAGGATTAATAAACTTAAATCAAATTGGATTATGGTTCGGAAATCAGAGTGAGAAGATTGGTTAATAATTAAATTCTAAATATAGATGAGGAAAAAGAACTATGGTTTTTAAAGTAATTGGAAGAAGAAGAATAAGAAAATTCTATATTCAGAAATAATACTAATTAGGATGAGCATGACAATGATCAGAAATTGGTAAGTAACATGCAATCACAGATTAAGATCAGAAATGCATTATCCTAAAATCACAGGCATAGTAAGATTACTAAGTTTTGCATCTATGCTAACATTTGGATTGATTTTATAGCATTGATAACTGCCCTGTAATATTACTTCTGTTAATTAAACTTTGAAGGGTTCACTTCAGAAATTAAAGCTATTTATTAAATTAATAATGAGATTATCAATTTGAATCTCTTAATTTCAAGAGCTTTAGATTTATGTATGGATTAATAATTCAATTTTACTCGATTGCAAATTGAAATCTAAGAATCAGCTTAATTAATCATCAACTTTGATTATGATCTTAATCTAGGATTTTACAGAGTTTACTTTGATTCAGAAACCATTAACTTGAGAATGTATGAGAAATCCAATCAATATGAGGATATATAACTATCTTTGGAGAGTTCTATACTTTTAATTACATCAGAATGCTTAAATCTATCTTTGAGTCAGTAGAATAACGTATTTTAGAGTAATTCAATTTAAAATATCCTTTTTAATTATTTTAATTAGATACATGATCCATTGATAAAGATTTCTTAAATTCTATATGAGGATGTTATCTCTTAAGTGTAGTATCCTGATTTGAATTTATTAATATCTTTATTGGTTTTATTTATTGGAACTACAATTGGTATGATTAAATTCATAACATTGATGTTGGAAATCAAAATAGATAGAGAAAATGTTATATTTCTATTCTTAGAGATTCCGCAAAATGATGTTTAAAATTTATCTAAAAAGGTTGACAAATTTTTGAAGTTCTATAATGAAGATTTGAAGAAGTTGAATAATTTTGATTATGATGAATCAAGTGATGAAGACGAAGAATAACAATTAATTGAATTGCAATAGCATGTCGATGGTTAAGATAAGATGAACTCCAAAGCTATTGAGGAAGACAATTAATATTAGTTATAATTGAAGAGGAGAAAGATCATTCAAAAATATAGAAAAAGCAAACTAAAAGGCAATTAAGGAATAATTGTATAGTATGATAATAATATATTAGATTTCTGTTGATTGCTTTGTTAACCTTAGTTTTTGCAGTGTATAACATTATCAGTAGTGCAAATGAGAAATCTCAAATTTAATACTTATTGCCCCAATTCTATTAAAGTTCCATTTAGATAGAAAATTATGGTTACTACATCAACCTATACAAATTGTCAAGTTTGAATTCAGATTTCCAAATCAACAACATTTCTATTTTGACTAAGATTGCTCAAGACCTTACGATATTTACAGGAAATCAATTAAACTTTTAAAATGTATGATCTAAGTCTATTTTAGTTTGCTAAAGATTTATTAAATAAATTACCAGATCTCAGAAACTTATTTTTCTCAACCTATTATGGAGATCTTTGTTCCATAATTAGTAAAAATAATGATACGAATTGTTATTAGATTATCGAAGGAAATCTTCAATTAGGCATATACAATGTTGAACAATATTATCTACAGTATTTCAGAAATGAAAATCTAAATGAGGTTGTCTATAATGAAGAAATCTATGAAATTGATCAATCCTTGTTTTACTATATAAAATAAGCAGTTTCTCAAATAACAGATTTTGAATTGTAATTTATGACTAGTTAGATGTCAACAACTCTAACTATCTAATTAATTTTAGTCATAATCTACATATTGATATTAGAACTAGTGGTCTCGGTGATATGGTTATTATTTTTACAGAAATTAAACATTCAAGTATATTGAATAAAAAATTATATTAGATTAACCTGAATATGCAAATGCTAAACATGATACCAATGAAAGTTGTGGATAACAATCGCAAAATCCGAATGTTCATTAGATAATGCATCAAAAAGATGGAGTTGGAAAACACTTGAATTGGCTAATTAAATATATTCAATTAATTTATAATAATTATTGATAACTATAAATGATTAAGGTTGATCACCCCTAAACAAATCTAAATGAGAAAAGAATTAACGAAAATTTTGAATTATTAAAAGTGATTGCTAATCATCAACAAGGCTTTTATAAACGAAAGATTGGAATTAACAATCAAAATATTCTAAAAAGTATTAAATACAGACTATTAAACATATCAACTATTTTTTAGTATTATGAATAATTTAGAATTCTCTATTAATATCTAGGACAATAAGAAAGATTCAAATTAAATCTTTCAATGAAAGATTTTTAAAAATCCTTTATGTCTATAATTTTAGAATAAATCAAAAATAAAATTCAATAAATTTTATTTCTATTTATCAAATGTACTCATATGCTCCTCTTGGTGTTTCATTTGCCTCTCCAATAGGGACATCGATTGTAAGACCTGCTCCAGGTAATATTTTAAATCCATCATTCAGTCTCATATGTTCAACCAGTTTCTTATGCGTAACCAATCCCATATGCTTAACCAATAAGCTATGTTTAACCAGCTCCAGCAACAATTAAAGGAGAATCTAGATATGAGTACGTGCCTTATTAGAAATCTGTAGTCGAAATAGAGGAGGAATAAAGAGTTGTGAAAGTAGAATGTTATAAAAATTGTAGGTACCCAAACAAAAATGGGTGACAGATTATTACCCTGTGGAATATCAAAAAGAATACATACCTTAAGTTACATATGAAAAATAAGTCGATTATATTCCTGTCGAAAAAACCGTACCTAGAGTGGATTACTTAGAAAGAGAAGTAAGAAGAAGCTCATTTGTTGCACCTATCAATACAGCACAACCAATCAACTATGTCTCACCACTCTCTTACAGTGTTGCTGCTCCAATTGCCCCAGTTACTACCAGTTATGTTGCACCTGCATATAGCACAGTTTATAGATATTGAATATTACGAGATAATAAAATGCTTAAATTATAAATAAATTCTTAATTTTCTTAATCAATCAGATTATTTTAGAAAAAATTATTGTTATTTAGAGATTTATATTGATTGATCAGATTGAACAATTATTTAATTAGTTTAATTCTTAAATGCCTATATTTCTTGATAAATGAGTATTTAAAAATACAGAGATGTTGTTGTCTTTATCTAAAAAAATTCAGATATAATTGTATACACACATTTATTAATCAGAAAATGAGATTTATATTTACTAAATCAAATCAAACTTCAAATTCAAATGAAAGATGAGCCAACATGTCCTTAGTTTTCAGGTTGAAATATTTCTCTCTGAATCCTTCCCATAGTAGAAATTTGTTTAAATAGATTGATATTATCTAATTTTTATATTGACACGACATAGTTTTATTTGATATTAATTGTTAAAGATGCTTCAAAATTATCTTCTAGTTTTGTTTAAGGGATTGGCATAAGTTTAAGTTTTATTTAAACAATTTTTGATAAGCTTATGCATCATTCATTCTACCAATCATAGTTATCTTCACTCTCTAAATATTGAGTATAGTTTTGCCCTTGATTTTCATACATTAAAATTCATCAAAAACTTATGGAATACTCATTAGTATACTAAATAGATATATTTAATTAGTCACAAATCCTTAAATATCTTTTTTTATTGTAACTCTGATCTTCCTTGAATATAGTAGATTCATTTAGCTTACGAGGATAGAAGTGGATATCCAAGATTTTCTACATTTTAGATTTTCATCATAAAGTAATAGACGAATTTGTTAAAAATTAATCATTGAATTTAAAATTTTCAATTTAGAATTGGCAGTTTTTATTTATTAGAAGAATTACTTCAATAAAAATAAAAAGATATTTTCCTTGTACTTAACTTCAATTTGGAGTTATTTATTATAATTTCTTAAATTTTATTCAAATATTGCAATCACGCAATATTCGTCTTATAACACTTATTGAATCAACTTCACTTTATATTCCTTATTGAAAACATTTGATCTAACATCCACCTAATGAGTAATTAATTTATAGGAATCATTTTTAATTATGAGATCTCTTATCTCTTACTCTAAATTCTTTGTTTTTATATCATCCTTTTCCAAGTTGTTAATTTCAATAATCATCTAAATCTAATAATAATGGTTATGTACATTTCTAAGCATTTCCCTTAATTCCTTACTATTTTCTATTTTTAATCTTGTCTTTGATAATTCATTGATTTATTACAGTATTAATTAATCTTACTTTTGATCAAACTTAATAACAACAATAGATTACTCTAAAACTTAATCTATAATCTTGATCCATCTATTCTATTCTCTGCTGTCCCTAAATTATAACCTTTTTATCTTTTCATTTGAATATTTCATGACAACTAATCCTATAAATACTAAAAATATAGTCAAGCACATTGCTAAATATTCTAATGTCTAAGTAGGGTAATAAGTAACATATTAAATATATATAGCAATAAGAGCAATTGCCTAAGGCCATATTTGATACCCAAGTTACAATATTGCTTTATATATTTTATTAATTTTTACCGAAGTGGAAGTAGAATGCTTGAAATCCATAATACCAGTTATATTCATAACTGGCATCATAATCATAATTGGGATCTTCTGTAGTTGTGGGGAAAAAGTTATCTAAATTCCAAATGTAGGCAATATAAATTTAAAGTAGTGGCAATATGTACTCATTCCACGATGGATGAGTATTAATTATGAATTTCAGCATCACTATTGAAACCATAAAGGCCAAAATATTTGCTACAATAATTCCATTATATGTATATTCTTAAAAGTAGTATAATATGTAAGCTGTGAAAAATAACTAGAATCAATATTATTTTTACAAGTGTTTGGATTGAAAACAGTGTGAATTCCTACTTTATGTAGATTTATTACAAATTTCTATAATCATTTTCAATACATTTCGATTTAAAATTAAGAGTGAATTTATTAAAAATCATTGAAGATTATTTATTTAAATTATTGTTTTATGTCTTCCAATTTAAAAAGCCACTTATTTTATGTATCTTCAACTTGAAGAATAAGAATAATCAATATTAATACTAAGATTTGATTTTATCTAGTTATAACATTAACAAAAACAATACAATAGAATTACTTTTATTATTTTTAATTTATTAATTATTAATTGCCAGAATAATTGTAATAATAACCTTATTAGTATAGGATTTAATAGCCTAAAATATTACCAAATCTTCTTAACTTCTTTGAATCAATAGCTATTTCCAATTATTGAAACCATAATACTTTATATTAGGAAAGGATTTTTATAACTATTAATGGTTATTAGAATTTCTCTTGTTTAATTTCATCAATATATATAAAACAAAGATTAAAAATTTAATATACAAGTTAAATCTAATCCTTTAATTCTTTTTAGAAAAAGTAAAAATTATAAATGGTAGAAAATAATATAATATTAAGAAACTCGATATATTTTAGAAAACCAACAATAAACTATATTAAAAACCTCAAATAATAAAAGGGAAAATATTTAAAATTACCATTTTCAAATTTGCTATTTCATAGTCACAATCTCTAGAATATGCCACAAATAAAGATGAATTCAGAATCTTAAATGAAATACAATATAATTTTTTTAAGATATTTGAGGAATAAGAATTATTTAACACTTCTTAATTAATTTTATAAAATAAATTATTTAATTTAATATTCTTATTTTATAGTTAAAACAAGGTTTAATTGATGCTTAAAAAAGTGATTTTTATTAATTTATATCGATTTAGAATTATATATGAAATAAGTAAATCAAAAACATAGAACTTTTTTGATGTTAAAGAGATTTAAAAAATATTGAGTAGTGACATCGAATTCTGGATATGAGATTATTTCAATGCTATCTTATTTCAGTTTGGCATGTTAAATTTAATCATCTTTTGCATATATTTCTTTAATCTTTTATTCTAAAATAGCAAAGTGTTATTAAATCTGTTAAACTCGTTTCTCTAGATCTGTTTCATAGTATAGTTATTCAAAATTATTATTTAGCGAAGTTAATAGAATAAGACTACTTTCAGAATCTGATAGACTTGTTATTTTTCCCATGAAAGCCTTAAAAATATCTCCGACTTCTAAGTTGATATTTTAATATAATTTTTATAAAGTAGCCACAATATATTTGTATTGCTAAAAGCAATTCTCTTTGAAAGTTTAATCTCTTATGTATTCGCATTAAGCAAGCCATAATTATTGAGCATTCCACTATTAATATGAAGTCTTGACTCCCTCAATATAACCATATATTTATTTTATTTTTATTCTTGATAAACCATCAACCTAGACTTGATAACCTTTCTTTGTTTTTTTGATGCTTCTTATTTGTACCAAGTCTCCATTAATTAAATCACTCGATATAATAAAGTTCCCTGAACCAGAACTAACCATCTTTATCATTTCTTGATATCTGAATTCTAAAAATTGCAACTCTATAGAGCCATATATAATGACTGATTGATCATAAACAAAGATTGGAATACCATTTATGTTTCCATTTTAGACATCTTTATTAACAACTTCTTATTCTTCTTCTATTTTGAATTCCTTTAAATACCAATCAATGAGATCTTTATATTTCTTATTTGTATTGACTTTGATATTAAAACTATAATCAGAACAAGCAGGGCATAATAATTCTTCTTTTAAATTTTCTTCAATGCATTTCTAACAAAACATATGTTAGCAAGAAAGCACTACTGGGTTGACTGGAGTTAATCCGCAACAAAGGCATATAATTAAAGTTGGGAATTCATTCAATAAACCTAATTTAAAGGTCAACAATACCTTAGGTTCCTTCTTATTCATAAATCTATTGAACTAAAGGTAGTAATTCGTCAGTTTTATTGCTACTAAGTAATGCTGGTTAACGACACAAGGGACATGCACAAAATTCTTGTGTATCAAAAGAATTTTATATGCAGGTCTAACAAAAAGTATGTCCACAACTCAATGAGACTGGACTTTTTAAATTCTATAAGCATATTGAGCATTAAAGGATGAATTTCATTAATTAAAATATCAAATAAATTCTTGAATAATCATGGTTTAATTATTAGAATTTTTAAGAATTTGATTATTCTCAAGAATTATGTTGTTCTAAGAAGCTTGTTAAATGTTTAGATGTAAATCTCAAAATTGAGTATTTTATGATGACATTCTTGCCATTTATAATTTATTTTTATTTTTAAATAATGTAAATAACATTTATTTGAGCGATTTTAAAACAAAAATAATCTAGCACTAAAGTACAATATTCTTGAATGATTAGTTTAGATTAATGACAATATTGATTATTTTATATTTAACAATTTATCCATAATATAAGGTTTTGCTAATAAGCTGTAGAAATAATTGAATCCGAATTAATAACTTAAGTATTTAAAAATAGTTTAGTGTTAAAAATGCATTTGGAGTTATTTTTAAATACATAAATTGTGTTTAATACATATTATTATTAGAATGTATTATATTATAGAAAATTATAATAAATATGAGATCTTCTATTGGTTATTGGTTATTGTTTATTGTTTATCGGTTTTATTTTTATTAATTTTAAGTTTTGATAAATACTTAAATTTAGTTCCTTATTATTACTTTGGGAAATATAAATATATTTTTAATTAATTCACGGATTGTATTATATTTTTAATTTAAATTTGAAGTAGAGGATATGCCTCATTATCCAGAGGAGATAGAATATTCTGACAAATATTTTGATGATTATTATGAGTATAGACACGTTATCTTACCCAAACACATATTTAAAAAAATTACAAAAGGTATTTAAACTAGTTAAATATAGGAAAATTATTAAATGAAATGGAATGGAGAGCTATTGGAGTGTAACAATCTAGAGGATGGGTTCATTATGAAACTCATAGACCTGAACCTCACATCTTATTATTTAGACGACCCAAGAATACTGACCCAAATACTGGTTTACCACCCCCGGGATTTAGTGCGCCATATTGATAGTTAAATAATGAATATTTAAAATTAACAAATGAGCAATAAAATAGTTTCCAAAATAATAATGAGTTCTTTATATTGATTCATTTTTCTCTAAACATTTTTCCAATCCATTCTTCATTTTACAAATGTTCTTTAAACTCAAAAACTATTTTTATCAAATTTATACCGTAATTTCAGCTATAAAACAACAACCACAAAAACTTTGAGATCTCTATTCTAAATTAAAATAAGAAAATATTTTATCATTGTTAAAATTAGTGTCATTAGTAAGATTATTTTATGTTTCAATTTTACATAGATTTTAATTATAACATGTTGGTTTACTAGAGACTATGTATCCTATTTATTTAATTCAATTATAGAATTTGTATATATGATGGAGATAAAAATAAAAAATGTTTTAAGGTCAAACTCAGATCAAAACATAACAAAGAAAACTATATCATCAATTATTTATCAATTATTAAATTATTTATATTATCAATATTAAGTTAATTTTTGGTTGAATTCTTTAACAACCAAACTAAATATATTTGGATTGCAAGTTTATTTTTTGATATATTTATTCTAAATATATAAAACGGACAGTTGTTCTAAATATATATTATATATCAATAGACAAGAACAATACCAACATGGAATGCAACAGATACACAAGTCATACCAAGTAAATAAAGATGCTAGGTTTTCAGATAAAATATTGAAATTTTATAAATGAGCAACATAGAATTACTATCAAGTTAATAGAACCAATAAATGCCAAGTCGAATATAATTGCTTATTGGACATATAACCAAATATATTATTTATTTTGATGAAAAAAAAGTGAGAATTATTAATATGCTGTGCGATCCATAATAATGATTTAAATTCAAGCTTGAATATGAAAACAGTTAAAATATTGTTTTAAGAATTATATTTCAATGGAATTTATGTTGACTTTAAATATAGTAGACAACCAGAATGAATAAGAGTTAAGTCTTATTTCATAGTTTAAGAACATATAAATATCAAAGTAATTGAAGTTAATAGAGAAGAACATGGAAATAATTATGATGATATAAATAGTGTCAAATAATCAAAGTGTAACATTAGGGGAAAATGAATTAATAATAAAACTAATTTTGAAAATATTTAACATTTAAGTAATAATTGAAAATGATAATAAAGAGAATGTGAGTATTTTGAATTCGATGTAGATATATCTATTAAATTGTTCATAATAATCTATATATTAAATTTTATTAAAATCATCAAAATTTGCATTTATATCTATATTTTTCATCCATTTAATCATCGAAATTCTTATTAAATATTTAAGAGTTTAGTAATAAATTTTTGGATAACTCATATTTATAAATTTATTCTTAATTTGTTTAACTAGCCTTTTAATAAAAAGATGAAGAACTTTTCCAAGAATTTTAATTTTATTTTTATTATGGTGGAGCATAGGCATTATAAGTTTCAGGAACTTGAACTGATTATAATAAACTTCTGGTTCTGTACTTTCCACTTGAAATAAATGTTGAGACAGCTCTTTTTTATTAAACTTTAGAATTCCAAAGAATCTTCTCCTCTATTTCAAAGGTAGTTAAGACCCCTAAAGGACATCTAGGATTTAAACATTTAATCTCTCCCCCTAATGCTTCTCCAATTCGTATTACTACATTTTTGTTACAACATTTGGACATTGGACAGTAATTAGTATCAGAAAAATAAATGTAAAATAGTTTTGTAATCGGATGTTGACAAATCAATATGTTCTGTATTTCAAATTAAAGTTCTTAAAAAAGTTCACAAATAATTCTGTAAATTACTAAATTTCGTTTGTCGGATGGATGAAGAGATTTTATATCTTTTTCGAACTTAACTAAAAATTATGAATTAATTACTTTCTTTCAAAAGCTGACGGTAGGAGACTTATTTGTTAATCACTAATATTTACTTTTTTAAAAAATGATCAATGGATAAATGTTGCTTTCAAATTTGTTTTCATTTTCATTCTCTCTTTAATTATTTTATTCACTTATTGTCTAAATCCCCTTCTATTCTCTTTATTCACTTTTTGGAGTAGTTTTAAAAGCTTAATCATCTAATTGTATTTTGTGAAATTTCTAAGTTGGTCTTGTTGATTGTCTTGCTGTGGATCCTTTGGATAGATTTCCTGTTTATCCGTTTCTATTAATTAGATAATCTTCCTCATACCTTTTACTTTGAGAAGAATGAATAGAGAATGTCGAAATGACATCAAGCATATTTAACATTTATAAAACAAAATAGTTAATAATATTTATAAAAATCCAATTATAATAGAAGAAGGTAATAGAAATTAATTGACTATTAATTCTTTATACATTATATAGTATTTTAGATTGAAATGGCTTTTAATATTATTTCATTCAAATACGATAATATGGATATTATTATATTACATAATTTTTAGATTCCTAATCTTAAATTATTTTTATAATAATTATAAGTTTAAATAAAGAATATTTATAGAAATAGCATTGAATAGGTATTTTTCATCTCTGTTTATCATTTAAAAATAATTTGCTGTTATATTTATATGTTTGAGTATATACTGGTCATTTTAAATTTCGGTTTTAATTTAAATTCTTTTTAAGAAAATAGGCAATATTCTTTATAATATTTATATAACTTAATTTATAAATGAACTTATTCTACCCTACTTCGACTATCAAGCAGAACTAATATGAATCGTCAACACTCGATACAGATACAAGTGATAATGAGAATAACAATTTTGAAATAGAGTAAAACATTTGTTTAAAAAGTATCAGTGTCAAACCCCAAAAAAAGCACTTCGAAACAATACAAGAAAAATAATAATATATAGAAGAGTACACGAAAAAGAAAAAAACTGAACTCTGCAAGAATTTTGTGATGACAGGTAGATGTAAATATGGGGATAAAGTATTTCTTTTATTAAATTTAAAGTGCTCTTTCGCCCATGGATAAACTGAATTACAGCCTAAAACCCACTTACATTCCAAATATAAAACCAAACCGTGCAAGAGATTCTTCTAATAGGGGTATTGTCCTTATGGGATAAGATGTCAATATATTCATGACGAATTGATAAATTAAAATGAATTTGATGGATTCTTGTAAAGCTCATATAAAGAACTTGGCATGAAAGCTCCAATTTCTTCAAGTATTAATTTAAAAAAAATTTAGAATTATTAAAAAGTGATGTAAGAAACGACATTTAAAGATTTATCCTAACCATGAATAAGAAACACATAGACCAAGAATTATTTATATATCCTAAATCTAGATTGTCTTTTTTTAAACAAATCACAAATCCCTGTTATAATATTTTGTCAGATGATTCTCAAAAAAGTAATGCTTGAGATCATGAGCAGAAATTATGATTATTAATTTATTTTTATATTTTATTAAAATATTAAATGACAGAGTAACCACTATTCATAACTGAAAATAAAAATATATTACCAACTCTTGAAAAAATACATCCAGATTAAGCCAAAAATATGTAGGAACTTTGTTAAGAAATGTAAGGTCTCATAGGTGAAACTAACAAAAATGTAAATTAGATGTTAAAATCATAACAAAACAACATTTTAAATGCATTTAAGTAAGTTTTGGAAACCCTTAAAAAAGATATTGAATAAATCAATGAGAAATTTCATCAATACATTGCAATGAACGAATAAGAATCATAAGTAATTGATATTATTTAAGCAGGTTGTTAATGCATAAAATAAGATGGTACTCTTTAGATAAGAATGTCATTCACTAAATGAATAATGTAAACAATTAAAGTAGAACGTCCAAACACTTAAGAAAACAAATATATTTTTAGAAAATGTATTCATTTAACTATATCTTAGGAATTAATGTTCACAAAAGAAGCATTATTCAAGTAAGTCCAGAAAAACGAAAAACTCAAACTAACACTTTAAAAATTCAAAGAAGAATTGTAAGAAAATCAATATCTATTGAACTATAACGAAAATTTTAAACTACTAACTAATGAACCAAAATTGCTTTAAGACTATTAATAGTAGATATAAGCAAGTGTAAGAAAAGCTAGATTCGATTCTTCTAACAAAAAGCACACTTCATTTAATTCAATAGCTAACTCAGATATCAAATCTAAATACATTTTTTCTTAATAAACGCGAGCATAAAGCTTATAAAAGAGTATAGCAGCCAAAAGATCTAGTGTATTTGAAACTAGTATTTTAGACAAATCTTTACAATAAGACCTGATATTTGAATACCCTCGATTTTAATAATAAAAATAGGATAATGATAATAATCAATGATATTTTTAGTGTAAGTTTTCCTTTTTAGTATTCAAAATAATCTTTTTATCTAATCTTCCACTTGGATTTGGAGTAATCTTTCAGTAATTTCTTAATTAGTATATTTTTTTGGAGAAAAATACTGATTCTCATCAACAGAGATGTTCTTTATTTGGGAAACCTCTTTTGAAAAATTTTGCAAATCCTTATAAATGGTAAATTGTATCTTTGTCTAATAAAGCGCTGAAACATATTAAGGATTCAACATATCATTTTCTATTAGAGCTTATTTGAATAAAATTTTATTAGAAGGACCTAATTGACTAATGAAGTATGAAGCCATTATATATCCTAAAGTGTTAAATTATTTCTTTTAGTTATCTTGAGGATTGGTATGGTTGTATTTGATATTTTGTAATCCTAAAGAAATTGATGTAACAGATTACATCTCATTTTTATAATGATCAATCATTTCAGAGAGTGTTTAATTTAAATTATTAATCATTTCAAAATAGTTCTTACTATTCCAATTTCTTTTTTTATCATCAATAGAAACTGGTTAGATATTTTAAATTAGAGTAATCATTTGATTGGTAATGTTTAAATTAGGATGAGTCAAAGTTATTTGAATGGAATCTTTATGCACTTTGGATTGTTTTATGGATAGACAAAAAGGTTTCTTCATTGGATGCATCTAATAAATTATACTGTCTTCTGAATGTATAATGGACAGTAAAATTTTCATGAATTCCATTATGTTCATGATAATAGAAATTAATTTATTCTTATCTGTTTTTATTAACTCTTTTTTCGTTGAGAAGTTTATAAACTTTGTTGATTTGTAATTAATAAGTAGATTATCACACAGACTTTTAAAAAATTATTCAATTTAGATTTCTTGAAATTCGTATTTAACTAATCTATGAGATATTTTAAAAAGATTCAGCAAATTATTATTAAGATTATACAAATAATAACTAATTTACGTTTATTTTTACAGGGTCTATTAGAATTTAGTCAATATGTCTTACTTAAAGGGAGTAAAGGTTTATAATTAACTAAGCAATGATTAAATGAGCTGCATTTATTGAGTAATTAATGATAAACTTACTTTTGAATTATACTAAACTAATCTATATTAATACATATTACTAATTATCTCTTTATTCAATCT